TAATTTTAAAATTGGATTAAAATAGATGGAAGGACCCAATTACATGATGAAATAATAATTTAGGGACGTTAAAGCTATTTGTTTTTTTTTTTTTTTTTACATTAAAATATTGCTCATATATTATTAAGAGAAGAAACGAGTAATACAACCGGGAATAATATCTCAAGTTTGAAAATAAGTCCCACGAGGAATTGATTTAGTCAAAACATGAGCTATATCATTAGCTTGTCTTCTAATCTAAGTCAAGGTGCTATTAGACAATTGGACTAAGAGTAATTTACATTCAGAAAATGACAACTCCAAACTCAAACAAATCTTGGACAGAGCTCCTCATAGCATGGTAAACTTGGAGGCAATCGGTCTCAACTTGAATATGCAAACGAGAGTAGTCCGATAGCAACTAGGACAATATATTTCTAGCGCTTAAGCTTCAGCTACTGCTGGAGAAGAACAACCCTACAATGATGACGCTGCTGCTGATACAAATCCGCCATGACAATTTGAAATTACGACACCAAAAGCTCCATGGCCAACAGAAGGGAGAAGAGCTGCATCAAAATTTATTTTAAAAGTGCCTGCAGGTGGCGGAAGCCATTGATTACCCGCAGAAACACCTATATCTGAACGAGACGACTTCAATTGAGCTTTCTTCCAAGAAGCTAGCATACTTCTAGCTTGAGTAACCACATGATAAGGTCTTTCTTCTACTTGGTTCTCTTTCAGCTCATTACGGCTCAACCAAACACTTTATTTTAAAAGTGCCTGCAGGTGGCGGAAGCCATTGATTACCCGCAGAAACACCTATATCTGAACGAGACGACTTCAATTGAGCTTTCTTCCAAGAAGCTAGCATACTTCTAGCTTGAGTAACCACATGATAAGGTCTTTCTTCTACTTGGTTCTCTTTCAGCTCATTACGGCTCAACCAAACACTCCATAGTCCCATAATATAACTCTCAAAAAACTCATTCTTCCACACCTTGTGTAAAATGTTCCAACATCTGTAAGAAATTTGGAAAAATTCCAATATTAAGCTGAACACCAAAAAATTGCCAACAGAAACTTGCTCTTGGACACGCAACAAGAGCAAAGAGTAACATTTCAGCAGCACCACAGTAATCATATCTTGTATCAAGCTCCAATCCCCTTCTTTTTAAAGTTGCTTTAACTGGCAGAATGTCTCTACAACACCTCCAGAGGAAATGCCTCACTTTCGACGGAACTTTCAGTGACCGAAGAGCTTTCCAAAAACCCGACTGCCAAGCATCTTCACGTTCCACATATCTAGATTTCACAGAATATATCCCCGAGTCTTTCCAATGCCATATAAGGATGTCGTCCTGAACATTTGTAGCTAAAGGAATAGAAGTAATAGGCTAAAGCTATTTGTTGATAATATAAAGACATAAGTGTTAATTTGACTATAATTTAGGGATGACAAAGTATTTTACTCAACTAATTAATATGGCTGAATTATATCTTTTATTTAATATTTTCTCAAAATATCCTTTTGAAATATTAAATCCTGATTGGGAAGATGGATGTATATTAAATAGGAGTATGTAAAGAAATTAGATAATAAATGATGTTTTAAAAAATGAAATAGAACTACATTTTGAGACAAATGAAAAAGGAAAGTAAACCTATATATACAAGACGGAAGGAATATAAATTTTTATATTTTCATTTTTTGTAAACTAGAAAGCAAATATGCACCACCACAACACACGAATTTGAAATTAATAATAATTCTCTATTTAAAATTAAGGATAAAGTTTCTTTGTAATTATTTAATTATTTTTTAATAAAAAATAAAATATATTTAAGTGTCTGAATCATTTCTTAATTGATTTAATATGTTTACTTTTATGAAATTATTATAATATATTAAACTTTTTTTACATATTGATTATCAGGTTTTTTTTATTTTTCACCAAAAAAACGAGCATTTTTAACCTGAAAGATGAGCATGTTCCCTCAGGAAATAAGTTTTTAAAATGAAAATTAAGATAGTCACAATAATTGATAAAAAAATAAAAAGAATAAAAGCATTAATTATGATATAATTTTTACCTTTTAAAAAAAATAATTTTGGAGCTTGGATGTATTTTCTTTTAATAAATTATGAAAAAGATCATACAGTTTGCATAAATGGAACATAAAAATATTGGTAACAGGTGGCGGGTAAGTGAACCTCCACCTCCATCTGATTGCGTTGTGGGTCCCAATTGATCGCTAGCACAAAGTAGTTAATTAGGAAACTCGCAAGAGATACCAAATTACCAATGGTTGGTTTGTTGGTTTTCAGTCTTTCACGTGTAGTTTGTGCTTTTTCCCTGCATCAAGATCACTCAAAAATACTTAAAGAATGCTCCTTTCCCTTTCCATCAGACCTTCCTTTAATCCTCCTTAAACAGTTGCCATTACCCTTCTATCAATTACTCATTTTTCTTCTCTATGAAGGTATGTTACTGATTCTTTCTTACATTCTCTTTATTTTTGTGTTTTCTGTGATGGGTTTGCTTTCTAGCCGCTGTTTGGTTCCTGAGAAAATAATAAGTAAAAGATAAACTGGGCTAGTTTTTCTTTTTTTTCCCTTTTTTTTTTTTAATTTTTTGGTTTTGTTTTAGAAATTGGGAAACTGGGTTTTATTGTTATGAAACTGTTTTTCTTTTTCCTGTGCTGTTGAGTGGGATAAACAGCTATGTCATATCCCTATTAACTATAAACTGATAGTTGATGCTTGAGATTTTTCTTTTCTTTACAATCAAGTAGATCTTTTTGATCTTTTTGCCCCTTTTACGAGTGGATTATTTTTGTTTGGTTTTGCTAAGGTGAGGATTAGTTGTCTCAGGTTACAATGAAAGTAACGAGTCATGTTGATTTTTCTGATCCGTTGATTTATTTATTTGTTGTCAATTTTTAGCAACCAAATGGGCATTCTTGAATTCTTTTTTCTTCAATTTTTTCTTTTGGTGTTAATGATTTGCATTAATGGGTATTTTTATGTGTACAGATTTTGTTTGTAAATAGAAAGCAATCAATGTCTAAAGTCTTTGAATTATCTGTGAACATGGTTCGAAAGAAGAAGAAAGGCTCCTGAAGACTGAAGTGCGAAAGTCTAATACTAACTTGCTCGTATTACTTCTGATTTCAAACTACTATTAAGGTTTTGCTGGTTGAGTAAAGTAAAAGATTGTCCTCATCAATTTCCTTTTGCTGGAGTTGCGGAACATATGCAAGGATCCAATCTTGTGATGGAGTGATTATTGCTTTGATTTCACTTGAAGAGACTTTTTTAGTTCATCATTTTTTTTGGTTTGTGCTTTTTGGGAGTGAGTGATATTACAAGTTTAGAAATGCAGTGTCCTGTTCGTGGTACATCTTTCTGGGGCATCTGAGAACTACTTCACCTTGGGTATTTGATGGAGTCCTTAAGAAGGAAGAGAAAGGACCTAGAAATTTTGCCATCATTTGCAAAGTCCTCGACTGCTTTATCAACTTTTATTTGGCCTTACTTGTCACTAGGAGATTATTCAAGGCTGAAAAAGAAGTGTAAGGAAGATGAAGGTAAGGAAGTTGGTTCTTGTAGGAGTGTAGTTAAAGGAATTGTCACTGCCCCACATTGTAGAAGCTTCTCTTTGGATACACCATGTAGGGGTCTGAAGAGGAAAATTGGGTGTATTGATGTGGCGACACAAATGGGTCGAAAGAAAAAGATCGAGGACCATTATGATTTGGGTGCAATGATCGGGAAAGGGAAGTTTGGATCTGTGGTGTTGTGTCGAAGTAAAGTGACTGGAGAAGAGTTTGCATGCAAAATGTTGCGCAAGGGGGAGGACCTTGTTCATCGAGAGGTGGAGATAATGCAGCACCTTTCTGGTCATTCAGGCCTTGTGACATTGAAGGCAGTATATGAGGATTCGGAATATTTTTATCTTCTGATGGAGCTCTGCTCTGGGGGACGGCTGCTTGATCAGATGGCTAGGGAAGGACAATGTTCAGAGCGTCGTGCTGCTCATATATTAAGGGAGTTGGTTTTGATTATCAAATATTGCCATGATATGGGTGTTGTTCATCGGGACATAAAGCCTGAGAATATCCTCCTTGCAACATCTGGGCAAATCAAACTTGCCGACTTTGGGCTGGCTGTAAGAATTTCAAATGGTAATGCTGTTTTTCTTATTATTTTGTTGAATTGCTATATTTATCTGCGTGCCTTTTCAAGCTTTTGGCAAATAACTACTGCTGGACTCTTTGTAAAATGTACTGAAATAAGGTTTAGAAAGTCATTAAATGATTTCCAGAAGCAACTCCATATATAGTTCAGTTCTCCAAGTAATCATTTAATGGTATGAACTACATAATGCATCTTATTTTAAATGGATTATCAGGGACTCTTACCAAATAAATTTTTATTTTAAAAGAATGCAGAAACCAAAAGAAATTTTCTCTAGAACTAAAATTGACTGATTATGTGCATGCTTGTTTTGTATGCTAAACTTTTGTTAATTTGAGCAATCACTTCTGTTATGGTGTATTTTTGGTTTTGAACGACTTAACAATGCCTTTGCATGAATTTCCTCAAGTTTATTGCTACAACTTCATGTCTTACATGATAAGGCTCAGGTGGTAGATGTAAATATCTTTGGCAACAATGTTTGAAAGTTGGAACTGCTTTGATGCCTAATGTATAGCTTTTTCTTAAGCTTTCAACCATTACTGCTGCAACATCTTTTACACGTTGATCAGATAGTCCCCTAGAGTGCCAGCCAAGCAGCTTCAAGGTGGGATTAAATTGGACCAACTTTGAGAGGTGCAATAAATCTATCCTACAGCAGCAACTGGTTGCGTCAGTGCTTGAGGGTCCTTAAATTTATTTGCAACTCAGGTTGCATTTTCAGTTTCTTTGGGACTTTGGGTCTTGCTTTATTTTGTTGCCTGGAACTTGATGGACTGCCTCAATCTCCCTTTGTAGTTGTATTCTTAAATGAATAGTTAGTGATTGTTGGTGCATCTAAATGACTCATTTGTCATTGGATCTCCATCCATGGTAGAAAGAGAAACAAGGGATGAATTCTGTCTTTGATTGAAACAAAAAACTCAATGTGTGCATAACAAATATTTATGTGTGTTATAACAACATTATTGCATGGAAATACTTCTGCAAAAATTGCCTTCAGCACATTTTACCTTGCTGGAAATGCCTTTTAAAACTAAACCTCTTACATTTGAATAAATTTATATCCATGGCTTTGAATGCTTTCGGCGCATGAATTGATTTATGTGTTCTTTGGTTCTTTGGGTGATTCATGATTTAATTGTTATTCCTTATAATTAGCATGCCAAGTTGCCTAATGTGAATTGGCAGTTAATATTGACTATATATGTATATAATTATAGCATTTTCTGTTACTCTGCATGCATTGCATTGACGCCACTAGTGGGCGGTCGGATAACTCAGAAATATTAATCTCAAACTAGTTGAGTCTGTTATATGGACCTTTTCCCCCTATTTGGTCCTACTTGAAGCCATCTCCTTGCCATAATATTAAGAAATCAAATTCTTTCTCACAAGTTATAAATTCAATTGAAGTCAATTTAAGCTCATCATTTTTCATTTTTTATCTGTTTTATATTTGAATGCCATTACTTTTTCCCACTGGCCCATTTTAAATTTCTGCACTTCTCATGGCTGATATGTTTTTGCTGGGTTTCCTTCTATTCGATGTTTTCAACCTAGTTATACATTTTCTTTGTTATTGCGAGTCCATCTTGATATTTTCAGTTCGTCCATAAAGTCTGATTAGTTTTATTGTAGTCCCAAAGAATATGCCCTTGCCCTTGAGCTTGACTGGTACTTTTTACATAATGCATTCAATGTAGTAGCATTACTTCTCTTTCATTCATTAACTTGTAACTCTGTAGTCATCTTCCTCTCCAATCTTTCCTTTTGTGTGTGTGAAATATCTTTTTTTTCCCTTTATTTTACTCTTTGTTTTGTGCTTACAAGTAGTTTTCAATTCTTATACATTCTTCTCTTCCTCTGATATTGATCTCTTTCCCACTACCAGGTTTATCTTCTTGGTGCTTGATTATGTGTAGTTTGCTGGAAAGATAGATAAATTATGTTTTCTTTGCAGGTCAGAGTCTGACAGGTGTTGTTGGAAGTCCTGCTTATGTTGCTCCTGAAGTCTTACTTGGTGAGTATTCAGAAAAAGTTGATATTTGGAGCGCCGGTGTCCTCCTTCATGCTCTGTTGGTGGGGATTCTTCCATTTCAAGGTGACTCGGCGAATGCAATATTTGAGGCGATTAAGAATGTCAACCTGGATTTTGAGAGTGGATTATGGGAGATGGTCTCTAAACCTGCTAGGGATCTAATTGCTCGTATGCTAACAAGGGATGTTTCAGCTAGATTAACTGCTGATGAAATTTTAAGTAAGATTCTGTCTTTCATTTGCCCTTGATTAACAGACTTATCATAGGAAGGATCCCAGAGGCTTCTTACTGAAAATATTTAGACTGAGATTTGGACAAAAGAATACGATTGATCATTTAATCATGAGCCTATATGCTCAATTTTCATATAAAAATTATGCATTGGTTTACATGCACAATATATATATACATATACTCAGCTTTAAGATAATCTTGCAAGCTGAGTGGAATTGAAAAACTGGGCTGCAGTTTACATGGTTGGTTATATTGCTGTTGTACAAATGTAAGTTTATGAGAAGAGAGGAACTGTAGTCTCTTTAATGTCTTAAAGTCCGTTTATCAGTTCTGTTAAAACTATAACTTTTTGAGAGGCCTCTTTTCCTATAATTCTGGTAGATATTTAGTCTTAGGTTCTTTCGTCAAAGATGTAGCTTTAGTACTCTATTCCTTTTCTGGCTTTTCTTGCGATACTATTTATCAAAAAAGATGTTAAGCATTTTAGACCATGCTGGATTACTTTAAATTTTTAAACAAAAAGATCTAAATAAACTTGCAAAAGGTAATCTCTTTTTTGCCCTGTTAAACCAGCTACTCAAAAATCCAAGGTGAAGCCCAATGGTGTTAAATATCTGGTAGTATTTGTGCGCTTCCAGTCATTTGATATGTACACATGCATCCTACTCGAGTGGCTAATCCAGTCCGTGTCTACGTCATTTTGATTCCTGGATATTTTTAGAAGTATCACACTGAGGCTAACTTCCAATGGTTTGGGATGCAGGCCATATGCTTTTCGTATTGAACTAATAGCCAGAAGGAGCAATTCTTGTGACATTAAAGATAACAAAATATTGATATTCTGCTTCGATTTTTCTTCTTTTCAAGACAAAAAAAAAAAAAAAAAAAAAACTACATGCCAGAAGGAGCAATTCTTGTGACATTAAAGATAACAAAATATTGTATTCTGCTTCGATTTTTCTTCTTTTTTCAAAGACAAAAAAAAAAAAAAAAAAAAGATTCTAGTTCTACCATTATTGAAGTTTTAAAAAAAAAAAAAAAAAAAAAAAAGAATTCTAGTTCTACCAATTATGAAGTTTTATTATTTTGGTTACTGTGTATAATCATGTGTATTTTTGCAGGGCATCCATGGATCTTGTTCTATACAGAACCAACTTTGAATGTATTTACCACGAAACCTAAGTTTGGAAACCGTGTAAGATTGACTTCTCCACAACTGACTGACATAGATGCGGTGGAGTCCGAGAGATATGATATAACAGCCAGAAGTTTTCTCAGTGATGACTCTAGCCTAATTTTATCATTGGGTGGTTCAACAAAGAGGTCAGATGAGCAAGACTGCGAACCGGTCGATATACTTGCAGTGGCAATATCACATGTGAGAATATCGGAACCAAAGAAAAGCAGGCTGTGTGGTCCTGCACTCCCTATCAGACAAGAATGTTCCTCTAACATTAAGGTTAACAATCTTTGTACAGCATTCTGATCCTGCTTGTAAAATGCTGACTCAGCTATTGCCACATATTAGCAAATAATTGGAACTGAAGATAACTCATTCTGGCTGGAGGGATATTAAAACAGTGAAGACGAAGTTCTGTAACAATAAGATGACATTTGTAGGTGAATGATGAGGTAACTCATTTATTTGTTTAATCTGGTTTGAGAACCTTGTGATATTTAACTCTGTGAGTGTGTGTGTGTGTTCTGATCTATTTTCTATGCTTAGCCTGACCTGGCATATGCTGAAAACATTGCTTGTAAATTGAAATCTTGCTGTAAATAGAATTTGGGTTGTTATCTTTTACCCCTTCTTTTGGTATAGCAGAAATTATTAATAGGGAACGGATTGTCATGAACGCCTGATCTTGTACATAACCAGACAGACACTTGATTATGACCCATTGGCTATATTCTACTTTTGTTTCAGTTCAATGTTATTATTTTGAACTGGCAAAGGGAGGAATGGAAGATTTCTGCAAGTTGGTGTTATTCTACATGGCTTGGCATCTCCAATTATAATTGGAAAAAAAAAAAAAAAACAGTAAGAAAAAGAAAACGCCTTTAGATCTATTTCCTGATTTTAAGTAGACCTACTAGACCTCAAGCAGTGATGGATCTCAAAGGTATATATAAAAGTTCTAAAATAAAGGTAAAAGAATTCTTTCCCAAGTAACTTAAAGTTTGAGTTTGTATTTTCTTCGGATCTTCATTTTGTGATCTACCTATTCTACGCAAGGCGTTTTTATTTTTATTTTTTTTACTTCAAATTTTCAATTTAGAAGTCAACAAAACATTAGAAAAAGCATGGTGGCAAACAAATTTGTAATAGAAAAATTCTAATAACTTTGAATTAATAAAAACATAAATAAGTAACAGATAGCTTCAATAAGCAGCGTATCATGTTATGCTATTAATTTTCTATGAACTTGTCAATCAGACGTGATTTGATTGGTCTTCTTACGAGATTCTATCTCTCGTAGGTTCAAATCCTTTTTACCACAGAGATTATTATCGTCAATTTGGTGAATGTTATTTAAAGGCGAGAGTTACTGAGCCTTATTAACTTTTTAACTTTTGTAGGCTCAAAATCAAATAAAGCCACAATACTAAATGAAATTAGCCATTTAGTTACCTCTTCTCTTTTTAATCCACCTTTTAACCTTTCAATTCAATGTTGCGATAAACATTTCTAGTAGGTGAGTTAGTGACTCGCACATTTAATAAGCCTTTTTTCTCAGTTAAAAAAAAAACATTATTTTAGTTTTTGTACACGTTACATCAAGAGTTTCAAACTGTAAGTCACATGATTTGCTCATCTAATTCTTTTCCCCTTTTTGTTTTTTTCTTTTTCCTTTTGATATCATCTTCTTAATTACCTTTTGACATTTGGATTTGTTCTCAAGCCTCATAACCAAAATTTCTTTGGTTTCTTTCCTCCTCCTTCTTCTTTCTCTTGGACTTTGTGAGAGCAAGAGAATTTATATGCATGTGATTTTGGGATCTGATCAGTAATTAATTATTGCTTCTCCGCCTTAATTTCCTACCATATTTAGAGATAAGAGCTAGAGAAAAACCTCCATAATAAACATCTATGGCCAAACCACCACCTAAAAAAGATAAACATCATAGAAAACACTCTACAATGTCACCATTTTGCCTTTCCATATTTCTCTTAACCATTTTTGTAGCTCTCTTCACTCTGTTTCAAATCCAATCTCTTCATACTACTACTTCACCATCTTTTTCACCTCTTATTCATCGATGGCAAAAGCTCACAACTTGCAACCAAGAAATCAAATCTTTGTCAGAAAAGCTTAAAGAAAGTGTCACATTTCTTCCACTCAAAGACTTGAGATATCAAGACAAAGCGCTTCAAGGCCATACATGGTTTATGAGCTCAATGTATGATACTCAAGAAGAAGGTGGAGTACAATATCAACAATTCCCTTCAAACTCATCAAATTTCAGGATACTTTGTTTAAAAGGCAACGATACCCACGATGGTTCTTGGAATTCTTATGCTCTAGCTTGGCCTGAAACCCTACCTTCTAATGCTACTTTAATGAAAGGCTTAACTTTTGTGTCATATAATCATTATAATTATGACAATATTTGGCATGGGTTATCTGCTATAGTACCTTTTGTTGCTTGGCATATAAGAAATGGGTGTGAAAACCCTAATAGATGGGTTTTGTATCATTGGGGAGAGCTTAGGTTTCAAATGGGTGCATGGTTAAGAAATTTAACAGGAGCTACATTTGGAGGTGAAGAACCAAATGTTGAAAGGTTTGAATGGGCTAATAAAAATGACCCTATCTGCTTTGAAAAGGCAGTGGTTATGAGGCACAACGAAGGTGGCATGTCAAGGGAGAGAAGAATTGAGACTTATGATTTGCTGAGATGTAAGGCTAGGGTTTCCTGTAATGTGAGCTTGTTGCAGAGAGTTAATGAAAAGGGTTTGCCTTTGATTGGTATGACTTTGTTTATGAGAACTGGTCCAAGATCTTTCAAGAATGAGTCTGCTGTGATTGGAATTTTTGAAAAGGAATGTGCAAAGGTTGAAGGTTGCAAATTGATGGTGGCATATTCCAATAATCTTACTTTCTGTGAGCAGGTTAGTTTGATTCTTCTTTCTAGTTTGATTCAATTTAACTAAAAATAATTAAAACAATACCATATTATTTATGGTTTTTTTTTTTTTTTTTATATTGAAAATTTTCAAAGGAAAACATGCTATTAAAATTTGAAATCCTAAACTTTTATATTACAAGTATTTACGATACTTGTGCCTAAAAGAAGAAGAAAGTATTGGCATTGTATCTAAACATTCTTCCTGATGCTATTAATTCTTCTTCCATTTTCAATCTAATAAGTTACAAAAACTCCATGCTTCATCTGTCAACCTCATCGAAAGAAAGAAACGTAAAAATTTAAAAGAAAAAAAAAAAAAAAAAGAAAAAGGTTTCTTGGGAGAAGTGGAAAGAAACAAATTCTCATTGAAAGGTATATGATTGATGAATTACGGAATGGCATATACAATTAGCTTCAAACTTAAACATGGAAAATGAACCCTATATATTCTAATTCTGCATTATTAGAAAGGCAATATTGCTTAACTATAAGATCAGAGTAAGCGCTTTTGGAAGTAGATAAATTTCTAGAGGATAAACCAAGGACCACTAAAAAAGGCTAGTAAACTCGCTCTTTCATTATAAATGAAGACAACACTATCGATCATTGAGTTGATAGGTGTTTGACGGAAACCCACACGATAGTAAAAGAGGATCACCTAAAAACTTCCTCAAAATTCAAACATTACACATACTGTCAAGTGGAGATAGACTACAAGAATCAATAAGTAAGTAACTAGTATTATCTTGAATTATTTAGAACTAGATAAGAGAGGCGTCATTTGATAATAGAGCTAGGAAGTTTCCTGTAAGCGTTGTAGAAGGCTTTAGTGAGCAAGGGCAGGAGAAGAAGTTAAATTATTTTCGACAAAAAGGCTTGTTATGTTGCACCTTTGATTTAAAAATGAAGTGGGATTTGTGATGGAAATCTTATTGTATATGAAGGAAAAGAGGCTGAGTTTCCAAGATTGGGTTTCAAGAGTGAAGAATTGATGTCTGAGCATAGATTGCAGGTGGAACTCTAATTTGAACAAACGGCAATTGTGTTGAATAAGGGATTTGAGGGACTTAAAAATAAAGGTTGCGAATTGGGTTAGATTTGGATGGCAGGATTGGCCAAAATTTAATTCACTTACTTCATACTGTCTGTGATGTACATTGTCTAGGTTTTCTATTTTCTTTCTGATGAAGCAGAACCAGATAAAGATTTTTTGAATTGTATCTTACTTCTAGTGATTCAATTTAATCACTAAAATAATAGATTAAATTTAATGAAAAATCGTAGGATAGTAATATTCTAAATACCCTTATATTAGTTAATGGTTTTTTTTTGTTTTTTTTATTACAATGATATAATAACTTCAATAAATAGAAAATTTGATTTATTATTTTTCAAGGGAAAAACCGGATAAAAATGCTAAAAAAATAACATATACTTTCTAAAAAAGGTACATTTTAGATAATGATTTTGTGATAGAGCTCAATTGCCACTATTTGGTATACAGCGTTCCAAGGATAGGTAACTGGATTTAATATTTGATTTACAATATTGTATTTTACAAAAATTACACATGATGTGTTTCTAAAAATGTCAACCGTAAAAGAAAAAGTAAGATATTGATGGGGGTGCCATAATGTATCATACAACATTCTTTCCTGATACTATGAAATAAAAACTTATCTCTTCCATTTTATCGTACTTTCAATCTAGGCTAAGTTTACAAAAAAAACTCCTAAATTCTAATAGAAGTTAAGGTAAAAACTCTGCTTCATCTGTCAACCTCATCGAAAGAAAGAAAACGTAAAAATTTAAAAGAAAAAAAAAAAAAAAAAAAAAAAAGGAATTAAAGGTTTTCTTGTATCCCACCAGTGTCATAGTCTCAACCACGCTAAAAAAAAAAAAAAAAAAAGAAAAAGGTTTCTTTATCAAGTGTCATTCAACAGTTTTAGGGTGTTAAAATGTTCTTTGAAGAAAGCTAATATTGAGTGGTGCTCAAGACATGCATACAAAAAGGTAGCATCACATGGGAAAACACATCTAAACTCTAAAGCCACTCCTCATTTTCTGAAGAGGTTGAGTGTAATTTAAATTTTGGCTAACCTCATGCTATGAAAAGAAAAATATTACAATATAATACATTTTACATCTCTCTCTTCATGATATTAAAAAGTTATTGAATTTGAATTAATTTGTGAAACAAAAGGGTAATTGAGTCAAATCAAGAATCATTTTATTTATAATTAGTTTTGTTAATTATTTTCTTAATCGCTGTGTGAAAATATCAGGTAAAGCTGATGGGCATGACAGATATTCTAGTATCTCCACATGGAGCACAATTAACCAACATGTTCCTAATGGACAGAAATAGCAGTGTCATGGAATTTTTCCCCAAAGGATGGCTAAAACTTGCTGGTGTAGGTCAATTCGTTTACCATTGGATTGCTAGCTGGTCTGGTATGAGACATCAAGGCGCATGGCGAGACCCTACCGGCGATCACTGCCCCTTCGGGGAAGATGATCGCCGGTGTATGTCATTTTACAAAGGTGGTAAAATTGGATTCAATGAAACATATTTCTCTGAGTGGGCTAGAAATGTTCTTACTGAAGTGAAAACAAGAAAGTTGGAGGAAGTGAAAAATAATAGTGCTGCTTCAACTTCTAGTTGTGCTTGTGGTTAAATTAATTATTATGTCAATTATAGTTTTGCATTTTTATTTTCAATTTTGCATGGGAAATTGAACACTTATGGGCAATGCATACCAATTCCATTTTTGCTTGTGAACTCTATAAAACCTATAGTAATATATTTTTTCCCAATTTTGGGCTGGGTTTGGGCCTATGTGTGTTTGACACACAAGACAGGGATGGGCCTACATTAGACTATCGTCAACACTGCAGTCCAATAATAATGGAGAGACAGAATACTGTTTGAAGAACAGAAGAAGGGATTGAGGTTGTCAAACTCTCTCTCTAGCTTATATCCATTAAAAACTAAAAAATCGAATTAAAAAAAAAGATCTAGTTCGATTTTTTGGTTTAGCTATTTGGATTACTCGGTTTTGTTCGGTTTATGAATTTTGGTAATTTTAGTAATGTTTTGTTTGGTTATAGAGAATAGTCGAATGTGTCCAAAAATAAAATAGAACCAACTTTAACAATCCTATTTGATTCAATCAATTTTATACGTAGTTTCAGTTTTTTTTTTTTTTTTTTTTTTATCCTATTTGATTCAACAAATTTCTATACGTAGTTTCAGTTTTTTTTTTTTTTTTTTTTTCAGTTTTTTTTTTTTTTTTTTTTTTCAGTTTAATAAAATATATAATTCAACTTTATCAATTCGGTTTGATTTAAAACCGAACCCACGGGTTGTACACCTATATATATATATATATATATATATAGCGAAAGGAGAGAGAGAAGCAAACCCATCATCAAGATCTTTTTCCTTCTAATAGATTAAAAAAAAATAGAAAGAAAATTGATTGGGGTCCAAAAAACATTCTCACCAATAAGACCAACCAATGCTAGAGTGGACCCTCACAGAAACAACAGACCTGACTAGAACAAAGTAACATCTGGATTTTAAAAAAAAAAATGTTGAACTCAAAAAAATTAATGAAGTGGGTCCAATTCAATTGCACGGTTGGATTGATCTAGTAATAATATAATGGTAGAATTATTACTTAATCCTTAAATTTAATCTAAATTATTACTTAGTCCCTCCATTTTAGTAAATACTTTATATTATTGATAGTTAATCTATTTAATTCATTCAATTGAATCTACTAATTACTATTTTCTTGATCAAAATTTCAATAGAACAATTTATAAAAAGAAATCTATAATAAAAGCATAAAAAACATGTAATGTCCATGACCTCCAAAAACATTTCAAGTGAAGGATCTATTATTGATTAGGGCTTTTGGTTGAAAATGAAGTAGTAAATGGAAGGGAAAGAGATGGGGGAGAAGACACATCACCTAACGGATTAGGCATGCAAATGGGTAAAGGGGTTGAACGTAGAAAATGTGTACCAAACCCCAACGACCAATGGGGACATACATGTGGGTACAGAATGGATGGCAACGAGGCTCGTTTCCCACCTCCACTACCATCTCCACAAAACCTAGTTGTCATTTTATTTTATCATCTTAGATCATGTGATATACAAAAAATGTTCTGATTAGAATTAATGTCTATGGTTAGACATTTACAAGTTTACAACACTCAAATATCTTCCTATTTGAATGCATACTCCAATCAGCAAACACATGACTTGCCTACCAACATCAAACCTATCTGATATATTTCATATTTTGTCAACTTCCACAGAATGTCAGACTTCTCATGATTGGAAACAAGAAATATGACTAAGTTGCATTACAATTGTAAATGGGTTAAGTCGCTAGTTCATAAGTGTAACATCCCTTCCCGGTCCACCCGTAACCCGAATGAACCGAACCGAGACGCTACAAACTGGTTGACTTTATGATCTGACATGCTGAAATCATAATGTATATTGAATATAATATCATGCTGATGCTGTTTACATTAATAATGTACTTAATATTTACAAAACATGATATTAGTGTCAAATTTGTTTCTAATACAGCTGGCTGTTTCTGCTGTAAAAGTTACTCTGTTTTCTAAACTAAAACCTTTTACCTCCAAACCTTGTGTGTGTGAGTATTAAAAGTGGTCTGACAGCCCTGTACATGCCATAAAAAGGGTAGACAAAAATACATATTAAAATGAGTAGCTACCCTGAAGACTGAGTCTTCTACAGATGAACTGCAGCAGTTAGCTACCCTGAATACTGAGTCTTCTACAGATGAACTGCAGCAGTTGCAGGCTGACTCTCTACGGTCCAATCTCAAAACCTGCGAGTTAAACAGGTAACTCGCTGAGCAATAAAGCTCAGTGGATATCTCAACACATAAAGAAACAGTTAAGCACATACATAGATAAAATGAGCATGTAAATGCATATGGATAACTAAACATATAAGCACATATAGCATGATCCTTTCCTTATACCTTGATTATCTTTCGTACTGGGTGATAAGACTGTATGATTCATGAAATGTTATGTCAAGATATCCAAAGATATTTGGTATGGCTCCATATAGGTTATAGTGAAAACCGAAGTGATAAGAAAAACTGTATGAAACTGATGAAATACTGTGATGCTTGCTGCTGATGGGCCCATCATATACTAATCATATCCACTCAGATGGCCTGTAGACTGGTAAGTAGCCAAACTGTAATGGGGTGGCAGATCTGCTTCCTATGGTCGCGACATTTTTAGCCCTTATCTACATGGTTTCTACTCTAACCTACAATTCGGAGCATAAAATGTTTGGTATGTTCATGATATAACACAACAATCATATTCATCGTTCATAACTTCAAAATAAATCATGAATGTTTGATTTGATTTCACACAATTTGTAATGCTGTGCCATGTTTGTTTTGATACAGATTAAATGTTGTATTTTTGGTTGTAAATATGATTGGAAATCAATACAAGTTGAGGCCAAAGAATCCAATGTGCATAGGGAAAATAAAGTCCAAAAAGTGCAATGAAACACACAAGTTCGCCGAGCATGCTCGCCTTGCAAAGTCGCGAGCGCGTAATGCACACCTGAAGGTCAGTGAGTGTTTCGCAGGTGAAAGTCGCTTGAAGCGCGCATTGCAAAAGTCGGCGAGCGCGAGAAATGCAAAAAATCAGAGTCAGTTGTGTGATCGGGCACAAGTAGCGAGGCGCAAAATGAAAAGTGCGCGTCGCGTACAGTGCAAAATTGAAGAGATAGTGATTCCCGAGTGGCCAAATGTCCAGAGTCGCACTTGAAGAAGTCGTCGATCCGCGTAACACACCAAATATGGAGAGTCAGAGAGTTTCCAGGTGAAAGTCCGGAGAGCCGCCGCAAATGAAAAATCGGCGGTCGCGTACAGTTTCAGGTGAAAGTCGCGAGCGCGCAAATGAAAATCGCGGTCGCGTACAGTGCAAAATGAGAGTCAGTGAGTTTCAGGCACAAGTCGCGACCTCTTTAGGCAATTCGCGCGTGCGTCGCGTTTTCCAGCCTGCACAGTCTGTACTCTTTTGGTCATATCTCTCAATATACAACTTCGATTTGGATGATTCAATGGATAAAAAAATTTAAATGGATAAAAAGTTTTTTTGCTTATACTCATTGGATAAATTTAAAGAGTTTTTCATACCAAAATTTATTTAATAAATGAATTGAGCTTGAGCTAAAAGTCGAGTTTAAAAATGGATATATATACACAAGCGTACGTATGCTATAAATTATAAATAAGCGTAGGATGAATTGGAGTTCGAGTATACTTTTAACAAACTGAATACGTGATTAATAAAATTTAACTTGGAATAGATTCAAATCCAAAGATTTTTCTAACTTAAAAAAAAAAAGTTTTAAAAAACAGCTAAACACAAAAATAAAAGTAATGAAAATAAAATATTTTTGCAATTAGACTTGTTTATATGCTATCAGTCGATATGTGATCTACATATCAATACAATTATAGATTATCAAAGGAAGTTAATTATTTGTCAAACGTATAAAGTTAATTGCACTATTTGACATAAGAGTATATATTTGTTTTTATTTATAATTATATTTTCTTATAATAGAATTATACTTTCATAGCCAAGAAAAATAATATTTCAAATTTCCCATCTAATTAGAAAACCCTAAACAATTATACATTATTAGACATTTATTTCATCTCTCTCCTGCCATGAAAACTTCAAATCTCACAGCATAGACTCTTCAATTTTCACTTTCAACCATTGCTATGTAAATACATTTAGTCTTATTAAGTAAGAAGATGATGATCATGGCAAATCATTTACAAAGCACTTTAAAGATCCAAGTTTTGAAACTTTAATTTAACAAAATTGAGATTAATAATTTATCTTACAAAAAGTTTTAGACCTTCACCATCTATTAGGAGTCATGAAATTTGGTGAGAATGCAAAAAAGATTTATGTTGTGTCAAGTTGATTTCTTTTTGTCCATATAATCATAAAGTGACATTCAGTTGAATGCTTAATCTAGGATTATAATTGCTTCATTCTTCTCTACCCCTTTATTCTTTCTTTTTCAAGTCAAAATGGTAATGATGCATCTTCAAAGGAAAATGATCCTCAAAAAAAAAAAAAAAAAAAAAAAAAAAAAAAAAAAAAAACCTCAGAAAAAAAAAAAAAAAAAAAAAAAAAAAAAAAGAGAAAGAAAAAGAAAAACATCAGAGGTCCTACAGGTAAATAAATAAAATGATAGTTAAGATTATGGTTGTTAGCCACAATAAATGGCCTTCAATATACAATGGAAAGTGATCATTATATATTAACATAAAATAAAAAAAATAAATAAAAAGAAGTAGTATTTCATGAAAATTTAAGCTGATTTATCTCCTTATAATAATAAGATATTAGTTTATCTCAAAGTACAAATTTTTCAAAAAAAAAAAAAAAAAAAAAAAAAAAAAAAAAAAAAAAAATTTGGACATACACATAATGCTAAAAGAGCATTCAATGAATTTTCAAATTACTTAAGTAAATAGTGATAAGAACGACATGCGGTTTCCTAACTTGTCAACGACAAGATTTTATATTACATATGTGACTATATTTCATGACATTTTTTCATATGATCAGTATTTTTCTTGACCCATTTAAGTGCTATCTGAATGACTCTAAGCTTCTGTACTTTTCCTTTGAGGATGAAAGTACAGCTCTATGCATGATCATCACTCAATTATTGGCTTGTTGGTGTCAATTCTATGTTTCTCCATTGTGCATTATAGATCAACATTATTAATTGGTTTTGTACTGAACAAATTTTTTTTTTTTTTTGATAGTTAATAAGATAGTATATTATAATAAATCATGAGAAATAAGATCTTCAATACATTGGGGAGTCGAGTCCCATAGATGGAAACAAGGGTGAAAACATGCCACACGAGCAAGAGCATGTACAGGCATGTTGACTTGCCTCCTAATCCAAACCAATTCACAAGATGGTATTTGAGAAAGCAGTTGTTTAATCTCTTCTAGCACTGGTGCCCAATCTGAATAAGATTCAAAACCAGCTGTTACAACTTGAACCAGTTGCAAGCAATCGATTTCCACTAAAACCCTACCATGAGATCTCGTGAGCAACCAAGACAATACTTCCCTAAGACCGATGGCCTCTGCGATGTGAGGTTTCAACACCCCTGCAAAATGACCCGTGCAAGCTGCTACGAATTGCGCAAAATGACGCCGTGCAAGCTGCTACGAATTGCCCAGCTTCATTTCGGATTAGGCCAGCATACGATGAAACGACCCTTCCGCGTAATGGACAGCAGCAATCAATGTTACACTTTAACAACCCCATCTCGTGAGCAACCAAGACAATACTTCCCTAAGACCGATGGCCTCTGCGATGTGAGGTTTCAACACCCCTGCAAAATGACCCGTGCAAGCTGCTACGAATTGCCCAGCTTCATTTCGGATTAGGCCAGCATACGATGAACGACCCTCCGCCGTATGGACAGCAGCATCAATGTTACACTTTACAACCCCAGTCGGTGGAGGAGCCCATGTCAAAACTGAAGCCGACGGTACATAGGAGTTGCTTCGATCGATCTGCGCATTCTGCCATTCTCTAAGAAAGCCGGTGGCTGCCATGACAATGTTGTAAGGATCAACATTAGTTTGTTGCCAAACTCGTCGATTTCTGTCAAACCAGATAAAATAACACAACACACTGAAGAGCAAGCAATGCTGATCACTACGCCGATCAATTAACCCCAACAACGTATCATTAAAGTCAGTGATTGATCGATCCAATGGAATCCCTGCTAAAGTCCAACACAGTCGAGCTTTCTCACAAAGGAATAGCATGTGCATTGTTGTCTCAATTTCACCGCAGAAAGGGCAATGGTCATCCTCTATAATTCGCCTGCCAAAGAGTGTAGCTTTCGTTGGTAGGATATTACGACACGTCCGCCACAGCCAGTGCTTAACCTTCGGTGGGGAAGCTAATTGCCATAATTTAGCCCAGATTGGCGAAGTTATGTTTGCTTCAGGCTCCACAAAGTTAGGTAGGACAAATTTGTAACCTGATTTAACGAGGTACTTCCCTGAACTTGAGAAATTCCATATTAGTTTATCTGCCTGGGTAACCCGAGTAAAGGGGATAGATAGAACCTGTGACACGTCCTCGGGAAGGAACAGTCCAGTAATTAAATCCACATTCCAACCATTAGACATCCTTAGATTTCCAACTGACATATTCTCAGAACCAGGAACAACTGGGCTATGTGAGTAAAAATCATTATCATTTGGTAACCACGGGTCATGCCAAATGCTAACGCTTGAACCGTTACCAATTCTCCATCTATACCCTCTTTTTAGAAGTGACTTAACTGAGACCATGCTCCTCCATATGAGACTGGGATTATGCCCTAAAGGCGCATCCAAAACATTCCCCCCTGGAAAATATTTTGCTCTGAGAATGGAACATAGAAGAGTATTCGGCTCAGTGATAAGTCGCCAGGGCTGTTTACCAACTAGGGCAATGTTAAAAGAATATAGATGTCTGAAGCCAAGACCGCCCATAGTCTTTTCAACGCACAGTCGATCCCAACATAACCAAGGAATTCCTTTACCATTCGAGCCCTGTGTACCCCACCAAAAGGAATTCATAATTCTTTGCAATTCCTTTACCATCCGTTACCAATTCACAACTGAACAAATTTTTTGACCGAAAAAGAAAAAAACAAAGAAAGAAAAAGAATCACTACATTGAGTTTGCTCCAATAGAGAAATTGAGAATAATTAGAACAAAAACAAAGAGCTTTAAACTTTTCAATCCAAATATTGAACTAGACATGATAATTATTTTTATCATATATTTAGTTCGAGCTATTGAAAGAGCTACTCGATAGAAAATTAGAAAATCACAAGTGAGGGATGTTTCTTACAGTTGATCTCTCAAAATTTTCATCAGAACGTTTGAGATTCCAATTTTGAGCACCACAGTATTAGTGTGTGAAAAACAATTTATCCTGCATAGGTTGATCTCAAGAGTCGATGATAACGAATGTTTGTTTTCCTTTTGTCTTATCATATACCAAACAAAACGTTAACTATACATATCTCAGAGAAATACATATTTGATGCGCTACGTGGACAAATTAACCACTCAAAAGTCATTGGACCTGAAAATGACCCACCAAAGCACATGAGTGGAATTTGGTCATGCATGTGCATGGCTTGTAGGGTAGGTCCTGTCTCCCTTTTTAGGGTAATAGAAATTGAAGATTTATGATAACTTTATTTCCGTTAATTGATGTTCAAAAAGAATTTTCTGAACAAACTTTTCTTTAATTAAAATTTTCAGTTTTTTAATCAAAAATTGGAGGATTAGGATTTGCGTATTTACTGTTTTTGCTCCTTCATAGTTAACATAAATCTTCCTCTAATTACAGATAATAAGTTTAATTCCCCCTAATTATAGGCATTAAGTTCAGTTTAACTGTTTGGAAGTAATTACTAACTAGGAGATTGCAAGTTATTATCTCCTTATATGTAAAACCTAATATCAAAAGTTAAATCTCAATGTAAGTACAAACCCTTATTCATCAATATAAGAAGCCATTGAGAATGAAATGAAGAAAATAAATGCATGTAACTAATTAACAGTATTAACCCCAACAGGCTTTAAAGTGACTAAAGTTGAGCCCTGAAAAAATGTTACCTTGCAGCTGATAAGGAATGGAGATCATATCTTAGCCACAAACTTCTTAAGAGGGTCCCATCTCCCTTGTCTCTATCACTGTCTGGTAGGAGGCTTGTTTTATTGCTGTTTGCTAAATGACATCTCTCTTCCTCATTCAGATCCTACAAAATAATGATATTAATAAAAACAGCCTCTTTTACACCCAAAAGAATAACAAACAAGAATAAATGTAAGCATTATATATATAATTCAGGAACCTGTTAGCAAATGCCTAAATCAACAACAGAAGTATATCTGGAAAGTGTATTCAAGATAAAAGCAGCATTAATTATGAGCCTCTATATATGTATGTATATAGATTAAATAAGAGGTGGAAAGGAGAAAGATGTGCATGAGAGAAAGGTAGGGTCATGAACATGCAGAAAGACCGAGTCAAGTCTGAGCACCTGATACAATATTCAAAGCATGTATCTCCAAACAGTGAAAAGCCCTGCACTTCAGTGGGGAAGAAAAGTTAAGTAGCACCACCACCAGCCTTGCAGGAAAGGGCAATAATTTCTTGCATTTTTCCAGCTATAAGTCAAACAAATGGTGGTGATGGACATGCATATCATTTGTTACTGTACAATAAAAACATACATCTCTTTAAAGACAAAATGATGGACCCACCAATTTGAACATAGTATCATTGAATTTTGATCTTGCAATTGTAAGTTACTAGACAAACTCTTTATACAAGGGAACCTTCGCACTAGGCTTTATAAAATCCATCAATTGGCATGTGAATTATACGTTTACCATTAAAAATTAGTGAAGAATTATGCTAATGTAATAACCAGAGAGAAAAAAGAAAGTGAAAATTTGAATTTACCTGTCTGAGTTATCATAATGTCATATCATACAACTAAAAGAAAAATAAGCATCTTAATGTCAAATTTTTTTCTAATTGTTGCAATAATATGTTTGGCCCTACAAATAGACATAATCAAATAGTTAACATGTTAATTGATACTGATGCATGGACCAATGCCAAATCATTAAAGTTACACTTATCAAACTGCATTTATTTCCTCACATAAGGTCTATTATCATTCACAAAAGTAAAATCAAAGTCCAAAGACTCTTCACAGTAAAAAATTTGATTTTTTTTTTGCCAAGAATTTATTAGAAAATTGCATAGAAAAAGTGAAGAGTGATTTCTTGTTACAAGAATATTGAGGAGCCAAGAAACACTCAAGTGTATTTGAAAATTGAAAAGCCTGCATAAAGTTTGAAGCTCACCAATGTAATTCTTCCTAGTAGACCTAAAAGGGCTAAGCCATATGAAAGCTAGAAACTTAGCTGAGGCACTTTCAAGGGAAGAGCCAAAAACGCATTAAAAGTGAATGGTCCATACATACCCTACATCTACAATACTCAGTGGCAATTTCGTAATTACAGATTTTAACCCATCACAACAGCTTTAGCTAACCTCTTGCTAGCTAGGTAGAACTCGCTTCTCAATTCTCTCTCTTCCTTTTCCACAGAGGAATGTTTCTTTGGGATTGCAATTATTCTGAAGGCTAAACATTGAGAGACTAAAGAAAAAAAAAAAAAAAAAAAAAAACAAAAAAATAACATCGAGAAGGAAGACAAGAAAGATTAGAAGCTGAATTAATATATTCCTAGTCTTTTATGAAAAAAAAAAAAAAAAAAAAAAAAACAGCAAAGACAAAAAAAATAACATCGAGAAGGAAGACAAGAAAGATTAGAAGCTGAATATATATATCCTAGTCTTTTTATGCAGAGAGAACTTACAAAAACTATCCAAAAAAAAGTCCAAAGCTAAAAGAAATTAAATGTAAACAGACTCAAAATGATCCAAAAACAGTGCTGAATTCTATGCCCATTACTTCACAGCCTGTAATGTAAGAGGCCTTCAAAATCCACAGGAAGCCGACAGTTGAAGATAATTCCAAGCAATCCATGTGGGATTTCTTCCCTTTTTCTGGCTTAACTCTGTGCCACTTGTTTTTCCCTGTTTCCCTACTAATTTTCTCTGCTTCAACTCCAATTTTCAGGCACTCTTCTTCCTGAGAAAAAATCCTGCCCAAGTTTTTCTTGGATTTTAGTTTACTATCATGTGGGACTCAGAGAGTGAATCTATTGGCGCTCGTGATTATGGTAATGGAGTTCTTAGCTCAGCCAAGTATGGCGTCAAGACTGATGGATTTGAGCTCAGAGGCCAGTCATGGTATGGTTGTTAAATGGAACTCAAAACTTTTTATGCAACATTAAACAATCAAGATTGTTCAAGCTCTGGTTTCTTTATTTTTTTCCTTTATCTGTATTATGTGGATTATATTGGCTTATTTTGCATATACAAAGAAGTACAAACTCTTCTTTTTTACTTTTTATTATCTGTTTCTTTCCGTTAATAGTTCAGCACTTCAGCTTCTAATTATTCTTGTGCAGGTATGTTGCAACTGATATTCCTAGTGATTTTCTAATTCAAATTGGAGATGTCAATTTCAACTTGCACAAGGTAAGCTTTTCTTCTTTTTTTTTTTCCCCCTTTTAAAGCTTGAATTTCACTTCTTTAAAGCTTCTATATTTCAAAATTAAATAACAAGAAAATAGAAGTTCTTGACATGTATTTACTTACCCTTCTTCACTATTTCTGCTCTTGTCAAAGTATCCACTACTTTCTCGGAGTGGAAAGATGAATAGACTAATATATGAATCACGGGATCCAGACCTGAACAAGATTGCATTAGATGATCTTCCAGGAGGACCTGAGGCGTTTGAGCTTGCAGCAAAGTTCTGCTATGGCATACCAGTTGATCTAACAGCAGGCAATATCTCTGGCCTTAGGTGTGCTGCAGAGTACCTAGAAATGACAGAAGACTTGGAAGAAGGCAATCTTATATTCAAAACTGAAGCTTTTTTAAGTTACGTGGTGTTATCATCATGGAGGGATTCAATATTGGTGCTGAAAAGCTGTGAAAAGCTCTCGCCTTGGGCAGAGAATCTTCAGATTGTTCGAAGATGTAGCGAGTCCATTGCTTGGAAGGCTTGTGCCAATCCAAAAGGTATAAGGTGGACATACACTGGAAAACCACCTAAAGTTTCAAGTCCAAAATGGAATGATATGAAAGATTCAAGTCCTAGTAGAAATCAGTCAGTTCCTCCTGATTGGTGGTTTGAAGATGTTTCAATCCTTAGAATAGATCACTTTGTTAGGGTCATTACTGCTATTAAGGTAAAGGGTATGCGGTTTGAGTTGATTGGAGCTGCAATTATGCAGTATGCAGCCAAATGGCTTCCTGGTTTGATTAAAGATGGGGCAGGGCCTGTTGATGAAGGAAGCAATAGTAGTAATAGCAGTAGCAGTAGTTGGAAAGGTGGACTCCATATGATTGTTGCAGGAACTAAAGATGACATTCCATCAGTTCAGGCAAAAGATCAGCGTTTGATCATTGAGAGTCTTATCAGCATAATTCCACAGCAGAAAGATAGTGTCTCTTGCAGCTTTCTCCTTCGCCTTTTGAGAATGGCAAACATGTTGAAAGTGGCACCTGCATTGGTTACTGAATTGGAGAAACGTGTAGGCATGCAGTTTGAACAAGCAACATTAGCAGACCTTCTAATTCCTTCTTACGACAAGAGCGAGACTTTGTATGATGTAGACCTTGTTCAAAGGCTTCTAGAGCATTTCCTGGTTCAGGAACAAACAGAAAATTCAAGTCCAAGTAGACAACCATTTTCTGACCAAAGGGTTACTAATCCAAATGCCAAAATGAGAGTCGCAAGGCTTGTTGACAGTTATCTCACAGAGGTTTCCAGAGATAGAAACCTCTCACTGACAAAGTTTCAGGTACTTGCAGAAGCTTTGCCAGAATCTGCAAGAACCTGCGATGATGGGCTTTATCGAGCAATTGATTCTTATCTAAAGGTAATCCCTCTTTTTCACTTTTCTTTAAGATTTTTATCATGAATACTGAATAGTAAGAAGCCTATTGCATTTTTTAGTCTTACATGCAAGTATAGAACATCTCGTAAAACTTGAAACAGAGATTTATTTCCAAAAAGCAGCTTATCATGATTGATTAATTGAAGCAAAAAATTGAAAAAGAAAATAATCCACCCCTACTATATATGTGTAATAATTATGTATAAATAAATGTAAAGATTCTAACTGTATTCCTAAATTCTACTGCTAGCGTTGCAGAAACTAAATGAAGTTATGTCTGTGCAGCAATTGATGAGTGAATATGTCAATCATAAATGTAAACAGACTATACCCAGTTAAATATAGGAAAATCATAAATGTGAGACTAGTCAAAAGAAAATGACAAAAAATAGCATGGCCCCTGCAACATCCATCCCCACAGAGAAACATTTCTTTCCATCAGTATCATAAATTGACTTGTCAAGATAATGAGATCAGCAACAATGTGAAAACTATAAGCATTGTGTGATAAGGAATGTATACATGTAAGAGTTTTTTTATGAAGTCGTTTTAGGGGAAGTTGATGAATCATTATAGAAGAAGCTCAAGCGTTTTGGGGGATTTCAGGTTAACAACTTATAGGATCAACTTTCCAGATGAAATGTGTGATTTTTCCTTTTTTTCAGAATTCTTATTCAAATCACATTTCAACAGGCCCATCCAACACTCTCTGAGCATGAAAGGAAGCGTCTTTGTCGTGTGATGGACTGCCAAAAACTCTCGATTGATGCGTGTATGCATGCTGCTCAAAATGAGAGACTACCACTTAGGGTCGTGGTGCAAGTACTTTTTTCTGAACAGGTAAAAATAAGCAATGCATTGGCCAGTAGCTCCCTGAAAGAAGCTGGTGAAGCACAGTACCAGCCCATGATACCAAATCGAAAAACACTACTTGAAGGGACACCGCAGTCATTTCAAGAAGGGTGGACAGCTGCCAAGAAGGACATAAACACACTCAAGTTTGAACTCGATAGTGTTAAGACTAAATACATTGAACTCCAAAACGACATGGAGAATTTGCAGAGACAGTTTGACAAGTTGACAAATAAGAAACAGGCATCAGCATGGACCAGTGGATGGAAGAAGCTGAGCAAATTTACAAAGATGACAACTATAGAAAACCATGATGTTGGACCTCAGATTCCAGCAGTTACTGCAGAACAGACTAGAAAGACTCCTAGAAGGTGGAGAAATTCAATTTCCTGAAAGATAAAAAGTACAACGGAAGAGGTCGGCAACAAAGGAATAGATTTTACAATTTGATCCTATGTTCGTGCAATAATTTTCTTCCTGTGTTTCTTTGGAAGTCAGGTTCTCTTTTTTCATTTTTAATTCCTATTCTTTTCATTTTCCTTTCCTTTCCTTTTTTCACAAAATTTTTAGCCTTCACCACAGAAATCTAGCAGAAGAACAATTTGTCACCAAAATCTGGTCAAGTCATCGGTGTTTTTGTCAATTCTTATTTTAAGAGTAATTTGTTTCTCACATGCTGAAATATAAAGTTGCACTTGATTATCTCTCTTCCCTACTTCCCTACCTTGTGAGAAATTCACAAAAACAAACAAATGATGTGAGCAGCACAACCATTGGCATATATGACCTCATAAATGACACGGAAACACATGCATTCACCAAAAAGAACAAGTATCTTGTATTCATCCTTAATCCCTTCAAATTTATTTCATTATATTGACTATAATACATACTTAAAGAGGTAACTGAAAAGGTAACAGCAGAACAATTGAACTCTGTACACTAACATGCGAAGAATGAGCTTGATTTGGGGGCAACTCACGGCAATTATAAAGAGACAATTTCACAAGAGCCTCAATTCGAAGGAGGTGCCCCAAGGGAAACAGGATTAATTTACCCTGATATAATTTCCGGAATTCTGTTTACAAAATTGAACCGGCAGAATAGTTAAGCTCTAAGTTTGTGACAATTAGCTTAGTTATTACATTTGCTTGGATTTTATGAAGTACAAATGATACAGTCATATTGTAACAGATTCCATAACTATGATTTTTTTGGGGGCTACAGCAGCAGGATGATATGAATCATAATAATGATAGTATGCCACATAGACGATAAGGTAACAGCCTTTTTTATCACATATCACCTCACATGAAAAATATACTGATGTAATATGTCAAGGCAAAATGCTCAAGTCACAAAGATTTTAAATGTCAGAAAAGTGTAAATATATAAGATAATTTCGCCATAGCTCTTACCTAACAGTATTTGTGTAGCACCTCACAGCACTCCAGCCAGTGCATTGCCACATTTAGAGGTAAATAATGGCAGGCACATCAATGATATGTTACAGAAAATTCATTTTGAAGGTCCAAATTGTAACTCATGTTCAAGCAAATAAAGTATTGGGTCCCATGGCCTTTCTGGAGGACCCACTACCATTTCTGGGCATTGTTGTGAAAAAAAAAAAAAAAAATGGTAATTTCTAGCTTGGAAAGTTTCTACCATCTTTCAGGTAAGTTGTTACTGCCAAAACATTCTTTTAGACCTTACCAAAATCATGGTATAGTTCCTGAGGCGAAATCTTCCTCACCAATGCTCTTGCCAACAGAGTATTCAAGCAACCATCTACTTGCATAGATGCTCCCAGGGTACATAACAAATACTTATGTTGGAGTAAACATATTGTATATATAAATGAACTTCATGTATCAAAAATCTGTCCTTCACGTAATAGTACTGGTGCTTAAACTTCATATATCAAAAATCTGTCCTTCACTTAGTTCCATCGTGCTTCTATAAATCCTAAATCATGATTGATGGAAGCTTATATTTAAGTGCTTAACTTGGGATTCTGCTTAAAAATCTTTCTTTGCGGTAGGAAATATATTTTTTATTGAAGTGGCACCAATTTGAGAAACAAAAATTTATTAAAGCCCAACATGAGTTTCAGCGGTCAGTATTTATTCCAGGAGCTTAAGGTGCTGTTGATTACCTTTCAAGTGCTCAGTTGGGAGACAAAATTACTTGCCACGGTAGAGCCATTTCCCAAAGCTAATCCACAAGCTATGTTTTTTAAATCAACTTTAAAGAGAAAAAAGGAGTGTGGGAAAGGGAAGAGCAGTGAGGTTGTAGAGACCTATATCTAGCTAGATAAATAAAATTATTGCAGTATTTAGTTACTAAGTTGATAATATGTGCCTCAAGAGTTGGATCTTATAGCACAGCAACAAGTATAGCTTGCAAGAAGAATACCATCGTCTCACATGCATAACTTACCATAGGAAATAGAGAACAAGAATATGCATCACAAGCACACTACCAAGAAATTTGAAGATTACAAGAAAAATAAGAAAGAAGTAGAAAACTTTCTTATTTGACAAAAGACGACCTACAGTCACAGCAGTAGTGCTTCAATCTTCACAGGTATTATGTGAGGTTATCAAGACAGTTAATTATAGAATGCAATAAATTAATGGAAACTGAAAATCCAGTTGGACAGAATCAATCAATTCAATATAAACATAACAAACTATTGAGATAATAGGATGATTTGGTATCTCAGTCATGGAATAGGTGAATCTACAACAGATGACTGTTATAAATTAGATGCTGTACTCAAACTATCAGGAGACATGTTAATCATAGTACTCAAACTATCATGAATGTTACAAAGTGCAAATCTTTGATCAACCAATGCACTCAAGTTTGAATCTTGGATTGGGTGCTAGCTTACTCCCACATTGGTAATAGACAAAATTGTTAAGTAGTTTAGATAGGATCAACTAATCACACTTTTTCTTTATTTCTGTTTTGTTCTCGAGGGAAAGAAATCAAATTTAATTGTCAAATTTTATCTATAATTTAATTTTAAAATATAAATGGATAAAAGAAAAAACTCAGATTTGATTTAACATTGCTATTTAGTTGAGCAATAACAAAATAAATGGGCTATTTAATTAATTTTCAAAAACAGAGGTCCTAATTTGTGAATTTCACTAAACTACAAAGACAAAATAGTAATTCACCTTATCGATATACGAATATATGATATAACCATATAATTGCAATAAACATAGCAATTTCAGCACAGTTACAGGCTAATAACACTTTATCAAAGCACTACTGACCATCAGCACTCAATGCATATAACTCATCTAGTCAAAATCTCAGAGGTAAGAAGATATAAGATTGCAATTCATACATATACCATTTCTTCATGTATTTGAACACATATAAATTAATCATTTAAATGAATGTTGGCAATTACAAAATGCAATCAAAGTGGAACCCAGTTGACTAATTACAACAATCTTTGGAGCCCTTCATGCAGATTGAATCAACAAGAAACTTAACTAGGACCTGATGGCCTTCAAAATTAAAGTGGGGCAGCTCAAAGTGCTTGTCAAGGGAGACAAAACTGGGTGCTTATAATGTGTCCATACGTAAAAGCACTCTAAATAAAAGAGTAAAAGGCCACCATTGTCTAGCAATAAGGCAACATCAGACTACAGAATCTTTGATTCAGAACTTTTGTCGAACAGATAACGCAAATGCCAAATTGGTCTTGAATGTATATAAATTAGAAACATACATTGCATGGCCTTGCGTTATATATAAACAATAATGGGATCATAGAACTTAGAAAACGATTTGAAGTATTATGTATTACGAGAGATAAAAGAAGAAGTAGCAAGCGAACCTGTACTATTAAATTTTATTTATGGTATCCTGATGGTGCGAAGAGTGAAACTACAGCATACATCAGGGACATGTATGACATTAAAAATTACCCGTCAAACGGAAACTTTTCTGTACAGGAAAAGGAAAAGAAATTACCTCTCAATTTGACTGCAATATATAATTTGTCTAAAAGATAGCTTTTTTTTTTTAACAATTATCACCTAATTTTGCACTAAATGATAAAAAAAAATATCCAACTTGTAGGCAAAAAAATTAAATTAATAATTGTTGATATTTTTATTATTGCTGGTCTTTTTTATGACGTATCTTACACATTGACTATACTCGTTATATATTTATACTTTTTTTAATTTTTTTATCTATATAATATTAAAATATAAATGATAAAAAAAATATCCAAAACTCTTGTAGGCAAAAAAATTAAATTAATATTTTGAATTTTTATTTATTCTGGTCTTTTTTATGGAACGTATTTACAGCATTGACTTATACTCCGTTATATATTTATACTTTACTATACTCGTTATATATTTATACTTTTTTTAATTTTTTTATCTATATAATATTAAAATATAAGTTTTTGTTTAGATTAAAATAAATACAATTGTTTAATTTATATTGAATTTTGTCGTACAAACTAATTATAATACTACTTCTTATATACTTAATTCTATTCTTTTATAAAGAAATGATCTCAAAATAAATTCAACTCAATCACTAGACTTAATCCTCCGGTTCTTAATTTATAAATGTAGATTTTTAAATCCTTACTAAGTGCCTAAAAAGAAAATCAAGTAATCACTCAATATCCAACCTCCTGCCTTCAACCCTAAATCAATATCTATATATAACTGCAATAAAAAATAATAATAAATTAGCTTTTACTGCTGGGTAAAGAAAAGAAATGACCATATGATCTAAATTGATAATAATAATTATTTTGGCTATATTGACAGTAATACTTATCCAGTGTGTTAGAGAAATGAACATATGCACATACACACAAATTATTGAAAACCCAAAAAATGGCTTAAAACGAAAATATATAGTTATAGTTTTTTCTAGTTTTATAAATATTATTTTCTTTCAAGTCAAACAAACATGGAATATGATAAAAAAATATTAAAAAAAGTAATCATCAAGAGGCCATATATTTATTGCAAGGTAGATTTAAATCTCTTACTAAATTAAAGTGATAATAGTTACAAATTAATTCAGTAACAAAAAAAAATAAAAAATAAAAAATTATTATTAAGAATAGAACTCTTTTCAGAACTCAACATATAAGAAGAAATAAATTATTTTAAAAAAATTACTGATTTGAATTTAAAAAATCAACCATTTCTTTAACTGAAAATGCTATAATTTAATGAAATTTGATCTTGATAGACTCTTTAACTGAAAAATGCTATATTTAAATGAAAATTTTGATCCTTGATTTAGACAAAAAAAAAAATAATAATATATATATATATATATATATATGTACTATAGTTAAGTCAATAAATGAAAATTATAATGAAAATAATGCTAGGATGTAATTTTATTTCTCTATTTATTTAAAATTGCAAAAATTTAAAATAAATAAATAGAATTAAATAAATAAGTTAATTAATTAAAATAAAAAAAGATTAACACAAGAAATGTTCGTATCTTCGACAAACTAAAACCCAGAATTTTTCCTACATACCATAGAGAAAAAGAAAAAATTTATATATATTTTTTATTATTTATAATGTATTTATTAAATTTATATCACAATGCGAATAATAAAATGTAATTTTTTCTTTTTTTCTTAAAAAAACAAGTATCCCCGAAGAGTAAAAACTTAAATCTTGCACGCACCGGAAATATAGCTAAGTCAATAAATGAAAATTATAATGAAAATAATGCTAGGATGTAATTTTATTTCTCTATTTATTTAAATTGCAAATTTAAAATAAATAAATAAATAAATAAATAAGTTAATTAATTAATAAAAAAGATTACACAAGAAATGTTCTATCTTCGACAAATAAACCCAGAATTTTTCCTACAACCATAGAGAAAAGAAAAAATATATATATTTTTTATTATTTATATGTATTTATTTAAAATTTATATCCAATCGAATAATAAAATGTAATTTTTCTTTTTTTCTTAAAAACAAGTATCCCGAAGAGTTAAAACTAAATCTTGCACGCACCGGATTCGCCCAAGAAAGGATAAAATGCTCTCAACAAGTATTTGTTCCGTTCACATGGATCAAACCCTTAACATCACTTAAGGGAGAAGAGTGCCGAACCACTCATCCAAACACTCGTTGGTATAAAATGTAAATTTCGAATTGGCTACGACTAAAGTTATTTTAGGATATTCCAAATTTCATTAAAGTCAATATCGAAAATCTCATTATTCTTTCTCCTTTTCTTACATTTATATATAGTATGGATAGATTATTTTTAACGAAATAATAAGTTTTGCCTTTAATAATAGCAAAGAATTTTATTTGTTTATTTTTTGTATAAATCACCGCTATTCGGACCTTATTATGAGGGATTGGCTAATTCGGTTCGAATCCAGTTAATCCGGCTCAGGATTTAGTCACAGTTAAATAAAATTTTTTTGGAGTTTCTGATGTTTAGAGTACTCAAGAAAATCAATCATTATATTTCCCTAATCAAAGAAAAATTAAGTTATTTTAAAAGAAAATAACTTCTGCTTTTTAAGGGTGAAAATATTTGAGACGAATTTATTATATTCTTATAAATATACATTTATATTAATTTATTAACTACCTATAGTGTCCATTATAGAATCATTGCTAATAACAGGCTATCACCACTGATGAACGAAACTATCATAATTTCTCATTTTTATATAAATTTTTTTAATAATTAACGATAAATTTTACAAAAAATACATTATTAAAAAATATTTTTTAAAAATAAGTTATTTTTCTAAAACAAACTAAACAATGTTTTTATTTTAAATGAAGGAACAAAAATTTAAATGACTTAATTTTCTCTTTAAATAGAAAAATATTCTTTATTCACTGATTTTTCAAAATACCCTAAATATCAAAAAAGTTATATTTCAAAAATAAATTGATACTCAATTATCAAAATTTTTTTCTCTTCTATCTCAAAAACCATCCTTGTTTCCTATTTAGTGCTTTTGAGGAAGCAACATACACATTAATCTTCTGAACCAACATCATGATCAACCTAGTATATGTTACCTTTTAATAACCTAAAGAAGAATGAATATAAAACAAAAAATAAAGAAGAAAAAGAAAAGAAAAGAAAAGAAAAGAAAAGAAAAAGGAGAGAGTGAAGGAGAGAGTTGTGTGAAAAAGAAAAGAGAAATTAGCAAAGGAACACATGCTTTCTACCACCTTTAGTAGCATCATAAGCATTTTAAAATATAATTTTTATGCAATTAAAATCATTATCATTCACTGTTAAAGGGAAGAGAGAAAGAGAGAGAGAGAGAGAGTTAGTGGGTTCCTTAGGTTTGAACATTATAGTGCAATGGACAATAGTGTGTTTTCCCGATCAATCTTTTAAATTTCAACTTTCCAAGATTACATGACATGTAAAACCTTAATTTATCTATTCTTGATTAGGTCTCCACTCAATAAGGGAAGCATAAATGTATTCTAAACCCACTGAAACTAGGGGCGAGCAAACTTTAGAAAAAATCAAAAAACGAATCAAATCAAATTATTTTTGATTTGTGATTTGGTTATTCCATTTTCAGTTTCGGTCTTGGTTTGAAATCTTTCATAATTTCGGTGTACGATCTTTGGATCGATTATACTAAAATATTTAATTTCTGAGTAAAACTGAATCGATATTTATCGAATCTTTATTTTGATTTCATTCCATTTTAAACAAAATTTATTTTTAATTTTTCAAGTTTTGTGGTTTGGTTTCGTTCAAAACCAAACCGTCGGTTTGCACACCCCTAATCGAAACTACATGCTAATTAATATTGGGGAAGGTGATTGAAGGCATGGCCAAAATTAGTCTTGGGACCTCAACCTTAGCCTAGCCATCTAGGCTAAGGCTTCATTGGCTGTAATTTTACTATTCAGACTATTGGCAGATGACACATTCACATTCACAAGCCTTGTTAAAATAAGGACAAAATCAAAACAAAACAAAACAAAACAAAACAAGAAAACAAAAGAGGCCTTGACTTGTATGGTTGACACACAAGCTAGCCATCTAGATAGTATGGTAGGAACTTGTCAGCACTCACAATGAATTGGTGCTGTGATTGACCAATGGTATTTTTATCTATCAAGCATTATTATGCTTTAAAGTTTAAAAATAAGAGGTGTTAGATTTATAGTTCTTGAAGCCTTTGGCTAGTGCTTTAGAAGATAATGTAGCTTCGAATAATGCAGCCACCACCCAGTAGAAACAAACTACCTGAGTAGATCATGTGGCTAGTGACACTGCCAATGTTCCCTGACAAAGAAGGTGGAATTTCATGGAGTGAGTGCTTAACAAACATCTACGTGAAGTGACGAAAACATTAGATGAACCTTTCATATGCAATTGTTTGTCTATAGGCGATTTATTAGTAGCATTATTCGAGAGCGAAGCTAACCATTTAAATTAAGAGCAATATAAAAAATTTTTATAAATTAAACTAAGAGCAGATAAAATTTGCTGATTTAATGGCTATTAATTCTTTTAATAGTATTTTTCAGGACTAACTCTTAAACATCATTATCTTAATCTTTAAAAGCGAGTAAAAACTACTAAAAAACACGGTTGACGAAAACGTACCGAGAGAGATAAATGATTGAGCCAAAGATAGGAAGGCAATGAGAGAATGAATAGAGTAATGAAATACAATATGATATGACACTGTTCCACCAAAATCCCATTCTAGTACACTACTAATTACTCACCTTCCATGCGAGTGCAATCCATAATTTTTGGCAAGAAATCTAAAAGTGTATATTATTATACTCTGAAACAAGACAAAAGCAATGCATAGGGACCAAGCCTATTGCCCTTTTCATTCTTTATAACAATATAAATAAGAGTAAATCCACTTTACCCCTTTAACAGTGTCAAAACTAAAACATTTCTGTATTATCACGAGAACCTGTTATGATAGTCTCAGAACAAAGCATAAATAGCCAAAAGGCACCATCTATAAAATCACCACAAGATTCACTAGCCCCCACATTGCTCAATACTCATCAAAGTCACATGAACACATTTACACATTTTCATAAAAACAGAGCATATCATGTTCTCTTTTTAAATAAGGGCATGTACAAAACATCCATGCATAGGACAATAAGAAGAACAAAAGGGAAAAACAGCCAAATTGAAATGCATTATTCAAATGAAAAAAAATCACTCCACTCCATTTATCACTAGCACCAAATTCACAATCACAACCAGAAAGAAGCATACAAAGCTGACACATCCATTTTGGAAAGTAAGGACTTCACATGGTGCCACCATATACTGTTCAAACACCACTCACGTGTGAAAACATACAAGTAAAGAGATAATTTGATAAGTGGACCCCCACAACTTCATGGTGAGACACCATGCTTCTCTACAGTAGTCCCATCTGAAACTTTCTTGGTACTTTAATAGAGTTTAATGCCACCATGGACGAGGGTAAAGAGAGGAAGACAAATGCAGATCTTTATATATATATATATATATAAAATCAAAGAAAAGCAAGGGTGGATAGTGGGACCCTAATTACCTAACGCGCATGCACTAAATCCATAGGGGTTCTCAACACTCAGGGAAAAGAAAGTCCTCATTTCCAGCACAGTCCACTACTTCGATCATCCCATGCGTTCAAATCTTTATGACTTCTGTTAAGCTTTAATCCACAGTAAAGCTAAAAGATAATCATTTCTGGTCAACAAACAAAACACCATTTTTTTCCCTTCACCTCCTGCAAGCAAAACTGATATGTCATCTGATCCCACTACTCTCCGTTTATTGGCACATTATATACAGCTCTTGAAGAAAAAAGTTGAATAAGTACCCCACATTAGAAAAGATACTATAGTGCTTTCAAACTCATCAATCATTCAAGCAAGAATTCTTGGGTTGCTACTTTTCTTCGTTTCTTTCCATCCAACTTTCTAGCCAACATTCTAATATGGAAGCAGAGGGGAGTGAAACTTAACTGTAATTAACACCTTGAATTTTTGGCTTCATGCTTTAAAGAATTCAAGTAATCTATAGCTATATCAAGGACCAACAATGGGTCCTTGTCCTTTGCACCTGGGATTATGCTCTCCAGAACTTTTAATGTTGCACAAACCTCATCCTTTTTCAATCGCTTGTTGCCAAAAATGGCAACCATTTCCTCTTCTCGGTTTTGCCCAATCACATAGCTCGATTTTGCATCATCATCACACCTATGAACTCCCGCCACTTTTGTCAAACTACAAGTGTTCGCTAATGATGATCTTTTGTACCCGCCATCAAGCAATTTCTGCCTTTTGTTTTGGCAATCAGAATCAGCAACTTCCTCTGTCATTTCTTCTACTTGTCCTCGCATCCCATAACTTCTAATCAGACTGGGAGAGTGGCCAGTGCTTGTTACTTCATCATCATCGCCGCCATCATCATAACCACTATCATCCAAGTAAAGCAAAGCATTGATTTCTTCTGTGTCTTCATGCATCTCACTTTCTTCACCACTCAAGTGATTCTCATCTGACACCTCCTGCAACTTTGGGACTGTGAAATTGATTTGATCCATTTTTGCTGCTGCATGTTCTTCATAGCGCATAAAAGAATCGGTAATAGGTTTTGTAGCAGTAGGGAAAAATGAACTATATATCAACTTTGTTTCATTCCCAGACTGGTCAAAAATAACAAATTTCCGTTGGCATCCAGGGACAGCATTTGGTGGAACCTCCCCAGGAAACCCATTAGAAAACACAGATAGGTTTTCTCTAAGATATGGGTTTATAGTAGGAACCAAATTCTGGATGGAAGGGGGTCGAGGCAAGCCTTGGGCTCCATTGTTTTGTTGTGCCTTCGAACTTGGAAGACTTGGAACAACAACCCCCGCCGTTGTCATATTTGCAGAGAATGTGTACGTGCCTGGGTTCACATATGCAGGCAGACATCCTGGTTGCACGGGCTCAACTGATGTGCTCATGAAATTGAAATCTGGCAATTGCAAAGTAAAACGTGGTGGGAACAACCAAGGATTGTTGGTCTTAACCATCCAGCCACAGGACTTACCTGCATTAAAACAAAGTAAAGACATAATAAAGAAATGAACTATTTGTTATTTTAGCCTCAGAATCAGAACCAATAAAATGATTCCAAACATACCAAGATTCGAGCTTTGATATGGAATATTGAATTATTTTGCTGCTGCTTTCACGAACAATGGAATAAAACACAGAAAAGGAGAAACTACCACTTCCAGCTTGATTTTATTAACACAATGTGCAAAACAATCTACGTAACAGGTTTAAGCAAGTGTCTGAAGTATTCAGCCTGGAAAAATGAACAAAAACATGCAAAGAATCATCATGGGTTCTTAATGACTATTAAAAACAAGTTCTGGGGACTCTCTGTAAAAATTTAATTGCTGGAAAAACCACATGCAATATATAGCATCAAGAAATTTTCTAGTTGATTGCAACAAACAATCAATTAAGTGATTAAGAAAGCATAAATAGCTAGCAACACTAACCTGGCAATCCTGCAATGGTTGATAGCATGCAATGACTCTAACTATTATTGTTGGTTTTCCAGCAATTCCATTCTCATACTTCAAGGCCCGAAATCTTGTTTGACTTGCTGCTTGGCACACCATAACTTCTTCTGACCCCTCAGAACTACAATCTATTCAGATATATTTGATGCCACAAAACAAATGCCTAATAATGGAAAGCTTGATATGGAGATGAAAAATGGATTGGACTATTAGTGAAACAAAGTGAGGTTGAAATGAAATTTGAACTAAAAAAGGTGAAGATCATACAAGGAAACTGGAAGAAACTTCAACTGAACCAAGTTTTTTTTTTTTTTTTAATTATCTTACTAATCCTATAGATAGGGCAATAGAAGACAAAAAGTGATTGGATCACATAAACAGTTTGGAAAATAGTAACAAGCCAAGCGCCTAAAGATTAAGGTTCTGTAGGAGTAATAATTTACAGAATAACCCTGCAATATAAGTTCAATCGAACAACATTGCGGAACACATCAACTGATCGACTTAACCAAGGCATATTGTCGTCTGTCACTCCACAATTAATTGACCACAGATACCAAGATGGATACTCAAATTTCCTGCAAAGAATTATACACAACTTAAATGGTCAGAAATATAATCACAGAGAGAAACTGTAATGCTATAGTAAACCATATAAAGGATCCCTCATCTAAAACCTTAAATAACGATTCAGATACTTTAAAAAAGGAAGGTTAAAAAAAATGAACATTGCATATTGACAACATAGCTTCAAGAGAAGACTATGTACGTTTGGTCCAATTTGGCATAAGCAGCAGGCTGAACATACTTTTAGCTTTTCTCAATATAAACTACAGTAAGCGCATGAGCATCAAATCTCTGAATCCAATATTACAAATAGGTAGAATCCTAACAAAAGTAATCTGTATTATGATCATATCTTTCATTTCATTCCCAAATTTCTCAGAACTAAGCAAAAGCTAAGGAAAAAATTTATTAAGAAAAGGAACCAAGCATATCAAAAATCAGAAAGCGAAAATGACAAAATGAAATACTACAAGTTTCCTTTTTTTCTTTTTATACTGAAGAGTCTCGGCAGATTAGGAAGCTGATAGTGGTTTCAGTTTACGAAAACATAATAATCTCACCTTAATTAAGCAATACCAGTTCAGGCTAGCTCACTCTAGCTCTTCCCAAAAATCAGAACTATAAATCCTAGAAACAGACAGTTACCAGAAACAAAATAGAGCCATCATGTAAAACCCAAAATAAAACCCAAAATCAAGCAGAAAAAGCTTAGAGATATACATAAAATCAATAACTTTATCAAGAAATCCTCAGTTTCCACTAAAACCCAATTATAATCAATGAAAAAAAATGTAAAGATAATAAACAAACCACAAAGAATATTATAAAATCAACTCCAATTTCTAATCTTTTTCCTTGAAATGTCTCAACAATCAAACAGAGGGCGAGCCAAACTCAAAAACCAAAAGAAGAGAGAGAAAGAAACAAGGAGGGAGAGAAAAATAAAGAATATAATTAAATTACTTACAGCGAAAAATTAAACAACTATCTTTGCTCAGATCCAAAGAAACAGAGAGTTGACTCGAGGCAAAATCTTAAAAAATCTGAAAGGTTGCAGAGAAGGAAAGAGAGAGTCAACAGTATGGTTCAGTTCAAGAAGGCTTATGCAAGGAAATGACTAATGAGCTCGATTAGGAATGCTGAGAGATTTTATAGAAAATTATATGACCATACTGCCCTTCGTTTATAATTTAACTGTTATAGAATAGTGTTTGACCTTTCTCAACTGTTAAAATAACCGACACTGATCTTAACTGGTTTGGAACTAAAACTTAAACTTGGTCTTGAGCTGACTGTTGGTCTGGAGCTGACCGTTGGTTGTTGTTTTTTTTTTTTTTTCTTATGAATTAAGATTTGGATGTTATTATTAATATTTTTTAAAAATTTTATATATAAAAATATATTTAAAAATAATTTACTACAAAATAATGAGATGAACTCAACCTGGTGATAAAATTGTAGAAAGTTTCTCTTATGTCCTATTTGAAAAAATAAGACCATTTTCAAAAAAATATTTTAATATTATATATTTGTATTTTATTATTTCTCCAGAAATATTATGATGTATTCAAATTTTAGTAATGAATTGTCAATTTTCTTAAAAAGATTAGTATAAAAAATTTCAATAATAATATTTACTTTGTGATTGTTTAAAAATATAATAAATAAGTATAAAATTAAATTTTAATATGAATATAAAAATTAATAATAGTAATTGGGTTTAGTAATTAATGGGCCCATAGGCAGGCTTGAGTTTTGTAATTAATAATAGTAATTGGGTTAGGTTACCCTTTTAACAACCCAAGTCTAAAGTTCCATCTTGCTATGGTTAAGGTAAAAATTCGTTTGTACATTTTCCATATTCCGACATTATCTTTTACCCATCCCCTAGATGAAATAAGTTTAACCTTACAAACTTTCACATCAACCTACCCGGTCTGTCCAAAATATAAGTTGATATAGAATGAATCGGGCATAATTCACTCCCCAGCAGTTAACTCTAGAGAAGGAGGATTGCTCAAATGTGGTATAATACACCCCTTAACACCGAAACATGAATATCAAAAAAAAAAAAAAAACCCTTTTAACAAAACCCAAGTCTAAAGTTCCATCTTGCTATGGTTAAGGTCAAAAAAATTCGTTTGGTACATTTTCCATATTCCGACATTATCCTTTATACCCATCCCCTAGATGAAATAAGTTTAACCCTTACAAACTTTCACATCAACCTAACCCGGTCTGTCCAAAAATATAAGTTGATCAATAGAATGAATCGGCATAAATTCAACTCCCCAGGCAGTTAACTCTAAGAGAAGAGGAATTGCTCAAAATGTGGTATAATACACCCCTTTAACACCCGAAACATGAAATATCAAAAAAAAAAAAAAAAAAATGGACTAAGTTTAATTTATTTCGCTAAAATTAGCTTTAAGACCATGGAAGAATTATCAAAAAAAAAAAAAAAAAAACCTCATGCCGCAAAATCAACGAGGAACTTATTTTAACCTTTTGACTTTTGGAATTAAGAAATTAAAAAAAAGAAGAAAAAATCTTTCATAAAAGAATCTTGCGCAAAATCTCAATATATTATTAAAGTAATGTTAACCAAACTCCACAAACCAAGAAACTACCATTAAATAATAAAATAATAATAATAATAGCTTAAAAAAAAAAAAAAAAAAACCTCATCCCAAATCAACGAGGAACTTATTTTAACTTTTGACTTTTGGATTAAGAAATTAAAAAAAAAGAAGAAAAAATCCTTTCATAAAAGATCTTGGCAATCTCATATATTATTAAGTATGTAACCAACTCCACAAACAAGAAACTACCATTAATAATAATAATAATAATAATAATAGCTTAACCAAAACTAATAATAACAACAACCACATGCAATAATAATAAAACATGAAATGAAAGACATAAACATGTGCCAAATCACTCATAGCTAGATACCCATTTCATTCATTGGTAATTTAAAATTCATCATTACCAAATTAATTTTAAAAAAAAAATTGACATTTTGCCTATCATTAATTTAATAATAAAATATTTATGATTAATCTCTTAGTGTGAGGGTAACTTAATGTTATTTAAGTCTACTCATCATCAAAGTTCAAATTCCATTGTAAAATCTCTATCTTTGCTGGTTCGAAATATTTGTTACATTTGAAAAAATAATTTATTTTTAAATATTTGTCACATTTGTGGTTTTAAAGAGTAACAAATTTTTTTTCCATGTTTATCCTTTGTATATGACCAATAATTGAAGAGTCTAAAATTTAATTTGGTATTTGGATATATTAAATTAAGGGTACTATAGTAAATTTATTCAATAATTTATTATAATATAGATAAATTTAATAATTTTCTTAAAGACATAAAATTTTAAATGTGATAAGTATTACTAAATAAAATATGATAGTATTATTTATAAATTAATTAATATGGATAACCAAATCCCAAGGATTAATTCCTAATGTGTTGCTTAAAGTGGAGGGAACAAAAATCACACAGCTAAATGAGGAACCCCTCTAGTCTTTTTCCACTCAAACACTATTAAAATAATAATAATAATAATGAAATTAATTTCACAAGTAGTTATATTTTGTGAAGTTTATAGTGCTTTTTGCATTGATTGCTTATACCAATGTTTGTATGTGCTTTTCAAAAGTGTTAATGCCTTGTGACCAAGTAACCACAACCCTCTTTCTATCTTTCTTTCTTTTTTTAATTTTGTTTTGGTTACTAATGGTAAATAAAATAGAAAATGTGATGAGAGTGAGTCAATACAATGCCGGTTTAGTAATTTTCCGTTGATTTATTTTCCTAAACACCTTAAACCGTAAAAACTTTGTGAAAAATATTTTCCTATAAATTATTTTACGGAAATAAATGGAGCCTAAAACTAAATTTAAATTACAATTAATGTAATTTTTTTGAGATATAATTAATGAAATTTTAGAGAAATAATTAGAGACAAAGTTGTGCAATTTCTTTCTTTCTTTGTCCAAAGCAATGAAATAAAACTATTAGTGACAAAACGTTATAATCCTTAATTTCACTAACATAATTGACAAATCCAAAACATACTCCTACAAGTAAAGAGAGTTTGAATAGATATTGTTTGTGTTCGAAAGGTTATGAATCGATTGGCAAGTCCAATCCCTAGTCGGTGCTTTTCTTTCTATTACTTCGAAAGTAGCTGCTTCATCTTCAGCCATTTAAATTTTTGATATTCCTTTTTATTTCTCATTAATTAAATTAAAAGTTGTAAATGTTAGTGTTCATGTATATATCAAGTTTATAAATTTATAAAAAGATAATTCATTTTAAAAAATCCATATATATATGTTATAATTGAGTCTTAACAATCTGTATTGAAATTTCTTGAAAAAAGGAAAAAACTGTATATAATATTTCAAATAGGTCAAGTTTCGAACTACATTGCTCATCAATGGAAATTATTATGATGCAACTTTAATTATTAATAATTGCAAAGAAAACTAAAAATAATCTTTGATTCAATAGTGGTAGAAGTAATTCAGAGCTATCATGCAAACTTAACCCAACAATAATAATAATAATAATAATAGTTGTAATAAAGAAAACTACTAAAAAGCAATAATATTTGGAAAGTTAAAAAAGAGAAAGATAATATATATATATATATAGGAGAGAGAGAGAGAGAGAGAGAGTTAAGAATTAGGTTGTGAAGTTGACAGTAGCATTGCAAGTTGCATGATTTTCATAAGCAGATTGTGATAGAATTGACTAATTAACTTCCATTTTTGTTTAGCAACTTGCAACAGAATAAGAGGATTTAGGTAAAAGTCCTAGCTATTCGCTGTACCTTGTAAAGTTCAATCTTTGTACAATTCTTAGTTTGTTTTCTTCAAAATATATACCATAAACAACCAAATGGATAGATAGATGGTAATAATGGTAAATGTGTATTATAATGGCTAATCACATCGCCAGTGATTGTTTTCTGATTGCTGTATACAGGCTGAATATATAAATTAAGCTCCGAACTTTATAATTTTAATTTTGTGGAATCTTGAACTTTGCGGATAAACTATCATGCATTTGAATTTATAGATTTTGATAAAATTATACACTTTTCAATACTAATATTAACATTTTTTAGAATTTTTGATTTTTATCTGCAAAATATCGACTTGATATGTAATTAACATGACTTTTTGAATAATAATTTTCATAAATTTCAACTTTTTAATGAGTGTTTAATTAATTTAATTTTGCAAGTTAAAGCGTTTAATAAAATAAATTTGAAAATTGAAGTGTTTAATAAAGTAATTTTATAAGTTGAAGTATTTGATGGATTAAAGTAAAAGTTGAAAATGTCATAGAGTTAAAATAATAAAGTCGAAGTATGAATTTATATATTCTCCTATGTATATATTAAAGTGTTCAACGGAAATATACTTTTAACAAATTTTACCTGTAAGATCAGGATTCAAAATCTAAAATCACCGCTCTTGATCGTGAATACCACTCCTAACTTAAGAGTGAAAACATGTAAATGAACTAGGAAAAAGAAAAATTCAACAGAAGGATAGCATCAGATTGGATGTTTGTTCTTTGGGCAGATTAATTTTTATATATAGTTGTGTTATATTTATGTTGACTGTATCATTCTTGTAGATGGTGTGTGTTTGTAACTCACTATTCTTTGGGTTTCTGGAATTGACTTGCATCGTTTCTTCAGCAAGCAATTAATTGTTTGATTAGCTATGTAGAAATAGTATGGTTCAGTTTCAAGTTCATTGGTCCTCAAAAGCAGACTGTAATTCAATTTCATAAGATAGATAATTGACCAATTCATTCTCATTTTTCTTTCATCGGTTGACTTCCATGATTCTAAATAGGACTATTCTCTAGCAATTATAGAGTTTCATTCATGCCTATCAAAAGCAAAAGAATACAATTATCTGAATCTATAAATCACAGATATGATTTTATTTTGTCTCATTAATATGACGATTAAAAATCTTTAAGCATTTTCCGTACTTGCTCAAGCGTAACGAAGAGCACAACGGTAAAAGGTCCTTGTCTAGAAATTGTAGGGATAAATCCCTTATACAAGGCCATAGGTCCCTCCGCCTTCACGGTCTTCATTGCACAATCTAATGCACCCTTATACGGCGGCTCTGCCCCTGCCTCCACCTTCATATTCATAACCCTAGTTTTTATCACATCGATAGGGTTTGAAGCCACCGACGCCACAAACCCAGCTGCAAAGCTCGCCGTCACGTGGGTTCCAATCCCATCGCTCAACACACCCTTTTCCAATATCATCTCCTTGATTTGATCATATGATGCGAGCTGCGATGCTGTCACGATCATGGCACGATTCACAGTAAGACTTGAGCCGCGCCATAGGCTAGCAATCCCTTCTTGCTTTGACATTTGAGTTAAAGCGTCAAACACACTTTTGTAGTTTCTACGTTGCTCAATTGGTAAACGTCCATCAGCTTGCATGCGTACCATCGCCACGTCAGCAGGGTTACCTACGGCGGCTCCAACACCGCCGGAGATTAGTCCAGCAACAATCTTGCGTACAAGTGGCATACTTCCTGTATCTTGGTCAGTCCATTTCTTTTTGAGAATATCGTAAAGGCCCATTCGGGTGGTGGAGTATAAGGTTTGACGGAGAATAGTAGCGGAGACACCAGAGAAAAGAGCAGCGACACCTTCAGATTGAATGATACGTACACCGATAGAAATAGGTCCAACACGAGCAGCTGCCGGAGCAGGGACTTGCAAAGTTGTTGGGAGTGAAATATTGGCAGTGGCAACCGTGTTAAAGGCAAGTGCAGGGCGGTAAGCTCGAAGGGAAGGTGGATTTGGGAGTTGGGATTCACCTTGAAGTTGCATACGGACTTTGATTAGGTCAAGAGGGTGTGTGGAAGCTCCAGCAACGATGGAGGCAATACCACCTTCAACAAAACCCTTCAAACCCATTTTAATGGAAGTTTTATATGAAAAAGATGGTTATTGAGTACGTTAATTATAATAAGAAAACAGAGAAAAGACAAGTGAAATAGTGAAGAGGAATGGCGAGTGTAGTGAGAGTTGAGAGAGTAATGGGTGCTTATATATAGAGAGCTTCTGTTGAATTGTCTACGGAGTATATTGAATGCTAAACGCGCTTACATTAGCTAAGTTTGAGATTTTGACTCAAGACGGTTTCATACTATTTTACATAAATGCATGTAAGCAGACTCGTTTGACGCACTAAAAAAAATATTTAATATCACATGCTCTGTAGGCTCCATTATCATCAAGTTGATGTTTTTTGGAGTTGTACTCGGTCTTTCTTGAATATGGTTTTGGATTTCTGTTGCACCATCTTTAAGAAATTGCCTATAGATTACTTGTTTTGTGCATGTAAGTAGCAGCTACATAAATCAGGTCTTATCACTTGTTTTAAAGATGCAAGGAATGAGACATTTTCAAATTTCAATCTCTGAGAAAAATAAAAACCTAGATGACACTACTCATGATAGAATTCGACAATTTTTTTATCAATTTAAGGAAAACTATTAAAAGCAAAAATATTACTTCTTGTTATGCAATTCATAATATTTTTAGTTCATAACATTTTTCGGCTCTGTTTAATTTCCTATGTGCTAAAAACTACAGTTGCTTCTTTAAGATTTGAATATCATTCTATTAGCCAAAGTTTTATCTAGCGGGATATTTACGGTATTACTAACGTTTTCTTCTTTAAACGCCAACGTTGGGAACCTTTTATACATATCAGAAACACTTGGTACAAAAATGTCTATGCGAATAATGAAAATGGACACCACGCTTAAAAGTACTTGATCACAGATAGAACAGAACTGAGTACTTCATCTTCGTCTTAATCGAACAAGTCAGTAGACAACACTCATACACGTTGAAGAAAGACAGGTTATTTAGATTATTTCATATTATGGTATATAATTCTAGAAGTGTTGTCAACTCCTACCAGGACGTCACTGCACAGTCAGGACTTCAATCTCAAAATCCAGGACTGAGTTTGGTTGTATTCCCCATGCTGGAAATCCACCGGCTCCATAAGCATAATCCGGAGTGCACTGAAAATTCATTAAAGAAGATTATCAACTAGTCATGCAGAGAATGAGCAAATGATATTACAAAATCCAAATCATGAATCCATGTCAGAGAAACAGCTCTGGTGACTACAGTCAGCTATTTGTCAAAGCAAGCAGCTAAAGACTCAGAAATGCTAGTTGCAAAATTTAGGAACATATAAGCAATCATAATCTCAGAATTTCTTGGAAAGTCTAGTGTGAAGTTGGAGGGCTATTATCAGCAATGAGTAGCACCGCGAGTTAGTAAAGATAATTATAACAAAAGATTGCGAGCATTAGTGTTCCAGGTCTTCGCCAAAGACATTTAAATCAGTTATTATTACTCTACTTTATGCATTAGGAACAGATTCTTTACTAAAATAGATAACAGCAGCACAGAAAACAATTTAAAGGATTGAGTAGTACCCGCAGACGAGCGACTTCTCCAATTTGCATTCCCAAGACACCTTCATCCCATCCTATAAATTGATTGAACAGGATAAATCAGTTCTCTGACTAAAAAACCAAGTTACATCCTATCAAATTTTCACAGGAAGATGCATAGACAAACATAGAATGAGAGGGCTTGCCGTAAAAGACTTGATCTCATTAACTAGAGATATCCAAACAAATTCAGATCCTGGCATCCTTTTTAAGATAATTTCTAACTGAGATGAATGATAAAGAAATTATTTTCATGCTAGTGGTAGTCAAGTAATGTGGAACTAGGTTTTCAGAAGGAAACCTGAAAACTGAGTGCAATTCCATAATGCATTAGTACAGGAACATAAGACTTTATGGGCGTCAAGAAGGAATATAAAAAACAAAAAAAAACCTTTTATTTAAATGGAGTTAGAGGATAAGCAATGAAAGAACTCTTTTCATTGGAAAAATGGAAGTGCTTCAGAGACTTAGTTAGTCATGTATAGTAACAATAGACATTTTAATAAAGACAGTGAGGATAATCCTTTTGTTGTAGTAAGTGAGTAAGAATTTCCTTGGCATATTAAAATCTCAAGGAAAACACGGAACTAGAAGTTAATGCTTGGAAAGGTTCCCACTCTATAGCTAAGACATAAAGAGGCATGGGATCTCATTCCTTCAACTCTCTGGCATTTCGTAGATAACTTTGGGGAAAGCATAATTGTGGGATCAAAACATGTATTTTAGGACAGTAGATAATTCTTTATATGGGCATATGCTTCTAAAACAGCCATTGGCAGTTGATTTAGGATATAAACATATGATTTTCTATAACCCCGCTGCATTTGCACTTCATAACTAAAATATAGGCAAAATTTGGTATTGTCAAAGTTTAGGCTAGAACTAGAAATTGGTAATAAATCCAAGCCTTTGTGATTATAAACCTGTTTCTTAATTAACTTTTACTTAAAGGAAACTGGAAAAATAATTTTTTCACCTTTGATAAACATAAAACATCCAAACTAATAAGTCAGAACTGTTTATCAAGAGTGGCATTTCCTACATATACCAAAGAGACAGGAGGATTAAAATTATCCCTAAAAAAAAAAAAAAAAAAAAAATCCAAGCCTTTTGTGATTATAAAACCTGTTTTCTTAATTAACTTTTACTTTAAAGAAACTGGAAAAATATTTTTTCACCTTTGAATAAACGATAAAACATCCAAAAAACTTAATAAGTCAGAAAACTGTTTATCAAAAGAGTGGCATTTCTACATATACCAAAGAGACAGAAAGGATTAAAATTATCCCTAAAAAAAAAAAAAAAAAAAAAAAAAAAAAAAAAAAAATGGAGATCCAGACATTTTAAGACATCCATATCAATTAATTGATCTCTTAAGAAATGCAGGAGAGGCTTCTTCTTTATCAGGCGATAGGAAGTTAAAAGGCTACATAAGAAAAAGCAGAATAATGGAGTGAATTGGAGTGCAATGCCAGAGAAAAACTACAAGCATTAGCCTAGTAATTACATTACAAATATTTTCTTCCAGTCCAGAACCGAATCATTATTACAAATATTTTCCAGTCCACAATCGAATCATTCACATGCACGATCCTGCTAAATTGAATAAAAACACAGAAGCATTATAGTAACAACTAGGTCAAGAAGCTTTAAAACAAGGTTCCCAGTAATCATCTGATTGGAATCTATTTCTTTCTTTCATTGACAGAAATTCATGATAATAGAGCAGCATTCCTCCAACAACAACATGGCAAAATCATACAAATAGGATCGCCATTCACAAAGAAAACAATCCACTTCTAATGGGCTTACCTTTTATAACGTTTCCCTTGCCTATCTGGAATGTGAAAGGCTTCTGCCCAGGATCCTTTGTGCTGCAATGAAATAAAAAAAAAAAAAAAATACATTTTATTTAGAAAATGTAAGACCAATACAGACACCCGTTTACTCAAACTTGTAAAACTACCCCAAAAAAATAAAAACAAACAAAAATTGAAAAAAAAAAAAAAAAAATCCTCACCTCCAAAACTTCTGAGAAAGATCACCATTTTTCCCTGCAAGGAAGAAGAATATTAAACTGTGTTATATTACTAGAAGGCCAACTAATTTACATCATACTCTACTACTCCCAAAAAGCCTATTTTTTTTTTTTTTTTTGAACATCTAATTTGGTAATATTGTTTTTGGTTCTGGACATGGTAGAGCTAAATCATGCACAAGGATGCAATTCTATTCTAGCACGTCCATTTTACATATTGTCCAATACTTCACGCAAGTGCCATAAAATTTTGATTTCTCAATTCACCTTGCAGTAATTAATACTTAATATTTTTGGCAACTCAAACCCTAATTTTAGCATATAGGAACTAATACCCCAAATTAAAGAAAATAAAATACAACTACAGAGATAGAGCATAAAGCATAAAGTAACTGCACAATAAAAATTAAAATCTCTCGTTTCCAACATTTTCTCCGATACCAAACAGCTAAAAAGTTTAAAGTAAGAAATGAGAATAACTGAAAATTTTAGGGTGTAGTAAGTAACAGCGAGGAAAAAAAAAGTGGCTAACCAAATCCGGTGCAATGGACGGTGACAGTTTGACCGGCGGCAGGTTTGGGACCGTTGCCGGGCCTGATAAGTTGCTTCTCCACTCCCATTATCTCTGGTTTGTTACTGTCAAATCTTCTGTGATTGTTTCGATGGTTTCTAGACTTGCCACTTCACTCCGCCACGTTTTTATGGCCGTCGCTAGTTTTGTTGACACGTGCAATGCACGTGAACAATATTATCCACTATTATTCATGTAATTTTATAATGTGTTTATAGCCTTAATTTATTATTCCTGAAACGTGATTTTGCAATTATAGTATTAAGTCTAGGATGTTATTTCTAATTTGTCCCAAGAGCAAAAAGTATGTTTCAGTAATTTATTTTCTATTCCTTGGTTATAATATTAAGAATTAATTGAAAAATATTAATATAAATAGATTTATATTTATAAAATACTTCATTTTTTAAAATCTATTATTAAGTATGAAAACGCATACATAAGAAAAGTTTTGACAAACACCAAAAAAGAAAAATATTAATATAAATAGATTTGTATTTATAAATACTTCATTTTTTAAATTTTATTATTAAGTATGAAATAAAAAAAAAAAAAAAAAAAAAAAAAAAAAAAAAAAAAAAAATGAAATAAAAAAAAAAAAAAAAAACAAAAAAAAAAAAAAAAAAACAAAGAAATTATGGGAAGAGAGAGTAATATATTAGAAATCAGGTCAGACAACCTTGCACAAGTCCTCAGCGACCAAAACTTGATAGGAGGGGAAGAAATCCCAGCCAAATAAGAATTAAATGATTATTACACCAATCCTGTTTCCAGATAAAAAAAAAAAAAAAAAAAAAAAAAAAAAAAAAAAAAACAAGAATTATGGAACGAAGAGAATATATTAGAATCAGGTCAGACACCTTCACAGTCCTCAGCGACCACTTGATAGGAGGGGAAGAATCCCAGCCAATAGAATTAAAAATGTTATTACACCCAATCCTGTTTTCCAGATTCTGCGCTGTCCGGTTACATACACAAATGAATTTTCGTTGTTAATGAATTTCTATAAATTAACAGCACCTAAGGCCATAACTTGACAAAATCACTCAAATATACACGAAAAATGATAGGATACAACTTGTTATTTTACAAGGCACAATTGCATACAAGAACAAGCCAGAGTCAAAAGCCAGCCTTACAAACCATTGCAACCCCAAGAGGAAGAAAAAATTGCTTCCCCCCGCTTAAGGGTCTTCAGACAAACAATGAGATGAATCTGACAGTGAATATATTAATTTTCCCTAGATTCAATCCCGGCTTCAGCTTCCGATAAGCTATGGCTTTGTTCCTTCAGCAGATAGTCACAAAGTTCCAAAAGCTGATCTGCTAAGGGAGGAATACCAGGATTCCGCCTGTCGTTGTATAAGTGAGCATTATATGTAATCTGCCATACATCGTGTCTGAAATCCTCGCGGTGCTTATATTCCATCTTTCTTACTTTATCTCTGATTGTTGATAGATCCATGGGGTGCTTTATGATGTCCAAGTAGTCAGGAGCTTCCTTCTTCGATACTGGTTTTAGAAAAAGATAGGATATATCCAACTTATCTTTAAGGGTGTCCACAATGTGTTCTAAGATATTTGCAAGGCCAACCTGGAGGAAGATATTTGTAGTAGTGATTATAGGTATGTATAAAACAAGTGAGATAATAATTTGAATACAAAGTACAATACTGTCTCTTTCTCTATCCCAATTCCCCTATCTTTTAATCTCTATAATTAACCAAATGTCTCGGTTAGAAGGTGGCCAATCAAAAAATGTTTATCTGAAAAAGTTAAAATAGGTAACATATAAAACACACACACACACAAACAAACACATGAAATACCTAAATTTATTTTCAATCATGCAATATAGACAGACAATCAAGGAATCCAGATGTGCCATAAAACATAACATGAAAAAGAAAAAACTCAGCACATTAGTAATGTCAATTACAAAAAGAAGACTAAGCTGCTTGTAACTTTACTTCTTTTCCAGGAAAACAGAGTAGCCGTTGTCTTGTGTAGTTGTATTTTTAGGAGTCTATTCTTTATTTTAAAGGGTAGTTTAGGTCTTTACTTATAATCTCAGCCCTTTGTATAAGTAGGCCTTTAAATATTTTTTTTCAAAAGCATGAATGAGAATTTCTCACTTCATACAAAACTCAACACTAGCACTAGAGAAACCACTCCACTTTACAGTTTCGAAGGTGGAACCTCTTACAAAAAAAGGGAGGCCAGCCTTATCCAACTATGGCCTTATTGCTAAGAAGATAATGCAAAAATGGGCTATGATTTGGAAAATCCAGCTAGATTATACTGTCCAAAATACTAAGGAAAAGAAGGGGAAAAAATTCAATGTCCTCAAACAAGTCTGGAAATAAATTATCCGGTCACTACATAAAAATTTCCCGTAAACAGCCAGTAAGACTTGTATCTACATACTGCAATAGAAGAACTCTACAAAATCCATAAATAATAATTTAACTAGGATAGAGCTTAGTAATTTGACTTATAACTATTAAGATTGGAGGCAATCTATCATGGCATGTAAACATGGCAAACCATAGGTTAAGAATAAGAAGCTAAGAATAAGCCGAGGAAATACCTCTCCACCTCTACGACGCTTTGTTGCAGGGGTATATTCTGCACCAAACCTCCCCAATTCAACAACTGGCCTTCTTTTTGCACCCCGATCTCTTTCTGGCATCCTTCTGCTTGCCCTGTAGTCGTCCAAGTAGTCATCACTAATTTCAGGCTTTTTCTTCTTCTTTTTCTTTTTCTTGGCTTTCTGCTGCTCTTCTTCCTCTCTCTCCCTTCTGACGGCTTCTTCATATCGCCTAAGCTCAGCAAGTCCTTGTTCCTCAACTCCTCTTGTTTCTTCCCCATAAATCCTTCTTGCTCTCCCTTCTCTTAATCTTTCTGTATTTCTCCTTTTCTCTTCCTCTTCCCACCATCTTCCTTCCTCTCTAGATTTCCTCTTTGCTGACTCTCCAGGAAAATGCAAGATCTGTGACTTCCTTCGATTCTCAATACCTGACAATTCAGCTATTCTTTTAATTTTTCGGAACTCAAACCCAGTGCTTCCATCCTGACTGACCTGGTCAAGATCAACGATCTCTTTGGGCTGCTTGATAACTATTTTCTTGTGAGCCTGCTCCCTATCTTTTACTGCCGGTGGACGTATTACAATAGAGGGCTTGTGAGATTCAACATGATCTCTCTCTGTGTTTGATGGTGGCCGAATAACAATAGACGGCTTATGAGATTCAATTTGGCTTCTATCAGTATCCATTGGAGGACGTATCACAATGGAAGGTTTGTGCAATTCAACTTGTACATCTTCGGTTTTTGCTTTGTTGGATATTTTTATCTTACTAACCTTAGCAATAGGCTTACTCCCAGTTTCCACATCAGAACTGTCAGGCCGGGCATCAGAAGTGACGGGCCAGTCAGAACTTTTGGTAGCTCCATCAGCAGGTTTATCAGATAGTTTCTCAGTGGAGCCGCACTTAAACTTAACTGGCAGAGGTTTTGCCTTCAAACTAGATTTCTCACTTTCAGAAGGTTGGACTTTGACTGTGCCTTTTGGCATGGACTTTTTCTTTTGCAACTTCTGCATAGACTTACTTGAGGGATCAAGAGAATTTGATTTTCCAGAAACTTTTTCCAAATCTGCAGTTTCAACCTGTGCTTCAGACTCTTCTCCATACTTGGGGCAATTCTTGTTGGTCCTCATGTGTCCAAGCTGGTTAATCAAAGAGGTTAGTGATAAATCCTTTGAAAAAACATCAAGAACAACTGTTACTAGCTTGCAAGTTATTCACCTGACCACATGCTCCGCAGACAAAAGTCTCTCTTGATGGTTTTTTCTCCTTAAAAGTCTGGTATGGACATGAAGTAGATAAGTTCATTTAGAATATTAAATGGGAAACTCAATGAAGTTGTTGGCAGCTTTCTCACCAAGAAAATGCAACAGAGTCCAAGATGCAGACAAGCAAATAATTTTTTGATTACATAACAAATAAATGTATATATAGTTATAAGGTGAATATAAAGGCGAAGTGAATTGCTTATGTAATCATAAAAAATTGAAACCAAGTAAAATTTTGGTGATAATGAAAAAAATCAATTGAACCCAACTCGGAAAAACATTAATTGACCCCAACTCCATTAGTTCCTAAATACTAATACGTTAGATACCAAATGGATCAACTACCACATGTTTCAGAACTCCAAATTGTAATTCCACTTTGGCATATGCCAAAAGGATATGTTGTAGATTCTGACATATCTAATGTGTTGATAACACCACTGCAAACCAACAGGTCAACTCAATAATATTAAGCATAACACCATCTGCAATAGCTAGAAATAAATAGATAACTGAAATAACAATAGGAGATACTTGCATGAAATAACTGTAACACAATCTGATGAAGCATACTAAGGTGAAATCCATTACTGATACTAGCGCATAACACGAGGGAAATGATTATCCCACTTCTATACCAGCTCACAAGAGTTTAATGTGGGGACTACAGCAAGAACCAAATTTTAGCTTTATCTAATTATTAACCTGATTTTAGCAGAGTTTCTGAGTTCAGACATTCTCACTCGGTATCATCTTAAGTATTTGTCTCAAGTAAAAATAACAAATTCAACAATGTAGAATAAAAGTATCAGAACATTTCTCTGGCAGTTTCTTGGAACTAACAATAGGAGACAAGAACCAACTGTATTCAGCTCAAGTTGTGTACTTGCAAATAAGTGCTGCTCATGGGTTTAATACCTAGATTATTTTTCCACAAATACCAAAAAAAAAAAAAAAAAAAATGTTATTCAGCTCAGAGTTGTGTTTTTACTTGCAAATAAGTGCCTGCTCAATCGGGGTTTAATACCATAGATTATTTTTCACAAATACCAAAAAAAAAAAAAAAGAAGAAGAAGGAAATGAAAAGAAAAGAAGGATATTGTAAAAAAAGAGCAAAACTTCAAAAATATAAATTTCAAACCCCAATTTAAGACCATAGTTGCCGTTCTCCCCAACAAAATTCAGAAGAACTGTAAGAATGGGACATTTTTAAGCCCATGATGGTACAAGTGATAATGCTGCAAAAATAATTTAAAAAAAAAAAAAAAAAAAGAAAGAAAGAAGGAAAAATGAAAAAGAAAAGAGGATATTGTAAAGAAAAAGCACTCAAAATATAAATTTTCAAACCCCAATTAAACCATAGTTCCGTCTCCAACAAAATTCAGAAGACTGGTAGATGGGACATTTTTAAGCCATGATGGTACAAGTGATAATCTAGCCAAAAATAATTTACTAGAGTATGAATTTGAGCAAGTTTACTTTAGCCCATCAGAATAATATTCGATTTATGCATTTATAGAATATAAACTTAAAATAAAGTGATAAGCAAAAGGCATTATGAATAGAATAATAGAGTTGATGCCTGCTATGGGTGGTCCAATACTAAATAAATGAGTATCCCCTTGTTTGGTTTTCTGAATAATTAAGTGTTGACATGAGCTGCATGTGAGCCTCTGATTTATCAGCATGCATGTTCCACATTTTTCATATGGGCATCTAGTTTCACCTAAATTAAGCATTGACTGGCCAATCCTATATAGTGCAAGACAGGAAGGGATTTCTCTGATCTATACCACACATACAAGCATATAAAACCAGGAATAGAAAAGTTCAGAGCATTTACAATAAAAGAAGTATCTTAAAATAAATTTTCCTGAAAAAACATATCCAATAAACAGGAAAAGCTTCATAAAAATATTAGAAACTAAACAAATGTAAGAAAACAAATAAGAAAAGATGAATGAGTTCACTCACCTTGGGTCCTTCACCCGATATTTTGACTTTTGTTTTAATTGTACTTATAGTTGAATCTGAAGTACCATTCTTTTTAATAGCTTTCAACTTCTCAGACATCTTCCTTTTAGCAAATAAAGTTTCCACCTGTTAGTAAAACATAGTACAGTCACTATTGCCCACATATCTACTTTTAGATGTAGGTATAAATTTTCTAATGAGGTAAAAGAAGACATAATTAGAATGACATACATTTACCTCCTTTGAGTCTCTAATGCTGCTCTCTTTTGGAAGACAGGAATCATTAGGATGGACTTTGTTTGTTTTCTTAATTCGTTCTGCATTAGCAACAAAATTTGGTTTTGAACGAGGTGCCAATCCTGCCCCAACCCCAGGAATTTTAGTTTTTTTCTTCTTCTTCTGCTCAGCCTCATCATCTGCAGTATGATTGCTGTAGTAAGTAATGTATCAAAGTTCAAATATAAAACGTATCTACCAGTAATATGCTCATCCGATGTATCCTGTCAGTTGCAGAAGCTAACTATATTTGAGAAAGCATCAGCATTTATCTTAGTTAGACTGATATAAAAAAAAAAAATAAAAAAAAAAAGAAAGAAAGAAAGAAAATCTAAGAGCTGAAATGCAATTGAAACAGTAAGTGCAAAGGTTTTTAAAACAAATTGACAAATGAATTTAATTACATTGCTTGGTAGATAGATACTCTAATTAAAAAAGAAAAGAAAAAGGAATTAAAGCGATGAATTGGTAAGGATAAAGTGATTATCATGGTGATTACATTTGGTAAGGGCACTTGTAAATTGGTATGACATTTTGATTTGATACTTCAAATTAGCAGAACATCTATTAAAGCACTGAAATAGGGGAGTCTAACCCCAAATATTTACCCATATCGGATATTCATAGTTGACTCTAGTAACATATGTTCCAATAATGCTCAATGGCATTAACAATGTGTATGAACATTGTAGTGATGTCGGTGATAATTATAAAGAATCATTACCAATTTGAAACATCAAGTAGAAATCTGTACTCAACATATTAAAGTAATTTTGTTTGTTTTTCCCTTTTCTTCCCATTCAATTAATTGCATAAAACCAAACACTTTTGTCTTGGATTTTTCTAAAGCAATTATCTGGTGCAGTAGATGAGGTTCTTTATGGAATAAAAAACTTGACATTATACTTTCATATATCTTAGCATCTACAACCCTACAAAAATTCTCCAGCATTCATCCAATTAGAAGTGACCTCATGCAACAGTCAGCAAACAAATTGTACATACCATCCATGAGCAATCTGCATAATTCTGCTGCCTCGGCAGCTTCATCTTCAATTTCTTCTTCTGCCTGAGCCTGTGAAGCACGTCCTCTCATTTTTAGCCCCTTCATGCCATCTGCTTTGTCATGCTTGGACTCGTAATTACTCTCATCCCCTTCACATTCCTCTGCATCAAGCAAGTTTTCCAGGTCTCCAGCAAAGGAATCTAGATCACTATTTGCTTCAGAATCACTCTCATTTTCATCACCATCCACTGCTGAAAGAGACTGCACTTGACGATCCCAGATTTCTTGACATTTTTCTCTTGTCTGTTGCTGTAGCTGAAGAAAGGACATCCTTTGGCCACGCGCATACTTGCTAATAGTTGTTGGATCAACCTTTACCCCTGATGCTGCCTGTTCACTTGAAAGCTTTCGTATCGTAGCAATACGATGCCACCTAGTCTGTTTTGCAATCTGTTCCTCAGGAACATTGAACTTGAGAAGAACCTGGAATGAGAAGATTATTGAAGCAAATATCTTTCAATTTATCTCATCTGTTTGCAATGTTTGCATAGGATTAGATTGAATTTTACTATGAAGGCATAAGGAAGAAGATTGCTGGTTTGGTGGATAACTGCTTTCACTAAGAAGAACCATTGGCAATATGAGGCAAGAGAGAAAAGAAAGATGGCTATTCTGTGTTTGGCTATGTTTGGAAGACAAAGGGAAGATGTAGTTTAGACACACCATGCAGAATTCATTCAAGTATTCCACTCATATGCTGCAAAGGTTCATATTTTAGGTCACTTGACAAGCTCCAATACAGCTTAATTAATTTATCCAATGCCTTTGAAATAAAACTTATCTATCCCATAGTTAAATCAAGACAACTGATTGGAAATTTTATCACAAGAAAACCAACATACCTCCCGTGCAGCCTCCATACTTAATCTACGAAGGTCAGCATCTGTCCCAGTAACAGTGGAACCTCCTCGACCAGCAGCTGCTTTTTTCTTCACCATTGCATTTGACACTGTTGCCTTTGTAGCAGCACGGACATAACTAAATCCCAGGCCCCGACCAGATGGATCACCAACTCCAGTAATCTCAAGACGCTCAATATTTTCTCTATCCTGAGAACATAAAAACTCGAGCTTAGATGAGGGGAAAAGATCTATTCTCTGTGCCAATAATCATAACATTACAGAATATCAGATTAATTTTAAGCATAAAGCCCGTCCAATCAAGTAGGAAAAGGAATACAGGAGTATGAAACAGAACATGATGATTTTCAATATCATTTTGTGGAATCTGAAGTAAAAGATTTGACCTACAGGCTTTGGTTTAGAGGAGCATGAAGAATATGTTTTGTCTTAGAAAATTACTAACTGTCCAACCACCAGAACATGACTCTTCTCTTACATGAGGAATATAATTTATCTTGATCAGATTCTCAGAAAGACAGAAATCAGTATCTTACTGAACACAAATCTTTGTACAAATTAGCTGATACTTGTGACAACCTTCAAAGTGTGCTTTCTTGATATTAAATTCCATAAACCAACAAAAAGAAAACTCTTACCTGGTTTGTACAAGCAACAAAATTGCTGCTCAGGCTCCATGGAGTTATCTGCAATTCCCTCTCTATGTGTGATGCAGCAGCCAAAGCTATTGCTTCATCAGGGAGTTGACTCATTGCAGTTGAAACATTAGTTGGGTTTGTTAGCCTTGTAATTCCTAAGTGTTTGAGACGGTAGAGACCTGCTTGCATGCTTTCATAAGCACAAACCTAATGCAAGAGAGGAGGATAAATAATTTGTCAACTGATCGAGAAAATAATTGCAGATACAAAATACAAGAGATTTCTGTATGGTTACACTAAAACAGGAGCAATGCCGACATTCTAGAAATAGAAAGCAGGTCCTTAAACGTCTGCCTATTTTTGCTGACAGGAATTATGTAGATCCACACCGGTTTACACGCATGACTAATTGTCCTTTTTGATAATCATTAAAACGGCTTCAAGACCAAATAGGAACAATAATCCATAAGATATTAAAACTTCAAAAACAGGCAACATATTATATCATCTAGGTATTATTTCAATTGCAGGATTTGAGCCCATAACACTTCCATGGAGCATGCAATGCCTATTACCCCCTAAGATTCAAAAGAGCTTCAATACCAAATACGAACAATAACCCATCAGATTTTAGAACTTCAAAAACAGGCAACATATTATACTATCTAGGTATCATTTCAATGGCAGGATTTGAGCCCATGACACTTGGAGCATGCAATATGTGCTACTACCCTGGGAGCACAATTGTAGTTGTCGAACTAAATAAACACCATTACATAAAATCATTATATATGTAATCTCAAGGTAAAGTTGAATAAGCTACAAAAATCTGCAATTCTTTTCAAGATAAAATGAAAAGAAGCATAGATTATCACAAGCCAAATACAAACTGTTCTGTTATAGATGCATTCAGCCCCTCCACAATTTTTTTCCATGCCTTAACCAGTTTCATCCTGTATTGCAGTTGCACAGATTCATGGGAGAAAATGCATATCTCCAACGCGAATCACTGGGTCACAAACCTCAAACATGCATCAGACTTTTATGATTACCAAAAGGCGATGAAGTAGTTTAGTGCAATTCTAACATAATAGTAGGCATGTTTCACAACATTAAAGACTTCATACATTACATAAGGGCATTGGTATCTGATGACAAAATCCAACAAATTTATAAATACAGAAAAAATTCTCTCTCGATTAACTAAAAACATTGATATCCTCTTTTGGTAAGGTGAATAAAAGAATAATCATTCCTTCGAGAAATCACAGTGGGAGTAATTCCTACTACCTGTTAAATAAATAATTATAAAGGGAAATTTTCAAACAGGCATCATGCAATTTAGCATGCTGACATTTTAGAAATTGTCACTTATTTTTCTGGCCAATTAAGCATTCATCTCTTTCTTAGTGCTGTTAGCATAACAGTGCAAAGTTATATTGATTTAGCATCAATTACAAGGAGTAAAAAAAAAAAACTTAAGTGGAACTACAATAAGCACAATTAGACTAATCGAATTATATAAGGTTATTTCCATTCCATTATAAGTTTATTAAAGAAATAATAAAAGAAAAAGATATTGATCTCACATTTTCTGGTAAGACCAACTTCTTCAAATCCTCTTCAGATGGAATGATGAAATCACGTTTCTTGGACCAAAACAGATGTCCATTTGCATCCCTCTGTAAGTTGCATACCCATGTATCACAAACAATTGAAAAAGAAAATACTACAGCCATAAGGATAAAGCATAAAATCATGATCAAGCAAACATTTACAGTTAGTTCTAAAGGAAACATACCCGCAATACAGCGCATTCCTTCATTTTCTTCCGCAACATGGTTTCTGAAAGGTTTGGAAACTGAGTTGACAGCTCATCAGCACGTATCCAAGGAACTATGCCACGCTTTTCTGCTGCTCGAAACTCGCGGTATACATGCAACAATAACCTATTTGTGATATATGACTGAAGATTCTTCGACCCAGGAGAAAATACCTCCATAAGGGGCTCCTGCAAACAACAATCAGTCAAGCCAAATTTACATGTGCACATAATAGGAATTGTCAATTAGCAGTAATTTGAACTAAATTACCAATGCATCCAAACTTCCAGTATGAAGTAGATGAAAGGAGAAAAAGGAGGAGAGAAAAAGGAAGAAAGGGTGGGGGAAGAAGAGGTAGAACTACTATTTCAATTCATATCGATATAAATGTGATGAATGTGAAGCACTCATGCTAACTAAAGATTAAAGGTGTAGAGATGCCATTTTGTTAAGATATTATAAAACAACAATTAATTTCTGTAAGTTCCAGAATCCATTAGAGGCCGTCATAGTCTTTGCAGCATTTTTCTAAAATCTAGGGCCTAGAGCTTTGCTCAGACTTGAATGAATCTCTGAGCAAGTATGTCAGTATCTTGATTGCATCAAATTTCTTATAGTCTTCTGCATCATTCTCCTTGCTGACACAAACAAACTGATCTCTTATCCCCATCCAATCAGATCCAAATCAGTTATATGAACTTACCAAACATGCGTATTCCACAATCAAACAATGAATTCTAATCCTAACTAGAGCAGAACATTTGCAGAATAAAGTACCATTAAGCACAGAAAAGTGAATAAAAACATTAGCAAGCACACCTAACAACATTAGGTGTTGACCACAAATGTCATTAAACTTGTCTTTCACTTCTCAGCTGGATACACACTAGTCTACTAAAAGCAGACAAGGTCTGCAAAGTCGATTTCACAACTAATAAAAAGACATGAAAACCATGTAACTCCAAACATCTTGAGCATCAACCAACATATGAAAATAATAATCAGCAACAATTTCAGCGACAATACAACAACAACAACCAAGCCTTAATCCTAAACTAGTTAGTATCAGCTATATGAATCCTTTCTTTGCTTCGACGACAATGAGAAGTCATTAAAAAAAAAAATGAACAAGCCTAATTGAGATTCATTTAATGAAGCAACCTTCTAGAGCTGCATAAAATACAATAAAGCAAACAAACCTGTTGCCCAACGACAGCAATTTGGTCAATGCGCCTTATGGAAAGCTTTCCCTTTGCTGAGCGAACCAACAAATAATCAGTGGATGCTACCTTATGGGGGAAAATGGGTGCTTTATACATGTTTGTTACAAGCGCTGATTGGCTGCAACCAGCTTTTATATCTCCAAGAAAAGGAGATTTATCAGTAGGCTCTAATACTACAACATTTCCCAAGCTGCTGTTTCCATTGCGCAATGAGATGCCAGATTGATCACCAGTGCTTGACTTCTGATAGTAAGTGCAGAGGTTTGCACCCATGCCAATATTGCTCAATAATAAAGGTCTTTCCTCACAATATCTATAGGAAAGAGAAACATAAGACCATAGTGAAATCTCACCTCCATATAGATTGAAAAACAAAAACAAAAAACTGAAATAGGAACCAAAATAAGAACTATTATCACAATAATAAACAAGAGATGCATGATGCTGATGAAATGAAATTCATACCTCAAGAAGAACATAAGGAAAGCCTCTAATATGATGCATGGCTAGAAAAGAACCAGAAGAGAGGAGAAAATATTTACCCATTTGTCTTTGGGGGTTTAAAAATTAGAATAAAGGGAAGGAAGAGGACGAATTCTAATTTGTAGGGATAATGGGAGTGGAGATTAAATTAGAAAAAAAAAAAAGGAATACTATCCTCTAACTTAGTTTTGGATTTCAATCAAATTATAAGGGTAAAAGGGATATAATATAAACCAAAATAAGGAACTATTATCACAATAATAAAACAAGAGATGCCATGGATGCTGATGAAATGAAATTCATACCCAAGAAGAAAACATAAGGAAAAGCCCTACTAAATATAATGCATCGCTAGAAAAGAACCAGAAGAGAGGGAGAAAATATTAGCCCATTTGTCCTTTGGGGGTTTAGAAAAATTAGAAATAAAGAGGGAAGGAAGAGGACGAATTCTTAAATTTGTAGGGATAATGGAGTGGAGATAAATTAGAAAAGAAAAAAAAAGGAATACTATCCTCTAACTTGTTTTGGAAAGTTCAATCAAATTATAAGGGTAAAAGGGATATAATATATATATATAATATATATATATATATATATATATATTAATAAATATCCTATTTCTCTTTTTATATATATCCTTTTCTCTTTTCATGTTGAATCTTTTACAACAAAAATCAAAAATGATTTCCACTATTCTTTTAGTGGATGTCCCAAACTACATGGCTATATCTATAAAGTCAAAAATCTTTAGAGTTAATTTTCCCATTTTACCCTCATTAATTCTTCAATTTAAAGAGTGCATTTATTATGACATAAGAATATGTAAGGGTTATAAAAGAAAGAATGATGTATAAAAAATGAGTTGCATGGTATTTGTTATATTTGCTTAAACTATATGAAACAGAGAAGGTGACAACCTTTCTGGGACAGAGGCAGTGATAAATTTTTCCCTTGAAGAGAAGAATGAAGAGTATTTGTAACCCTCCCTCCTCTTTCCCATCCAAAAAAAAAAAGTGGAAGCCAAATAAGTCAATTAAGAGTAAACATCCATAACAAATTATAATATTATACATCAAAGCACTTGAGGTTTAAAACCCCCAAAAAGAAAAGTGAAATACAAAGGACAAAAAGTTAAGAAAAAAAAATTCAAAATCTTAGGTCATACCCCAAATTTATAAGAAATTATTGCTTGAAGATAAAACCTATGCATTGCACACAATAGACAAGCTTTTATTGACCCATAAAGAAAATTTATGTCCTGCAAATTAAGTGATGAATCCACCACATGCCGTTGGATTTGGAGGTTTTCCATTTCCAGAAGTATCTATTATATTTTTTTGAAGCACATCCTAGGCAGTTTATATTTCAATGTTTTGGAAAAAAAGAAAAAAGAAGAGGGAACAAAGAGAGGGAGGGATAGGTATCAAGAAACGATTGATTGAAGGACAGACAAAGGAGGCATGAGAATGATAGAAAGAGAAGTACTGTAAGCAGGTGAAGTGGTAATGGTTTCATTCCAGCGACTGTTTGGATTACCACGATGGCATTTCTATTAACTTTCTTATGTGTCAATAACGTATTCTCGCAGATTAGGAGACTAAAAGTCTCATAATGGTGGCTTTAACAATGAGGTAGTTGATGCCTGCCCTGCATGCAAAAATTGCCTTAAAACCCAGCACGCCTGGCACCTGAACAGTGCCTTTAACAATTATGCTTATACTGCTGGTGCTTCAAAAGCTTTATACAAAATAAGGTTTTATTTTGGTTGTTTGGCTATTATTTCTCTTAAACCTAGAAATTCGTTCAATCAAAAAGATTACAACATATGTAGTAACAGTTCTCATTTTTAACATTTATTTGAGATATTTGAACTCATGATAGCAATGGAATTTGGTCCAATATGGCTCAATACTGACCCCTAGGATTGATTCCGTCACTTAAAATCTTGCTTGAAGACACCAATTATCTGTTTCCTCAATTTTCCTAAGAAAACATTACAAAAAATTATATATGCAACCTCGAATAGTAATACTAGAAGCAAAGTTGCGTTATGACTGGAAGATCATAGACTTGAGTTCTGGAATCACTTAATTTGCAAAAGGCATCGGAAAGGATACCCCCATTACATTTTTCATTGAAAATGGAGGATACATACAATAGATTATTTGGATTCAAATCTAAACTATAATTTGTAATAATACTATGAATCTCTAATTTGTGAATGTTTCAAGTTATGTGCAGGAGCAAAAAAAAAAAAAAAAAAAAAAATAAAAGAGCACAAAAAAAAAAAAAAAAAAAGAGCACAATCGTTAAAAATCAAAATTCAGTGGAATGGAAGTAGATAAATGTCAAGAAAGCAATTGCTAAATTAAGAACATCTCCACGTTCTATTTTGAGATCAAAATAAGAACAGGATGCAACTTACTCCATCAGAAAGATGTGGCCATCTTTTACTGAAAGGTCTGATTTCTTCTTAAATGCCCCAGGAGGGCGCAAAGATTTGTTCTCCCCAGGAATCCTTTGTGCCCTTGGCAACAAATGAATTTTGGTACGAACAAGGTGAAGCAATGAGTTTGGCTGAACATTTTGGGCAGCGAGAGATTTCTGATCCTCAAGCTCCTTCCCCAAATAAAAGATCTTCACCATTTCTGAAGGCTTGAAATCTACAGAAACCATATATACAAACATATTTTTAGTAAGCGCTTATCCTTCTACAATAATTAGAAATACTGATGTATAAACACCAAGGATTATATTAATTGCAATGATTACAGAAGCAGCAATAATAACTAAGGATATAGATCGGATTTGCAACCAAAGATGAAGAAAATTAAATGGACTGATAAACTGACAACAAGAGAAGGAACTTTAATAACGAATATAGCAATAGAAATACAAATTGGTTGACAAGGTATCTGACTCTCAAAGCAACCAATAAAAAAAGGACAAAAAAAAAAAGTTAATTTAGTTACAATTGTTAAGGATTAGTTGTAAATAGAGTTCTATTAGGAGTTAGATTCCTAATTAGTTTATGATTTGTATTCCTAAATAGCTAGGTAACATAGGAATTCCTTATATACTAATAGTTTTGATTTGTGAAGTTCCTAAATAGCTAGGTAACATAGGAATGTCCCCTATAATAATAGACCTATGGTTAATCGATTGAGTGAGATACAGAAATAGCCATCTACCAATATAATTCCTCAACATGGTATCAAGAGCCATTCCATTAAACAAAAAAAAAAAAAAAAGAAAAATCGCGAAACTTCCCTTATGAGAAAGCAACTGCCGACCCCAGAAGCCTTTCCTAGAGTTAGCTATTTTGGTCTCACCACACCTCAATATAAAAAGGAAATATTTTCCCCCCTCCAGCAGTCTGATCAGCGCCTCCCCAGAACCCAGTTGTCGAGTTCCCAATGAATCTGGCCCCACGCGTCTCCTCTTTCTTCTTGCTCCTAGTTCATGCGTGTGGCGGCATGTCCAAATGGTCTTTTTCACTCAACCGTTCCTCTCTCGCGGCGTTGACATTGCAAGATAGACGTCTGCAATACCCAGTGAGTTGGCCAGGCATCTTTTATTCTTGGGCTTAATTTCTAATATCTGTGTTTTGCTGCGATTCTGTTACAAGGCTGCTGTCCAGGTCGAAATCTTTATCTTGGCTACTGGTTTTGCATGTTAATTTGCTGAGGGAAACATATTTTTGTCCTTTGCCTGTGACAATTGGTTAAGGTAATTTTCGGTGATATTTCTTAGGTGATCTTCTTTTTTGGCATTAGGGTTTAGTACGGCCACCTTGCTGCAGTTACGGGTATTGCTGTCTTCTTTTTTGAATCTCTCTCCTTTGTTCGAGAGCAGTGCCAACCCCACGTGAGTTACATGGTTTCTTGGCCTTCAGTGGTGTGCTTGTTTGCCATGATTTTCCTGTTGAGCGTTCTGAATATCTGTGCTACTTGGGTTTCCTCTCTTGAGGCCAATTGATTATGGAAGCTTGAAACAGGCCTATGAAGTTGTTTTCTGGTTCAGTGAATTTTGTGTTTGACAGACGCACACGTGTGGTTGTCTTGATTTCTGCTACTACTCTAATTTGGTTTTGGGGTTCTTTATTGCTAAAAGATGATAGTGCGGTACAGTTGCTGGAGTAAATTGGTATCTGGTGCCTGTGCTGTAAAGTAATCGTTTGTAACAAGTTGAGCATGATTATCATCTAGTGCTCCAACTTGAGGGGGAGTGTGTTAAGATTAGTTGTAAATAGAGTTCCTATTAGGAGTTAGATTCCTATTAGTTATATGATTGTATTCCAAAATAGCTAGGTAACATAGGAATTTGCCTTATATATAGGACCTATGTAAATCGATTGATGAAGATATAAGAAATACAATTACACTAATATTCTCTCAACAACAATTAACTGCAATCACGCTTCTAGAGAAATTTTGATTTAACAACTCCTGTTCCTCAGCATCCCATAGCATGCATATAACAAGGTATATTTGTATTCCTAAATAGCTAGGTAACATAGGAATTCCTTATATATAGACCTATGTAATCGATTGATGAGATACAAGAAATACAATTACAATATATTCTCTCAACAACAATAACTGCAATCTAGCTTCTAGAAAATGTTTGATTTAACAACTCTGTCCTCAGCATCCATACATGCATATAACAGGTATAATAGCATGAGCAGCAACAGTAATAACAAATAAGGATAGAGATTGGGCAAATCACAAGCAGAAGAGAGATTGCAACCTAGCTTTTTTGAAGCCTTTGCTTTAACAGAAGAGACAGTTTCCTCAGCATCCACATGTAATTTACTTCCTTTACCTCCCAAGCTCTTTAATATGATTTTCATGGGTCCTTGCGTAGGCAGCTTCTTTTGTTCTTTGACAGCCACCTCATTGTCATGAGGATACCACAAAGCTTTTGGTCGATGAAAATTAGCTAAATCTTTACTGCAGAAAATATCGAAATGAGAATTTAGAAAGCGTAGAACATAAAATTAATAGGTAAAACCAATACTTTGGACGATATGAACGTTCAAGGAAAAGGACAAAAAAACAAACACTTCAACTATGGGGAATGGAGGTAGCTGAGTGGGTGGGGAGGCATAATGGTCTTGTCAAACTTCATAAGAAATCATAATTCATTAAGACAATAAAAAAACTGTAACACTGACAATTTCTCAATAGTTAAAATACTGCAACATTAATAGCCAGATCTACCAAGAAACCAGTTCCATTTATCAATAAAAATAATAATAAGAACAGTAGCCATGAGCATAATCTGAGTCCAACCAAAGCTCAATTAGTGCACTTGAAGCTTCTGCCCATATATCTTGAGTTTACAAAGACTCGTTACTGGCTCAAAACTGCACCTAATACAGTCAGAGATTCCATCTAATTTTTAGTCCCATTTGAAAAGCTTGAGAATCTGGAGACTTCATTCTTTTACAGTAGAATGGTGAAGCAACCCAAGGTACCATCTCATCATACAGATAACTCCAAGATTGACCATTTGTGTCTTTTTTAATAAGAAAATAAATTTTATGAAGAAACAACAAACAGAGATTAAAACCTAGAGGATAAGATACCATAAACCACAAAGACAATTCCAAACAGAAGGCTAGCTCATAATGAAAGTCCTATGCTTACAACACATAATGCACCAATCTGGAGAAATATGAGTTTTAAGGCATTTTTTCCAAATGCAAATACAATTATGGCCTTGATTAAGGTTGTTATTGCAATAAAACAAGAACACAACATTTAAGCCTTAATGACAAACTAGTTAGGATCGGCGATATGAATCCTTTGTCTCCATGCTGCTTTGTTTATAATTAAGTCCACACTAATGCCAAGAAGTAATAGGTCTTTTTGAGGTTGTTATTTCAATAATAGGGATTTAAATGTTTTCACGGTTCAAGAGAAGGTTAGAAGAATATCAGCTCGAACCAAATTTTCACAAGACTTCTTTTTCCTTATACTCATTGTTCTATCCCCTTCACTCAATAGCTGTTTTTTTCCTTCTCTTTGTGACCATATCTAAAAATTTAAAAAAAAAAAAAAATCTATCTGAATTTCATTATATCCTAATTTATGATCAAAATGCAGCCACAGTCCCTAAGTAAAGAAATTCAATTTGGAGTTTCTATGGGATTTCCAGTTTCATACTTCCTCCCCAATAGTTTAATTTACAATAATTGATTACAGCAGTATATATATAAAATAAATTTCCATGCAACACGGTTTAGCCATGCAAATTTAGACATGCAAATAAAAATTATCCCAAATTTTTACATTAGATGGCATTTGGGAATTTATATGCATATGAAAACAGAATAAACAATTCCTGCAGAAAAATAAAGCACCCAATCTTACTTGCTTAATTTCAATTTCATTGTCTGCAGCTTAATGGCAGGTGCTGAATGATGAACTTTGGTACCATAGGCGATTCGTTTGCCAGAATTTGATTGCAACTGCTGAGAAATTTTTCTGTTCATGTAGAACTTGTCATTAGCAATGTTGAATTGCCAACCAGAATTATATCCATGACCAGATAGATCAGGTGAAACCCTAGGCTTTAGAGACCGGGTCACTATCATTGCCCCTGCATGAAGCTGAAGATGTTTACTATCATTTTTATCCAAAACTTCAAAAAGCATCTGCTCGTCTTGAAGATCAAGAATGAGCTTAGGTTTCATATGATCTTTATTGGGTTCCCATATTATCTCATCTAACCAAGAACCTTCCATCATGTCTTTGTTTTGCAATGTGAGTTTGCTGAAACGCCTTACAGCATCACATTGGACAATCTCCACAGCATTATTCTCTCTTCTACCACCAACATCATGATATTTCTCCCCTTCTAACTGAGACTCTAACCTCAAAAGTTGTGGATGGGATCTGCTTTCTGATGATGAAAGGTCCAGTTGTCCTGAAGAATCTCCAGAGTCAAATGACTCGACAACAACAGGAGAACCATGCAGGAAAATGTTATGAGCTTGCTCATCTGGATTCATAGGGAGCTCCAAATGAACACTCTGTGGCGAGCTTGCTTGTTCCATTTCCTTTATAAATGAATTCCCCAAATCAGGTCCAGACAACTCACAACTCGCTATAGAATTATTGCTAACAGGAGAATTGTCCCAGAGAATTCTATCTTCCCAATCCTGCTGATCGAGAGGATAGAATTTTGAACATAATGGTGATTGCCATCCCGAGGCAAGATTTATGGATAAATCTTTGTTCATTGGCTCAGAACTAGTACAAGAGCTTCTTTTTTGTTTCTCATCTTGAATTGATCCTTGCTTAGCACCAAATTTTCCAGATTCTAAGATATCACCACTAAACACCGAGACATCATATTGATTTACATAAGAGTGCAACTGAAACACTTGACTAGAGCCCTTTAAAAATGCTTCCTCATCTTCTTCAACAACATCAGAAACATCCATAGATTTATATCTCTCTGAAAATGAATCAACAATCTAGAAATTAAGATAGCACTCAGAAGTAAATTATAAACATGGTTAATAGAAAACTTTTAATTTCTTGATAAACTATTAATTCCTTTCCAAGAGTAAACCACAATAAAAAAGATGATCAAAACGTCACACTTTACTGAAGCAAAATAACGAGTACATAATGCAAATTTGAATCTCCTAAAAAAAATAATTGCCAGTTGACCATTTTGAAATTTCTATAACAAGCTGACTAATAAAGAGATTTTAGAAACACTGTCGCAGAAGACAATTCAGGCATGATGATGTACCCTTGTTAATGGAATATCTATGGCCTCTTTTTTCCGCTTTCTTCAAGGGCTCGTGAATACCAAATATTTCAGAGAACCGTAAAATCACCATACCATCTTCTATACACAAAATAGGCAGTGGTGTGGAACCTTGATCATCTGGAGGCCCCTCCATAGCATCTGCTATCTCCTGTTTAAAGGTAAGATAACAAAATATGTTAACACAAGTCTGAACACACAAATTACTGCTCAATTCATGATGCATCTAACTACAATAATAATTCTATACTGAAAGACCATTCACATTTGCAGCTTGCTACCTTTTATCATCAATCAACATAGAAAGCAGCAATTGTCTCAAGGAAAAGGGAGAACAAGTACCAGAAAAATATCCAATTTGCATTTCAGAAGAAGAACAAGAACCAAAATTAAACTACAAGCTGATAGCATACATGTTTTTTTCACTCCCTTTTTCTTTTACTTTTCACTTCTTACAAGCTTTTACAAAGTGGAAAAGTTCATTGCAGAATCAGCAATAATTAAGAATTCAAGAACACCTGCCTTCAACACGAATCCTCTTATTCTATTATTTTATACAATACGCAATATAGACTACTCAAAAGCTGAAATCTATGACAGCATTACAGGCGTGCACACAATATTTTGAGAAAATGCCATACGTGGCAGATACAGCTCAGAAAAAAAAAGAAGCCTCTTGGATTAGTGGGAAATACTAATTTGATATAATCAAGGATATTAACCCCCATATCTTCATTCTTTTTTCTTTTTTTGAGTATCAAAGACCATACAAGATTTTAAAGAATGATTTTGGATAATTACACAACCAATAGAATTTATGATCTAGAAAGAAATGAAGAAAAGATCTAACTTTCGGGACTGGTCATTATGATTGCATTGGATGTAAGCATTAAGTTCAACCAATGGAAGAATACAGATCTGTTGCAACAGCAGTCATAGATCATGCTATATAACCCTTTGAAATCTAATACAAAAATATGTAAAAGCAATAAAAAAAATATGAAAGTGAAAAAGGATCGCAACTTACTTCCTCGAAATCTTCCAAGCCATCATCCAGATTTTCAGCATCCAGGGAGTCAAGCTGTATACCATCGCGTGGTGATGTTTCCCCTGCTAGAACTACTGCAACATCCTGCTGATCTGAGAAAGAGATGCAAAGCCACATAAGATATTAATGGTTTAATGGTAAGAAATTATTGAATAATGAGGCATTGGGGGAGCAGGGAATTTAAAAGTATACTAAAAAGGAGGAGTGATATCAACTGTCTTATCCAAAACTGACCCAAACTGACATTCTTCAAACCCTAACAAAAATTAAAAGTACAAGGAAATTTTTGAATGTCATACTCAGATGCATCTACAGTGAGAAAAAAGCACTTAGAATGCAGATTGCTTCAGCAAAAAGATGACATATTGACAAAAAAAAAAAATAAAAATAAAAGAAGAGAAAAGAAAAGCTAAAACCATTAAATGGCATCAAAAAATTTACCAGTTTAAATAAGTGTTGGCTAGGGAAGTGTAAAAGTACTTCGCCATCAAAATATGAAAGATTCATTTTCAAATCTCATCTAAAACATGGTCAATTGAATAATATCCCCTGGTTCAAAATATGGTAGCAAGAAAAAAAAAATCAATTCAAATGTCCAAACACATAATTTATACCTAAGCAAACCCAATAAAAAATTGCCAAAACATAAAAATAATTTTGAATGAACTTACAAATTTAGGAATCAAGCTAAATGCAGCTTGTTTATCAAATAAAAATTTGGGCTCTGATTTCATCAGAAAGCGAGATGATTAACATGCTTAAATATTCAAGCGAATAAGGATCTAATTTTGCAATATTATAGAGTTTGTTTAACATGTTTAGACAAAAACATAACCAAGATCATAAAAACGTACATCTTACAATTTGAATATGAAAAAACAACGAATTATTGAAGTGACTATTATGGATTAAAAAGTGAAAAAGAATTAGTAATTAATAAAGGATGGTAATTAATAAAGAATGGTATACACCTGATAGAAAATTTGATAAAGAAATACCTTGAACTTCAAGCTTTTTTTCCACAACCACATCTTCCCTTTCGGTTTCCTCTTCCTCATCATAATTTTCATCATCAAAAACAGAAGTTTTCTGCTCCAATGTGGCCAGAGAAACTTCAGAAGAAAAATACTCCTTTTTGGGCAACAAAAAATCCTCCTCACTGGCTGCTTGAATCTCTGGTCCCTCATACTGCTCATCAATATCTTCATAATCAACTGCATCTTCAGCCTTCGCATCATAATCTAACAGCAGAAATACACATTAAATGCATTATCAGAAAAATTAGCCAGAGATAGATAACAAGATGAATAATGAAACAGATACAAGTCAAGCTACCCAAAAGATCCATCCAGGCTTCTCTGCCAATAAGTTTTTTTGCCCTTATCCGCACAGAAAATAAATCAAACACCAAACCAATAATGCAATAGTATGCAGATTTTTTTTTTTTTTAAAGAGAGAGAGAGAGAGAGAAAGAGAGAGAGAGGGAGGATTGAATCTCTAAATTTGCTAGTTTTTGTTCAGACAACCCATCTGTGAATCAAGGAGATTGAAGCAACCCAATTAAACAGGATATGAAGACTCATAAGTTGGATGGTGGTCCATGGACGAAACAATGAAGTTGAGAAAGTTATTGCATAAGCAGATGTTTTCTGAAGTGTTAGAACAAAAGAATTAGAGCATTTCACATATAAGATGGTGTTTTTGGTTCACAAAATGTTCCTTGCATCTGTGCTTCGCTTTTATAAAAATTGTGATTACTTAGAAGTATTTTTTCTTTTTTTTTTTTTTTTTCCTTATCTACAAGAAAAATAAGGGACTACATTCTCAAGAACGTACCGCTATTGCATTTGTTTATCGGCAAAAAAATAATACAAATCTAGCATTATTATGCATCTTTTTTTGCCTACCATTAACTGTACGTGAGAAATAAATAGTTCAAACTCAACTTTGACTGAGCATTGAAAAGTAGCTATGTGACAGGAAGGAATATTTAACCCATTTTATCTTTCAAGTACACTTCATAATGTATCCTTAATTGAAAACTCTCAATTCTCCGTCCTCCAAATTCTGAAAATAGGAATACAGACCAGAGTTGAATAATAATAACTGGAATTCCTCACATGTTTTTCTTCTATAATGATGACCACCTCACATCTCTCTCACAACATAAAATTAAGGGAAATGGAGCAAACTTTTGTCAGGAAAATGTTTGCTTGTGCAGAACCTTTAAGTATTAGTATCTTCCTGTAGTTTTATAACCAGCACTAGATATTTCCTAAATTTTGCGGAGAAGTTGACTGTACAGTAGTAATGGTAGCTTATCTTGCCATTTCCCTTGCTACTGTGCTCTTGTGTGCCTCAACAACTTGAGCGTAATGAACATAGTCCTTCATTTTATGTTTCTGAAAGTAACATTTCCTGTGATAGGTTATGCAAAATAGAATAAAATGCTATGCTGCTCATCAAATTGTAAGGCTTCCAACTACAAGGTGTTTCACATATACAATATTTGAAAAGAAAATATATTGCAAACTATTGAATTGAAGGTGTTTCACCTTCAATTTACAGCAGAACCTATGAAAGTAAGTTTTGATTTTCTTTTCTAGTATTGCAAGCTATTAAACCAATCAACTTGGATTGACCTTTTCTTTTTAAAGCATTCAAAATTTAACATCAATCAAAATATGAATTAAAGAAAGACAATTGAGAAATAAGTTTTATCAGTTGAAGAAACAAAGATACTAACAGAACATCAAAAACTGCATGAGAGAATTTTTCCTGGCAGACAACATCACCTTGTTCTGCAGCATCAGCTGATGCGTGTGGTGATTTCACAGACAACTGGAAAAAAAAAAAAAAAAAAAAAATTGAAGAAACAACAGCTAACTAACAGAACATCAAAAACTGCAATAGTGAGAGAATTTTTCCCTGGCAGACAAATCACCTTGTTCGCAGCAATCGAGCTTGATGCGTGTGGTGGACTTTCCCCCAGACAACTGGAAAAAAAAAAAAAAAAAAAAAAAAGGGATCATAGTACTAAAACCAGTAAAAAAAGTTTTACCCTCAACCCAACACTATTATCTGTAGCAGTAATTCAAAAAGAAGAAAATTCTTCTTAAAATTGAAATGCACTAAAGCGGAGCACATGATAAAGAGTTCCATACAAAAAAAAAAAAAAAAAAAAAAGGATCATTAGTACTAAACCAGTAAAAAAAGTTTAACCTCAACCCAACACTATTATCTGTAGCAGTAATTCAAAAGGAAAAATCTTCTTAAATTGAGAATCACAAAGCTGAGCACATGATAAAGAGTTCCATACATCTATATCTGTCAATGATGGGCCTAACTTGTCAGCCAGTGCACCAAGATGCTCCTTCGCATCCTGAAAATATGCATTTTTTATCATTCAAGTGAGAATACAAAACTGTTCAATATATATCACAGTAACAAATGAAAAAGATGTTCTTTGCACGAGCAACCAGCAAACGTATTGAAATAAAAACCAGCTAGAGAACATATGAGCAGGCTTATGCAAAGAAAACCAAAAAAGTAGGCCTACCAAGTTTGAGCATTAGCTTGAAATTCCTAAACATAAAAACAAAATTACTTCATGTGAAATTCAAGAACATAACCCCACATGATTCGAACAATACAAATAGCATTTATTATTTTCGTAGAAATTATGAATGTTATTCATTTAACAACTTAGCACATAATGTGCTGAGAGTAACCTTCAATAAGGATTTCAAGGTTTTTGCAGGGTAACAATTTGTACCTTGTAATTGTCTTACATAAAGGAATAATTTTTTTTTTTCCAATTTGTAACTTATTATACAATAAGAACAATGCGTACACAAATAACTTAGCATACCCCATAAGTCTCCACCTCAAATAAATTTTACCCCACCAACTCAATTGCAATTAAGAACCAGTGGAGCACAATTGTTTCATCTTTTTCCATCAACTTATGCCTCAAAGTATCTCCAGCTAAAAAAATTCTCACTGTCCACTGAAACTCCATTTGTGCCAGGATGTCCTTTAACACTCACACATGAATTTATGTATCTAGAAACCTAAATATGATTATTCGTGTTTATTTAAACAGAAGATTGTAAATAGCATAAGAAACATAAAAGAGACAGAAAGATCACCTCATCGAGATAATCAACATCAAGATCACCAGAGTTGTCGACATTCCCAAACATAAATCCCAATAACCTGTTACCCCCACCAACCTCTTCATATTCCTCATCATCATCTGCCAAACCAATTATGGACCACATCAAAATGTTACATAACAAGCAGGAAAAAGAAAGTGAAAATAATATCAAGCAGGAAAAAGAAAGTGAAAATAAAGGCCACATTAACCTCGAATTTGTTCATATCTTAAAGAGGATTCTTCACAGGAAAAAAAAAATACTGATTTCCATTTTTTGTATTTTCCTTAAAATGCTACTAGATTGTGCAGCTTTGTCTTTAATTGGTGTTTCTTTTAGTAAACAAACAAAATCAATAGTAAATGTAGATGCTAAAAACAACGAGTCAAGATTTCTAAAAATCGAATCCTTCATTCCAAGGCTGAAAAAGCGCCATTATTCCCCTTAAAATAACATGTAAACTGCAAAAGACCTTCAAAATTCAATGCACTACAAACTATCTGCTTAAATATCAATCTATATAAACTCAAGTTGAAAAGTTATTCACACAATATAACAATTAAAACAATGACTAAATAACAATATATCATTATTTTAAGAAACCAACTTACCTTCATCACGAGCATCCTGGGATGCACCACCTGACTCATAACCACCCATGCTTTAGTTGCAGCCCTATCCTATATAATCACAAATAGGAATTAAAACTAGAGCAATTACAAACTTAAACACAACACAAATAAGAAAAGTGGCGTCTTTGACAGGGCAGCATTTGAAATATGAAACCTCGCAGCTGTTAATTTACACTTGAGAAGAAAGTTGAAGAGAACTAAACAATTAAATTGAGCTAAATTTGGTCATCAAATTCCAGTTTCATTTCAGAAACACATATATATACATGTACTCCCATAGGAGCAAATGCCCAAAAAAATTTTGGGACAGAAGGTTCAAAAGAATAGGGAGCAAGAAAAATTGATAAATCACCTCAAATCAAATCCTAGCTGAAACCTGTCAATTGCTCCCCTGAATAAATTCTTTGATCACAAAAAGAAAATAAAAAATAAAAAGCTCAAACAAACAAATTTTGCACACAGAAAGAAACTTTGAAGTTAAAAGCCACAAGATTACTTAACTTTATACTGAAAAATTACAATTAGCTAAACACACCCGAAACTGGAAAGAGTCAATACGTTGAAATGAATAGTGCCAATAAACACTATTTACTGAAACTATGAAATTGAGAAATCAAAAATTCAAATGGATTTCAAGAAAATGGAAAACGAGTATAAGGTATGCAACGATTTTTGGGTTTTTCCACAGGACGAAAATGAAAAGAAAGGGTAGAGAAAGGAAAAATTGAAGTTTCTAGGAGAATTAAATCGTACCTTTTTTAAGTTATATGGATTCCTTCATTCCAATCTTGAATAGCGATGCTCTTTAACTGGAATAAAATAACAGAAATCGGATTAGCGACTCAGATGTTTGTTGATTTCATTGAAGAAGAACGCAGGGGGGAGTGGGGTTATAAATAAAGCGGGACTAACAGATTAATATAATGTTGGGTTTGAGGCTGTCGGTCCCGAAGACAGGGTCGGGCTAAGTTTCTTTAATCTCTGTTGGGTTTGAATCCACATTATCAGACCCAAGCCCATGACCCATCCTATGGGATGGAATGGGATTAGAGTTGTTCAATTCACGGTTCGGTTTGTTGTGGTTTGAAACAATTTTCAAATGATATCAAAGATTTTTAAAATTGTTTCAAATCAAATCAAATTATTAGTCAATGAAATTAAATCAATCAAATCAAACTACAATAAAACGGTTTAGTGTTATTCGATTTACACTTTGATACCATTAAAAATAATTTAATAAGTTGTGTTTGTTATAATTAAATGATTTAATGAATTTATATACAATATATGATATAACTAAAAAAAATCAAATCAATATAAAATATATAAACGAATTTTTATATAAAAAATACAAATTAAAAATTAAATTTTTATATAATCAAACTGTATCAAACCAATTTGGTTCAATTTAATTTTGTTCAATTTTTCAATTTTTGACTTAATTTTTAAGATTGTAAGTTTTTTAATTTATATAATTAGCACCAAACTATTAAAAAAATTTGGCTTTTTCTATAAAATTTGAAACCCAACCAAACATTTTCAAAATTGAACCGAATTAATTTGATTGATTTGGTGTGATTTTTTAATTTGACTCAAATGGAATCCAGCCCTAGGTGTATAATCATATAATTGGTAATAAATAAAATTTGCATATTTCACACCTATAGGTATTCTTCTCAAATTGCTTATCTGTGCTTGAACCTACATGTCGTTTCAAATCAAAATTGGCAAGAATGCCTTCAATCATATAGAAGGAAAATTTGCTAGCATAGGAAACAAAAAAGTTGGAAAGTTCAAAGTTTTCTTTCACGTAAATTATTAAAAAAAAAAACATTTTAAATTATTTTTATTTTATTCATAATATAATAGAAGGAAAATTTGCTAGCGATATGGAAACAAATAAAAGTTGGAAAGTTCAAATTTTCTTTTCACGTAAATTTATTAATAAAAAAAAACATTTTAAATTATTTTATTTTATTCATAATGTATATATATATTATATATATAATTATATATATATATATATATATATATATATATATATATATCTATTTATCATGATATCTAATTTTCATTATATTATCATATATTAATTTTCATTTCTCGACCTACGGTTGTGGTTCAGTTGGTAATATAGGCTGAACATGTTGGAAAAGCTCTCGAATTCAATTACACTAAACACACTTGCAGTGAGGGACAAAAAGTCTTAATTGTATAACTAAACCTCGAGCCGGATTAAGCGTTCATTGATAATAGAGTTCGGATACCGATAATCTATGATCTCAAAAGTAATGAAAAAATATAGTCCATTTCCTTCGAATCTCCTCCTCAAGTTCAAGGTCTGAATTTGATTTGATTTTCGATTTTTACTTTTCTTATCTTACTTTTTCTCTAAAAAGAAATTAACTTCCATTTGCTTCTACTTTCATTATTAAGGAGTTCTCTTCCTTTATTTTTATTACTATTGAAATATTTTATTTGCATATCTAAAAGCTTTACAATGAGATAATGGATGTAAGAAAGAATGTTGTCCTTTGAAGCTATGTTATAAGAGTTTCTTATTCTTATTATGTAGTATTTCTATTAATCTTATAGATTTTTTACTAAATAGCCAAATGGATAAAATTTTATAGTGTTTTACTTTGATTTATTTTTTTATTTTTATTTTTTTTAATTTAATAATTCATTAATAATAAATATAAATTATGTACATCATGATATTGAGCACTTCAATTTATAAAATTGCATTTATTTTAATATTTTAATTTATAAAATTATTATATTGAATGCTGAAGTTATACAATTAGATTGATTGAACAGTTAAAAATGTGAAAATTATTAATTTAAAAATTATACCAACAACACACCAAATCAAAATTTTTATTTATTGAAAAAAAAATGATTAAATATTTTATTGTAAATATGCATAAATATGCAAAATTCGTAATTTTAGAGTAATAATAGATCACTTTAGAATTTAGAGTGCATAAAATCTTTTGCAGAAAGTATATAAGTGAATTTATGTATTTGAACCATCATAAAATTACATAAATTGATACCAACTCTATATTTTCTTTTTCGATGTGAATATAATAAATTGAATACAACCATATTTTCTTCTTTTTCGGATGTTGAATATATATATATATATATATAATTTATATAATTATATATATAATATTATATAGTCACCTGATGTTGTATATATCATGATGTTGTAACGTAATTAGAATTTTATTAGTACATTTTAAATCTTGTACAAAATGCGGACCGTATATATTACCAGGTTATATATATATTTAATACTAAACTATGTCTTAGAGTCTGTTCAGCAATATTAACTATTGTAATAGTTATTAGCTGTTCTAATATTTTTAGCTGTTTTAGTAGCTTTTAAGTGTTAGATGTTAGTTGTTAACTAGTTATATAGTGGTTTAAGGCAAAAATGTTTGATAAAAATAAATATCTAATTAGCTGTTAAAATTAAAATGATAGAAAAGGACATTAGAATGTTGATTTCAAATTTTAAATTATGGCCCTAAAACTGAAATGGACTAATTGATAAAAAAATATGAGATACTTGTTTTTTTTCTAAATTATTATCATATTTTTTTATTTCAATTTTTTTCTATAACAAAAGATTATTTTTTATAAAATCAAAATGAAAGACAGAGAAAATTTTTTTAATGTTTTTTAATTTTAACAACATGCCCTTATCCTTGTTTCAAGACAATAGAAATAAAATAATTAAATAACATATATTCCTTTGAGATTTGAAAAACAAAAATTAAATAAATAACAAAGAGTACCAAATTCAAATGAGTGTTTTTGCAAATAGAATTGTTAGCCTTAAAAATAGGGAAAAACAAAACAAATGAATAAGAGTGTTAAAAAATAAAATTTAAAACACTAATGTTACGGGATTTAACGTTTGATAAAACCTTTTCTGTCCTTTTAACAGTTGTTACAAATATTAAGTTACCGAATAATCTAATTGATAGATATAGTGTTTTAATTGTAGTGAAAACACTAAATGCTTTTTAAAATGCGGAAGAGGCTCTTGTAAAATACCGATCAATTTCATTTAACCAATTTGGATCTTATGGACATAAAATAGATTATTATAAGCCCAAACAAAATACATAGCAATAAAATAGATTATTATATGCCAAAACAAAACGACATGGCCAATTTAATCAATAAATGCACACAAATTCGTTCCATTATCTGTCGTTGGAGCATGGCCAATTTATTCATCGCAACTTTGTCGTTTTTTATGAAGCAAAGCAGCAAACGCTTTCGTTTAATAACACATCATAAGGATGTAAATAAACAACTCGTCGTTCATTTTCGCGGTTCTTGGATTTTTTTTTTTTTTTTTTTTTTTTTTTTTTTTTTTTTGTCTTATTTTGTCCAGATTTTGGGGAGACTTCTAATTTTAGCAAATATAGGAAGGGGAGAGATTAGCGGTTCTTGGATTTTTTTTTTTTTTTTGTCTTATTTTGTCCAGATTGGAGACTCTAATTTTAGCAAATATAGGAAGGAGAGATAGTTGGTGGGAATATTGGTGGTTCCAGGGGTGGCGCAGCCATTTGCGGTGGTCCTATGGGCACCAAGAAAGGCTTCGGGGACGAATATGTTGGGCTTGGTGGCAATATTGGTGGTTCAAGGGGAGCAGCAGCTGCTTGTGGTGGTGGCACCAACAAAGGCTCCGGAGCAGGAGATGTTGAGGTTGGTGGCAATATTGGTACCAGAAAAGGTTGTGGAGGTGATGACGCTTCTGGTGGAGGTGGTAGCGCTTCCGGTGGAGGTGGCAATGCTTCTGTTGGAGGTGGTGACGCTTCTGGCTTTGGTGGTGAGGCTTCTGGTTGAGGTGGAGACGCTTCCTGTTGCGGTGGCGGCGAAGTCGGGAATCGTTGCCAAGGAGGCAGTTTAGGCTTAGGCAAAGGCAGCAGAACGTTAACTTTTTTCGTTAGTGACGATTTCTTGGCAGTTTGTGGTGACATATAGCGAGTAGCTACTACAAAATTATCAGTAGCACTAAAAATTGAAGAAGAAAAAAGAAAAATTATGATAAATTGATAAAGGGTATTTGCCATTTTTAGAGGTCAACGAGCTAAATGGCTAGTGAATGGTTTTGTGAACTGTTCAGTCAAAACCAGAACTCAGAACTGACCTTAAAGCAGGCAAGAAGGGCTTTTAAATAGAACGACAGCTTTTGAGATTTCGGTATTTGGTTGCTTTAAATGCATGGACATGTGGCTGGTAGATTTGTTTTTGTCTTTTTATCATTTTATGATAAATCGTTGGAGTTAATAGTGTCAAAACGTTGTTGTGAAATAGTTCTGGTGTGTTTGGTGGCAGGAATTGAAAATTTGAGATCAAATACATATTAAGAACACACATGTAAAAAAATTATTTTAATTTTGTATCAATTTGATAATGCTCAGCAAAACTAACTGTTTTAGTCGATGTTAGCTAGTGTTTCATCAAATGTTAAAAGGAAATATGTTTTAATTATTCGCTTCTCAAACTATAAATACTGAACATGTAAATAATAGAGTAGTGTTTTGACTAAGTCAAAATCTTAAAAACTATATGAAAGACTCGTTGTAGAATAAGACATATGTTCAATAAGCTGTTATAAAATAGAATAATATAATTAAATCTTTTTTCAATATAAAAAATTGTAAATGTTTTTCTGGTGAAAACCATATAATGTAATGGACTTTTTTTTTTGGACAAATATTATATTAAAATATAATATAATATATCATTTGTGATATTAAGAATATAATAATAATGTAAGGAAATATGATTGCTTAAAGTTTAGAAGAGTATATTCTGCAACTATTTTTTGCTGCTCATTAGAATGAGAATAAATGATGTGTGTACTTTTGTTCTTACAAACTTCACATGGTCAGCGTTTAAGACAAACTTGGATCGTTGCCCTACTGACTCTCTGAGACCATTGTTTCTCCAATCACTGAAGAAGAAAATCCACAGCCATTGAAGTAGTACCTGAATTAGATGAATTTGTTCCTAAAAGAGTTCACCATATTTTGCTTCTATTATTTTCGTGTTAGATGATACAATGTTTCTCCAGACTATACAATGTTGTAAGGAATTTAAATCATAAGCAAACAATGTGGCAAATTTGAATAACTTTATCAGGATCAAAACAACAATAACAACTAAGTCTTAGTCCCCATCAGTTATATGAATCATTTGTTTCCAATATTTGCTTTGATCAATATCAGGATCAGGACATTAATTCTAATTGTCTTCTCCAAAATTATGTGTATGAATGTACATACTCCCACTAACAAGGAAATGACGGAAATGATCAAACAGTAGAAAGAATTTAATAAGAATATTTATGGCTGAAATAAGTTTTCCTAGCGTAGTGCAACAGGTCAGTGACACATCGTTACAGTAGCTAGTTAGGAGAAGAAATGATGACATCAAGCAAAGAAAAATCATCTTTCAAAATGTGAAAATGGTTTTAACAAACTAACCTTGCCACTGAAAAATTGTGCAATGGGAATGTCAGATCCTTCATTGAAAACTCTCTTTGTTTAATTGAAGATTGTGATTGAATCTTGTTCTGAAAGTTTGGAAGCAAAATTATATTTGGACAGTCAACTACATCAATTTTTTCCAAGGATGGGCATGCTATAGCATCACTTCCTGAATAAAAACTTATCCAGCTGGGCAAAGGCTCTAGATTGATATAGTATTGATTTTATCCAACAGAGCATGCTCTTCTTCTTTTATGACGATTTCTTCAATCAAACTACACCTGTTCATAGATGGAAGTTGCACAAGGCCCAAAGACATTGACAGAGAAACTACATTGGTCAAGGAATTACAATCATGAATTTTCAATAATATCAGGTTTTTAAATCCCATAACTCCCTGAGGATTATCAATCCATACATGCTTCAACCTCGGAAGTTTTATCAAATGCAATTCATTGAACTGTAATGCCATCACAACATGCCCTTCATCAGCATTCAGCCCTTCCACATCAAATAGTTCTTTTGGTGCTTCACAACTTTCCACGATATACACTTTGAAGGAGTTCAAGAGCTGCAGGAAATTCAGTGACAGTGATATGGAACAAAGAAAAATGAAAACTCAAAGAGCCTCAAAAAATATATTGTGAAACCTATTCCTAAGAATGTTGAAAATTTTATGTTAAAGAGAGATTAGATCCTATCATGAATAAATATGATTACTTGATTAAATGTCAGTCCTACTTTCAAAATTAACAGACAAGTCTCAGACAATAGCTGAATTGAATGCCTATTCTAAGTCTAGAATACTATGGTCCTTTCCTTTAAATTTACAGAACATATTGGAAATCGAGGTTTTACGTTACTGGTGCTCATAATAGAAAAGACAGCATAAAAACTTAATTAACTAGGAATCATGAGGTCGGAACACAAAAATGTTCTATGCTTAAATCTGTTCATGGTTCAATATTTTTTCACTGATATAGGTAAAATTCTCAACAATATGAAAACCGCCTCCATTAGCAAATGCTGTTATATGATATTTTTCCAAAAACGTTAACATAAATAGGTTAAGAGAAACAGAAAAACACAAATCAATAAAATATAAAGGTGAAGATACCTTGATCTGGAACACTCTCATACTCAGCACAATAGTGTCACTCATTCTGCAAGAGAATACAAATAGCATCATCACAAAAGTATACTTTAATATTGATATCGATGACATCAATAAGAATACAAGCAAAATTATCTTAATTTCCCTCTGATTCTCCTTCCTTTTATTAGGCTTTTTATTGCTGATTTTTAAATTTAATATTATTTTCAGTCTTACAGGATAAGGAAGTCATGGCAAAAATGAGAGACACTATTAAAGCCAGTATATCGTAAAAATCTATATTATGCATCTAAGATGAACCATTATAAACAAAATTTGTTTTAACCATTATTTTCCAGTTCCTGCTAAGCTATGGTATGAAACTCTATTCATCCCTGTTATTTTAGCATTCTTTTGCTGATTATATATTTGTTTTGACATTACTCTCTTCTCAGAGTAGAAAAGTATCAGCACATGTATCTTTGACCAGCCACAGATTTGGTGTAGAGATACTGATTTTCTATTCCTTGATTTTGGTTTCTGTTACAGATTTTCTGCTTGTTTAAATTCAATAAATCTCCTCTGTTTTAGGAGATTTTAGTTGTTATTCTTGTGTATAAATTCAATTCAGTTTCTCAATAAAATTTAAATTCAATAAATCTCCTCTGTTTTAGGAGATTTTAGTTGTTATTCTTGTGTATAAATTCAATTCAATTTCTCAATAAAATCATCAAGTCATTCCTGAATTTCCCTTTGTTTATATGGTATCAGAGCTGTATTAGCTCTAGCGAGTAACATTCTCTGAATATCCAACCCAATCTCATCAAATGGCCTCCAACGTAAATGTCATTAATGCTGATTCCAATAACAACAATACTAATGTTGTTCAATTCAATCCAGTATCTCAATTACCAATTAAACTTATTGGCAGCCACAATTTTGCCACTTGGAAAGCCCAAATAATATTAGTTGTTACTCTTGTATATAAATTTAGTTTAGTTCCTCAAGAAAATCATTAAGTCATTCCTGAATTTCTCTTTGTTTATACAGTATCAGAGCTGGATTAGCTCTAGTGAGTAACATTCTCTGAATATCCAATCGAATCTCATCAAAAGGCCTCCAACGTAAATATTATTAATGTTGATTCCAATACAATACTACTGCTGTTCAATTCAATCTAGTATCTTAATTACCAATTAAACTTATTGGCAGCCACAATTTTGCCACTTGGAAAGCCCAAATATCCATGCTCATGCATGGACATAACCTATTTGGCCATCTAGATGGAACCTTCCCAGCTCCCTCACCTACTCTTAACCAAGGTAATCAGCAAATTACAAACCACAACTACTGTATTTGGTTCTGAAAAGACCAATTGATCCAGAATGCAATCATGGCATCAGTCGATTCAACAATTGCTACAACTATCACTGCTGCCTCAATCACTAAACTTGCATGAGCTCTCTTCACACAACCTATGCAAATAAGTCCCAAACACGAATTTTAGTCTAAGAGACTAGCTTGCTCATCTTACAAAGGACTCCAGAATCACAGCTGCAATTGCCACCCGCAATAGATTCAACAATTTCAACAATCGCAATAATCGTCGATTCAATAACAACACAAACTCTCAGTTGGGCCTCAATAATCGTTCCAATTCTTCTACTCAAGGGCGTTCAATGAACAACAATCCAGTACGTTGTCGATTCAATAACAACACAAACTCTCAGTTGGGCCTCAATAATCGTTCCAATTCTTCTACTCAAGGGCGTTCAATGAACAACAATCCAGTACGTTGTCAATTGTGCAATAAACTTGGTCATACGGCGAATGTCTGTAGATCTCAATCTCACAACCATCTAGAAGCCAAGGCCAATTATGTCTCTGCTAAGCAAGCTACTGCTAGTCCGTGGATTCTTGACTCAGGTGCCTCTCACCATTGGCGAATGTTTGTAGATCTCAATCTCACAGCCATCTAGAAGCCAAGGCCAATTATGTCTATAGATCTCAAGCTACTGCAAGTCCATGGATTCTTGACTCAGGTGCCTCTCACCATGTTACTGTTGAACCTCATAGTCTAGAAGAATATACTGGTTTAGAAGGAATAGCATGGGCAATGGTAAAACTATTCCAATCACTCACATTAGTTCTAAAAAATTAATTGCATCAGATAATGCTTTTAAATTGCATAACACCTTATGTGCACCTGATATTAAACAAAATCTTATTTCTGTTTTAAAGTTTAATCAAGATAACCTAACCTCCATTGAATTCTTTCCTTTTGATTTTTGTGTGAAGGACTTGAAAACGAGGACTCCGCTGGTTTACAGTCGGAATAGAGATGGACTTTATGAATGGCCCAACTTCACCCAATCCATCAAACCCATCGTTAATTCTACCATCACAACAATTCCTCTCCATACATGGCACAACCGTCTTGGCCATCCCCACCTTCAAATTTTCAGATTTATTGTAAATAAATTTACTTTACTAGTTTCATCAAGAGATAAGTTCACTTTTTGTAACTCATGTTGCTCCAACAAATTGCACCATTTTCCCTTCCAACAGTTGTCCCTAACTAGTAATGCTCCTCTTCAAACTTTATTCAGTGATTTGTGGGGACCCTCCCCATTTCTTTCAATTGACAAAGAAAGATACTATTGTGTTTTTGTTGACCAATACACCAAATACACCTAGTTGTACACACTTAAAAATAAAAGTGATGTTCAAGAAATATAAAAGCTTAGATCCATATCTTAGCTCCCATGGCATAGAACACTTAATCTCACCTCCCCATACCCCATAAAGAGTGGCTTTAGCTGAACGCTGTCATTGGCATATTATTGAAACTGCCAAGACCCTTTTACATACTGCCTCATTACCATCATCTTTTTGGTCATTTGCTTGTCATCACGCTACCTATCTCATCAATCGACTACCCACACAAAACTTAAAAAATCAATCACCATTTGAGAAATTATTTGGTGTACCCCCAACTATAATTCCCTACGGACTTTTGGATGTCTATGTTACCCTTCGCTCAAGTCTTATACTTTAAATAAACTTCAGCCTCGGTCCACCCCATGTGTCTACTTAGGTTTTTCTCAAAGTCATTATGCTCATCAATGTTTTGACCCAACTAATTCTAAAGTTTATATCTCCCGAGATGTGAAATTTCTTAAAGATAATTTTCCCTCTCAAACTATTTTCTCTCATATAAAAACCCATTTTCCTTCTATCACATGGGAAATTTGTGATAACCCACTCTCATTTGCTAGCCAGCCTAAACCCACCTTCACCAACTGATCCAAATTCAATATTGCCTTTACCCTCACCCATTATTATTAGGGAAACACACACCAATACAGCAACGTCCGTCTCCTCTAGTCATTCTCCTATGGATTCCATGGTTTCAGGTACTTCTTTATCTCTCCCTTCAACTTCACATAATAATTCTCTCATTTAATATCATCGTGGCCACATAGATCATCCTCTTGCTACCACCCTTTTACCACCCATCTCTTCCTCACCTTCTCATCCTACATCAAGCAATAATCCAACAACACATCCAAATCCCTCCCCCTCACCACCACCACCTAACCGCCCCACCATCAAATCCCAGAATAACATATTTCGACCTTGTAAACCTTTTGATTATCTTGCTCACCTTTCCCCTGCCATAACTCACCATACATTTAAACAAGCGCAAAAATACCCATAATGGAACGGGCAATGCAAACAAAATTTGATGCATTAATTTAGAATCAAACATGGGAACTTGTTCCCAAGGCTTCTAACCAGAATATTGTTCAGTGTAAATGGATTTACAGGATAAAAAGGAAAGCAGATGGTTCATTTGATCGATGCAAGGCTCGCCTAATAGCCAAAGGATTTACTCAACGTCCTAGCATTGACTAGCACTGCAGTTATAGCCCTATTGTCAAACCAACAATGGTCCATATTGTACTTTCTCTTAGTGTGCAAAATAATTGGGTTCTGAATCAGCTTGATGTCAATAACGCATTTCTCCAAGGGACACTTGAAGAAGAGGTTTTTATTTCTCAACCTCCTGGATTTGAAAATTCTACTCATCAATCTCATGTTTGCCAGTTGAGGAAGGCTATCTATGGACTTAAACAGGCACCTTATGCCCGGTACAATGAGTTTACATCTCATCTGCTCAAAATGGGTTTTGTTAAATCCAAATCTAATCCATCCCTTTTTATTTACCAAACATCACGAGGCATCATTTATCTCTTGGTGTATGGGGACGATATAATTCTTATTGGCAGTGGCTCTTTGATAGTCAAATAGATCACTTCATCCTTAGCAACCCATTTTTCTCTCAAAGATCTTTTGGTGTATGTGGACGATATAATTCTTACTGGCAGTGACACTTTGATCGTCAAACAGATCACTTCATCTCTAGCAGCCCGTTTTTCTCTCAAAGATCTTGGTCCCTTGAATTACTTCCTTGGCATTGAGGTTCATCGTAATGGATCTGGATTAATTCTCTCACAAGCTAAGTACATTTCTGAACTTCTCCATGATCTCAATATGCATGAGTGCAAGGGTGTCCAAACTCCGATGAGCTCTACTCAAAGTTTGCAGTTGAATGATGGCAGTCCCTCTCATAATGCCACTGAGTATCGACATGTAATGGGAACGTTACAGTACTTGTCGTTTACTCGACCCGATGTTGCCTTCTCTGTAAACCGGTTATCTCAATTCATGCACTCCCCCTCTGAATCTCACTGGAAAGCTGTCAAACGTCTTCTCCGGTATCTCAAACAAACTGCTCATTATGGTCTTCGTCTCACTAGTTGCAGCAACTTTACCCTCACTGTGTATTCTGATGCTGATTGGGCCGGCAACATTACTGATCGAAGTTCTACGACAGGATATCTTCTTTATCTTGGTCTTAATCCCATCAGCTGGTCTTCAAAAAAACAGAGAACCATTGCTCGTTCATCTACGGAAGCTCAGAGAACCATTGCTCGTTCATCTACGGAAGCTGTTCATCTACGGAAGCTGAATATCGAGCCGTTGCCCCCGGCTTCTTGATGAAACAACTTGGGTAAAAACCTACTCAAAGAACTCGGTGTAATCTCCTGTCTCCTACCATTTACTGTGACAATCTAGGAGTTACCTACTTATGTCACAATCCTGTCCTTCATAGTAAAATGAAACATGTAGCTGTAGATTTTCATTATGTCAGACAAAAAATTCAAGATCAACAGCTTCTGGTCAGTCACATTCCTAGTCCAGATCAATTAGCTGATACACTCACAAAGCCCCTTGCAAAAGAACTCTTCAATCGTCACTTATCCAAGCTAGGTGTTGTTCCACACCATCTAGCTTGACGGGGGTATATCAACACATGTATCTTTGACCAGCCACAGATTTGGTGTAGAGATACTGATTTTCTATTCCTTGATTTTGGTTTCTGTTACAGATTTTCTGCTTGTGAGAGAATTAATCCAGATCCATTACGATGAACCTCAATACCGAGGAAGTAATTCAAGGGACCAAGATCTTTGAGAGAAAAATGGGCTGCTAGAGATGAAGTGATCTGTTTGACGATCAAAGTGTCACTGCCAGTAAGAATTATATCGTCCACATACACCAAAAGATAAATGATGCCTCGCGATGTTTGGTAAGTCATTCCTGAATTTCCCTTTGTTTATAAAAAGCATGACAAAAATGATATGCACCACCAAAACTTAAAAGTAAAATTTAAAGATCTTTTGGAGTTTGGAAGGCCAAAGCTCTCCTCATTCCCCTTAACTTTGCAGTTACATTGAACACTTCAAATTATAAATTGCACTTATTGAATACATCAATAAACAAAATTATACTTATCAAACACTTATAGACTCATTAAAGAATATGAAAATTATTGTCTATTAATTTGTATTAAAAGATGCATAAAGTATTGCACTTATTGAACATATATCTAGTAATTGAAAATTTTGTAAAATTATATCTGCTAAGTACAATATAATGAAAGATATCAAGTGCAATGAATATAAGTATTGCAAATTCTTTTCTTCTAAAAAATAATGATAATGTATCTGGGTTAAAACTTTTCTACAGAAATAAAGGAACTGAAGTGGAATTGGAATGAAAAGAACAGGGAGACTTTACCATAATTAAAAAAAATTATCCGTGTTTCGCAGAACTTTCTGCTTCTGTAGTCTGTATTATATCTGATTTCTCTCACTACCTGCAGAAGATCCGGACCACACAGTTCTTATAATGTCTATTTGCTTAGAAGTTTGTTTGAAAGTGCGGCAAATAGGAGGCAAGAAAGAGACGGGAAAGAAAACAACAGAAAAGAAAAAAGAGAAAAAACTACGCTTCATTTAGGGAAGTAAAGGGAAAATAAGGGAAAGGAAATAAAATTGAAGTTGCTTACTTCATTTGGGTGTTCAAAGTGGGAAGAAATATAGAGGAGATTTCAGAATTGCCTTCCAATGGCATCAAACATTTCCTTCCAGTAAAATACATGAAGAGAAATTAAAAAAGAGTAAAGCTTCAATTTACTAACAAATCCTTTCTAAAAATAAAGATCCTCCTTTTTTTTTTTTTTATTTAAATTTTCCTTCTTTTCCTCATTTAATTTGTTTTCCTTTCCCTTGGCATCTTAGTTACCCAGAAAAAGTAAGAAGGATACTGACAAATTAATATGAAATGCAAATACAATTGAAGTTGAATTACAATTTGAATTTGAATTAAAATGCCATTTCAGCTCTTTGCCTCCATCAATTCGCAACACGACAGTTTTATTAGAATTGAGATTATGAGGAACAAAAAGGTTCGAGATTTCAGAGAAATTAAGAGCACTAATTACCTCATCTAAGCGTCCCAATTTTCTTCATTCTCATTCGCCATTGTTGAACCTCAGAAGCTTTGGAAGAACAGGGAGAAAGAAAGTTTTTAATGTCCTGTGGTGGGTTTATCAAAGTGTACGAGTAAAAGAAGCAGCAGACACCAAAGACAGAAGACTAGACGGCAGTCTCGAAGGATGTCGTTTGTATATGGATAGGGAAAAAAAATTAAAATGTTAAACTAAAAAATAAAACTTTATTCTAATTGACACTACAAATATATGTATTCAATTAAAAGGGATAATATTTTATTAAAAGATGTTTTTATATATTCCTTCTTACTAAAAACATATAATTATATCAATTCATTTTAGTACATTTAAGAAGCATTAATCTTTTTTTTTTTCAATTTTAGCTTTATCTCTAATATCCCAAAAAAAAAAAGAATAATTTAGTTAAATATGACTTTTTTTTTTTTCTAGAATTGATAGTGTTAAATGATTTTTTTTTTTGGGTAGAGCCTAAACATAAATTATTAAGTTAAAATAATATGTATACAACTAAAAGCAACATCGTTGATATTATAATGTAAATAAAGATTGAGATTCGGAGAATTGTGTATAAGCGGGAGGTACACATCGAAAGAGTCGAAGTCTATTACCACCCAATCTACAATAAAATTAACCTCTTTATAAATATCTGCGCTAAAATTAAATTGTCTGATGATTTTTTTAGTCTATATATAATTATAAACTTGAAACTGAATGGTATATGATAATCAAATTGGCCGTATTACATTCATGGACCTTTATTACATATTAAACTAAAGCAAACCATACAAATTTTCCTCATACAGCATCTTTTTAATTATAGGTAACACTCTCTTATATAACCTAGCTAGTATGCTAGGAATAAGATTTTGTATTTAATTTTACAATAAGGTGAAATTTCAATAATAAAAAAAATTAACGAGAAGGTGGACTTGAAAATGAAAATGGGGGGAACGATGGTATTCTTCCAACCACATAAGGAGGCAACCTAACAACTGGTGGAACAGGAAAAGTGTTTCCAGTGCGAGGCAGTGGAGGAAGATCTAAACGTGGGATATAGCTAAAAAGTGGCTCCTGCAGAATGCGGCGAGCTGCCATTGAAACTCCGATGCCTGAAAATGACAATGCGATAATCAGTATAGCTAAAATGAAGAAACGGGAAGAAGCCATGTTAGTAAAAACTTAGATGACTGAGAGGTTTTGGTGAGGGGACAAGCAAATTGCATGAAGTTTTTATAGACATGGAGATGGTATGCGTAAATGCATTAGTTGTTCAGCCTCTGAGGTTGGTGTGTTGGGTTAGCTCAATTGAGGCTAACAGCCTAATAATCACCATTTTTGAGACTAGAGAGTAGTATATGAAATTGCAAATCAAACAGTTGGAGTACAAAGTACAAATCTTATCTTGTAGAAGAAAAGACTTGGTCGAGTATATGTGTCAACTCCGTCGAGTTAGGTACTGTCACGACTCAAGAGAATAAATAAGGGGTGAACGTTAGTCGAACCAAAAATAAGAACTGAATTGAAATATTTTAGTATTTTAGTTTTCCTTCGCTATGTTCGATGGAATTAATTGTTTTAACAATTATTAACTATTAATTATCTAGTTATAGTGTTTCACCAAACGTTAAAGAGAGCAATATTTTATAATCTGCTCTTCAAACTATAAACAAGAGTATAGATTATAGTATAATATGTAATACTATAAATAGTAAAAACAATGTTTAAACTTAGAAAAAACATCGAAATTACATGAAAAATTGTTGCCAAACATAGTTTTATATAAAACTGAATCAAACCAGAAAATCTGAATCACAAGTTTTACTCTGAAAGAATAGATTTATCTAGAAAATTAAAATGAAATTTTGGTTTTTCAATTCAAACAAAATTTTGTAAAGTTTCTTTACAAAAAAATGATTATTTGAAACATCAACAATTGCAGCAAATTGTTAGTTGGGGGACTCAATTATAGAGTTTACTGCCGAAAAGTGTGGTGGCATTACTCTTATTTTATTCCAGTAGTGTCAATTGTTGTTGTGGGACAGTTAGTAGTTATTTGTCAAATATGAGCCACTTTTAATTTATTGGATTTTAATTATTGATGTTCAATCGTATACCAAACTATTGGACTTCAGATCGTTAAATAGTTAGTGAAATACTGTACGTCAATACTTCATTTCTAACGATCTAGTTGAAATTTAAACCAAAAAAAAAAAAATCATGGATGTCCGGCTTTTTTCAAAAAAAAAAAAATAAAATTTTTTTATTGGTTTGATGCATCATATCACTCATACATCATGTGTAGGCAGAAATTTCCTTTTCGAGGAAGACTTATTACATATATTCGGTATATGGACCCATAAATGCTTAGGATAAAATTATTTATATAAATGACTTTGGCTAAATTCATTCTAGTATTTTTTAATTGCTGCTTAAACTTTCCAACTGTACTGAAATAATTAATAAGCAAACGACAGCATTCTTGCTTGATAAAGCAAACGACAAGTAACATTTCTGAATTGCTGCTTTAAACTTTCCAACTGTACTGAAATAATTAATAAGCAAAGACAGCATTCTTGCTTGAATAAAGCAATACGACAAGTAACATTTCAGGGTCCTGAAGAACCTACAAAGCGATAAATAACATTGTTTTTGCCATTGAATAAACCTGACCCTAACATGAAAATACGTTTCGATTGTCTACAAAGCGATAAATAACATTGTTTTGCATTGAATAAACCTGACCCTAACATGAAAAACGTTCGATTTCAAACGAACTGAACAATCTTGGATGATCAAAAAGCCTTTTGACGCCAACATTAAGTATAGCTCTAGGCTCACCATCAGATTCAGAATTAGAACGAACATTCAAAGCCATGCACTTCTCACTTCCATGATTTTCAGGTATGAAATTTTCTAACAGGACATGGGCCACACCAATCTTCTCATCTTTCTTGAAAATACTAACGCTTCCATTTACTTGGTATATTTCAAGCATTATGCAAGCATTAGGTCTCGTAATCTTCAAATCATTATCTACGATCATTATATCCTTGTCGTTCCATTTATGGTTTATGTTGCCTATTGTAGTTGACACTCTTGATTTAAGCTTTTGCTGATTCGGGTCGACATAAGCAACAACATAGGTTTGAATACTGTTTGAGGATTTGGATTTTGGAGTAAGGTTTTGAGCAGAGATGAAAGTGACTTGTAGACTGGTTAAGTTGCTTGGGCTGGTTTGGTCGTCATCGAAGTTGAAGAGGTTTTGAAGCTGTGCATATTTTTGGTTGACAGAGGAAAGATTATTGGTATTGATAGATATTATAAGAATGGAATATTGGTTTTGGAAAGCTGAAAGGCTTTATATATTAACAAGGTTTGCTTAATTGTTACGGCGTCCGATAGTCCTAGTTCACTAGTTGGAGTAGGAAAAAGTAGATTTTGGTGAGAACGGATTGTCGTTTTCTATTTGGAAAAAGGTACAATAGGCGAACTCTATTTGCAAAATCAAAGGTTAAAAATTACAAAGGAATGAAAAGAGCTAAACATAAACAAATTGGAATTTATTACTATTTTGATGAAAAAAAATTATTTAGTTTTGCTATTGATGTTGTGAAAGGAAAGCTGTATTAGGCTTTGAATGAGGAAAATAATTTGCTCCAATGGACTTATATTGGGCTTAGATTAGGTGATGTTTTATATTGTTTGTTCAACTTCACTCATCTGGGATTTAGTTTCTTCACTTTTGGTTTTTTTTTTTTTATTATTTTTTTATTCGTTCGAAGGTTTATTGGTTTAAAAGACTACGCATCAAGGGAGCCTTCTCTTTTACTCACCAATTTGGTAAAAATATTTGTAGTAAAGAGATTTTGAACTTAGGAACTCTAACTCTCCACATAAGTGAAAGACCAACAAGACCATATATGATTTTTAAATTTGCTTATTTTTTTTATTCACTTTTTGTTTTTATTGTTAAAAATAGGGGGAAAGGACTTAATGTTTTTAACTTTTTTAAATATATGGATTAGACTCAAATTATGAATTAGACTTAATTTTCCGTTTTTAGCATGCATGTACTACGTTGGAGGGTTTGCAATTGTTGAATGAAATTCAAAAACTTTAACAACAATATAGAACTCAATGATTATCCAGAAAACAGAGGAAACTATATCAAATACAGACAAACAGAGAAATAGGTATACATTATGCTGCTAAAAAAAGAAAAAAGAATAATCACAATAAAGAGATGAAGCAAGGAGATGCATCCTTAGTATATGGATGATCAAAACAAATCACAATAGTCCCTTATATTCATACAAAATGCATATTTTCTCGCACTAGTTTCCAGCTGGTGGTGGGGAGAAGAATGGAATAGAGGGAATTGTTGTTGGCAATGGAGGCAAAGTGAGCTTTGGAGCAGCAGGGATGGTGGGCAAGCTTGGAAGCGGTGGCAGAGTAGGCTTAGGCAAAGAAGGTTGAGTGGTTGGTAAAGTTGGCAAAGTAGGCTGTGGGAGAGTTGGAATTGTAGGCATAGGCGGCAATGCAGGCTTCGGTAGATTTGGCATAGAAGGCAATGGAGGCAATTGCAGGAGATGGCGAGCCGCTAAGCCAACATCCATGCTTGAAAATGTCAAAGCAATGAAGAAAGCAATAAAGATTGAGCCTCTGAAAGAAGCCATAACTAAACCTTCAAAACTAAAAGTAGGTGTTAACTGTGAAAAGGGCTTTGGTTATGTTTGGAATGAGAACATGAATGTGTAGTTTTGGGCTTATATAGACGATGAGATTTGTGGTTAGGTGATTTAGTTAAGGAAAAGTGTGAAACTCTTTTAAGCTCATTAGTGTTTCTTTGTTAGCTTAACTTCCAATTGTAAGTTGTCAAATGTGGTTGTGGTTGGCTACATTCAAGTCAGAATGTCTATTATTCTCTTAAATGTAATATGGTCAAAACATGCTTCCACCAAATAATATTTGAAGTCATCAATTAATAAGGAGTTTTGGTCACTTCCCACACCCAAATCCTGGTTGAAGTAGAATAATTCTAATTAACGATTTTTTTTTCTTCACACTTTTTTTTTGGTATGAGATTAATTTCATTATTTTAGAATTCGAGGTTACTTATTTTCTCTTCGTATCAATCTATTTACCTTGTAACAATTTATCTATTGTGCCTTACTTCACTTAATTCTAATCGATGAATATTTAATTCTATAACAAAGATTTTATTTTCAAATAAAGTTAGTTTTTTTTTAACGAAATTGCGATTTCAGAATTCATATATATTGAAATTTGATTGCTAAGATTTAACAGATGATTATATATGTCTTGAAACTAGCTAATAGTCCAATTGGCTTTGTTATATATTAAAACAAAATTTGAACTTGAGACTTTCAAAGAAGAAGGATGTTATATGTGACAGGCTCACCTACTATTAATCTCTTGATCATATTTATTTCATTTCATTTAAAATCTAATATTCTTTTATAAAAATAAGTTAAAAAAGTGGAAGATTGATGATTTTCATTTTTCGGTAGCTAGAACTTAAAGTTAGATAACCCACTAATTAGATAACAGAAAATGTATACCTATCTGACACAATACAATCAAATCTCTTGATCAAACATGGTGTACAGAAGCATTTGTATCCAACCTCAACCACATTTATCAACTTTTTAGGTGGAAAATATTAACGACAGCCAAAATAACAAAAGTGACTCAAATGGGTTTGACTGTTTATGGTGGTATGTCATTTTTTCTGCTATATAAGTCTAACGAATAGAACTTGTTTTTCTCATCCAGACCAATAACGAAGTTAGTATCAGAGGAACATAAACGTAGAACATGGCCTCTTTCAATTATTTCATTCTTGCTCTTTGTATTGCTTTGTTCTTTTCAAGCATTGATGTTAGTGTAGCAGCTCGCAATCTTCTACAATTGCCACCATTGCCTTCGATGCCAAATTTACCTTCAATCCCTACTAATATTCCAACTCTCCCACAGATGTCAGTGGTTCTTTTCAAGCATTGATGTTAGTGTAGCAGCTCGCAATCTTCTACAATTGCCACCATTGCCTTCGATGCCAAATTTACCTTCAATCCCTACTAATATTCCAACTCTCCCACAACCCACATTGCCAAACTTGCCTAACCCAACTACACTACCTCCACTTCCTAGCTTGCCCACCATGCCTACTGTGCCCAAGCTGACTTTGTCTCCATTGCAAAGCATGCCTTCAATTCCAACGATCCCAACTACAATTCCCTCTATTCCATTCTTTTCCCCCCCTCCGGCGGGAAACTAGACTTTCATATGTTGTTATGAACCATTAATAGAAGTCATTTTAGAAGTCCGTTCGAGTGCTACATATTGTTTTTACTTTCACTATTGTATTTTATTATATATATGATTTTCGCTATCTGGATGTAACTTAATTAAGATGACATTGTTGAGCTATTACTTTGTATTATTTTTTTATTTCTTATACTGAAAATACATTCAATATCCATGTTATTGCACTGATATCAGGCTAATGCCTTACAATACATGTATATAATTATTCCTGAAAGTACGCAGGTGTAATTCCAAGACCCTCTGCAGGACTTGTCACCTACCTTGAGGCACTGCCTCTTTATTTAACACATATATAAACAAAACACAAAGTAAAGAAATAAGAAAAACAAGATATAATTAATATTTGTAGGCTTGCAATATGATATGCATATATGTAAAAAAAATTCCATCGTTCAGTCAATCTCCTTCCATGAAAGTAATTATATAATATGGGCACGCTAAGGATGGTGAATAATGTTATATCCAGGTGGGGCAGCAGCGACTGGAATTAAGGGAATCCTTGGCAATGGGGGCAGTTTAGTTGGAATACTTGGCAGCGGAGGCAGATCAGTTGGGGTGGCAGGCAATGGTGGAAGTTTAGTTGGAATACCTGGCAGGGGAGGCAGAGTTGGGATGGCAGGCAATGGTGGCAGTTTAGTTGGAATACTTGGCAGCGGACGTAGATCAGTTGGTATGGTAGGCAATGGTGGCAGTTTAGTTGGAATACTTGGCAGCGGAGGCAGATCAGTTGGGATGGCAGGCAATGGTGGCAATTGAGTTGGAATACTTGGCAGCGGAGGCAGATCAGTTGGGATGGCAGGCAATGGTGGCAATATACTTGGCAGCGGAGGCAGATCAGTTGGGATGGCAGGCAATGGTGGCAGTTCAGTTGGAATACTTGGCAGCGGAGGCAGATCAGTTGGGATGGCAGGCAATGGTGCTAAGAGATTGCGAGCTGCTAAGCCAACAGTCATGCTTGAAAAAAGCAACAAAGCAATGAAGAAGGAATACTTGAAGGAGGCCATATTGTTTTAATACAAAAGAACTTACTGCTTGCTATTTGGTGTGGATGAGAAAAAGAAGTTGGATTTGGTAGTTTATATAGTTGAAAGGATTGGAATTCCTTCTCTCAAATTTGTTAAAAACATAGACTTGTAATTCTTCTTTAATTACTTTTAATTTTACAATCAATAACTCTATTCCTATAGACTATAGTACTACTATAACCTTAATTCATAAATTCCCTCTATCCCTCTCCCTTCATATTTGTTTTTTATAGAAAGTTAGACTTTGATATTTTGTTTTTTGTAATGGGGATTAATTAATTTCAACTCTATCTGAGGACGACGAAGTCTTTATTTTTGCCTTTTGAACTAAAACTCAATTTATCTTCTAAATTTGAATTTCATATATGTAGTTTATCCAAAAATAATTTTCCGATCCTCTTTGAAGTAAATAAACAAAATCAACTATTTTTTTCTTTTTCTCTTTCGTTTCGGTTCTAATATAGCAAGAAGTGATTTAAAAAAAATACTAATAATAATAACAACCGGCATTTTTTTTTTTTTAAAGATTTCTTGCTGGAGAATTTTTTTTTTTAAAAGGAAACCACAAATTGAGAATGAGAATTCTTTATGCAAAGAAAATGTAAATTGAACTTTATTAGTTGCCATTTTGTATTTGTTGTTCTTGATTTGGGCAAAACCTTGATATCAGGCCCATTTGCTGCGTATAAAATGATGTTACATTTTGTTCGGCCTAGTATGCCCAAAACAGCGAGCCCATTGGGCAGTTCTGATCTTGGAGATTGAAAGAAGGGAGCAAACTGAGAAAGAAATCTGAAATTATGGCAGAGAGCTCAAACTTGGATATTGAAGGAAAGGAAGAAACCAACAAAAAGCTTGAACCTTGACTAGTTTAAAATATTTTTCTAGACAAAGAAAGTGGCTGTTCCTTATTGTGCAAGGGAATATTATTTTCCTAATAAACTAATTGCTTTAAAATATTTTTTACATCTATTTATTTTTATTTGCACAGGCAGTTTCGTGGAATTAAAGTAAATTCTTGAAATAGTGAACATCAGTAATTTTAAATTTTGAACCATAAACCTTGGAGATAAAATTCACAAGAGATGCAATTCACGTTGCTGATTGAACCGTCTATTGATTTTTATTTTTATTTTTCGAGCATAATTGAATTGATAATAACACATTTAAGTGGAAATTTTGTATAATACATGAAATGAAAAACCAATAAAAGATGTTTAGAAATGAGTTCAGTGGGCATGTGGGGAAGAGTTCTCGGGTTCGGTCTACACCAAATGCATCTGCAAAGAGAAGTGAAGGGTTTTAACTGTGATTAAATCCTGAACCGGATTAGGTGGTCCATGATAATGGAGTTCAGATACCGATAGTTTACACAGAAAAAAAGAGTCCAGTCAAGTTTATAAGTTTTTAAAATTTTCTTTGGTTTTTATTTTTTTAAATTGGTCTTATTTGATTTTTTAATTTTATGGTTGCCAAATGGCTTTCTAACTTGATCTCTCTCTCTCCAATTAACTTTTTTACTTTCACTTTTATTTTATTTAGCTTTATTTGATTTTCTTTTTCTTCAACATCTATATTAAAATCTACTAATTAAACTAATCATCAATTGATTTAGCAATCTACACATTACAGAAAGTGTCCTGCCATCAAAATTCTTATACAGCTTTCTCTGGATGTTATAAATAAGATATAAAATACTTTCTTCCCCAAAATCACCATGACTACTTTCTTTCTGATCACTATATTGGCTTCCCTATTAGCTCTTCCCCTTTCAGCCTCTCAACCCTCATCAGAAAAATTTAAACCAACAGCAAAATTTCAGATACATATTGTCAACAAGTTAAGCAACAACAATATCTTACTCTCACATTGCAAGTCTAAAGACGATGATCTTGGCATCCAAATCATCCCTGCAGGTTCTGAATTTTCTTGGACGTTTCATGTAAATTTCTTCTGGACAACTCTTTATTGGTGCTATTTGGCCTGAGAGTGGTAACTCTCATGCTAGTCTCACCGTATTTGCTAATAAAAATTATATTGTAGATAGATGTTCTGAGAAAGGTGGTCCTTTGACAAGAACTTTTGATTGTGCTGGGTTTGCTAAAGATAATGGAGTTTATATAAGGGACGTTCATGGAGATGTGTTTATTCGTGGTTGGGAGAAAGGAATGTTAAATTAAGAAAAGTTTAGAGTCATATTTGCATTTTACTGTAGTAATAAATTAATAATGCTTTTGATTGTTGTAAAATATGTGTAATGGCCAAATTAAATTTTTCCAATAAAGTTTTCCCATTATTAAGTTATTAATCCTCAATATTACTAATCAATTATTCTATTTTAAACACTTTTCAAAAAAACAAAAAAAAATCTATTTTAAACAAATAAGAAAAAAAATAAATTTGCAAGTTACTTTAGATAATATAACCAATTAAAATTATACCATTTTTATTTTTTCAAACGACAAAATTAAAATCCTTAAATGTATTACATTCTTACCATATTTAATATATACTTTATTTAATATTCAAAAGATATTATTACCATATTATAGTATATTACTATATAATATGTATATATATGACCTCACACATAGACCAAATTAATGAAAATAGAGATTCTGTTGTAACAAGTGTATTTCTGACTATAAGAATAAAATGGGAATAATCTTTAAAAATTCACATTTTCGTTAATTTAGTCTATAGGTGAAGCCATTGACCTGTTCTAGACAAGTATTTTTTATAAATTAATCTCGCTAGCTAAGCAACTCTTTGACTATAAATATGAGCAAAACACATAAAACTTTTTGTTAATAGGAAAAGAGAAGAAAAGAAAAACCATTCATCATATCACCTATACATTATGAATTTTCTGAAAATAAACATAGCATTATTCTTACTCATTTTGGCTTTTGCAACAATTCCTTCTTTAACTGCTCAAAATGCACCCAGACAGTTATCTGCCATACCAGAATATCGTATACATGTCGTCAACAATTTGGGTAATAACAAGATATTACTAGCACACTGCAAGTCTAAAGATGATGATATTGGTGTCCATAATATTACAGGAGGGTCTGAAATTACTTGGCATTTTCATCCAAACCTCACTTGGAGCACACTTTTTTGGTGTTATTTGGCCCCAGACAATCTCTCTCATGCTAGTCTCGAAGTATTTGCCAATAAAGATTTTATTAAAGATAGGTGTCAATATAGTCGATTGTTACTTCGTTCCGATTGTTTTTGGATTGCCAAAGACGATGGGGTTTATTTAAGGAATTCTAAGTCAGACACTGATGATTTTGTGCATGGTTGGGATAAGGGGAGGTATAATTAATTAACAAAAGTTATAATAATATTGAATGAGCGGGAGAAGATGGAGTTTATATAATAACGTTCATGGAGATGTATTTCTTCATGTGCTTCAGAGAAAGGGAGACATGTTTGCATTTTCTTATAGTGATAACTTAATAAATATGTGTAATGGTCAAATAATGCAGTGAAAAAGGTTTGCAATAAAGTTTATTTATTACCGTGGTCAAATAATGTTTGCATTTTTCGTTTTTTATAATAGCTTATTTATTACCGTGGTCAAATCGGCTCTCTTTACAGGATTAATTTGTAAAGAAATTAGATCTTTGTAACAAGTTTTGAACATTAATTTATTTGTGATTTTTATTGCAATTAATGATTAATTAATTAAATTATCTTATAATCAAACAGATGAAAACACTTGTGGAAAATTATAAGCAACTCTTAGTTGATAGGCCTGATATTCAGATTCGATGAATTCAACGTACTATGAATGGTGCTGCTCATTCCCTTAGCATCCATTCACTTTTCACCACTTTGTATTTGAGAGAGTGTCCTTAATGTTCTCCTTTCCTATTACATTTAATAAAATAGTGGTCATTTTCTCTTTTAAAAAAAAAAAAAACAGACGGAAAAAACTAATGACTAAAAATCACCACTTGAATAGTTGGTACCAATATTTATATGCTTTTTATATTTTTAACTCTTCATCAATTTGAGATATTCTAATACTTTTATACCTTATTATAATCACTAGTCTCAGACTGCTTATGATGTTAATTAAAAGAAAGCTCTACAATAATATAAAGCTAATTAAACCCTTTAGGGGAAAACAAAAAGAGGTTCACTAAACAAATGGCAATTTCCATTATAACCAGTATTTTTAATGGGAAAAACAAATAACTTCTACTATAAAATTATAGGTTTTTTGATCTTTTTAGTGATTTTCCATTTCATTTTCCCCATTCATACAGCAAAATAAAAAAATAAATTGAAATTTTTATTCCGTGTTGCATATTATATATAGAAATAAGAATCCATATTCCTATTCTCATTCTATTATTTGTTTCGTTCTTATTTTATTCTATTTCACCTACCAAATATAGTTTATATCATTTGAAACACTCATATTCAACATAAAAATTAATAGTTTTTGGTTTAAATATTTTTTTTGTATCAATAATCATATGGTGGTGGTGGAGTGGTGGTTGAGGTGGTGGCGGTGGCGGGGACGGTGGTAGTGAAGTGGTGGTGATGGTAATGGTAATAGAGTAGTGGTTTTGATGGTGATATTGTGCTAATTACATTATATAGTTACAAACAAACATAAAAATAAAATGTTAATTACATTTCATTACAATATATTTTTTTCATTGCATTACATATTTAATTTCATTACATTATATCTAACCAAACATAGCTTTAAAGTTTATTAAAATGAAAAAAAACAATATATTTTTTTCATTGCATTACATATTTAATTTCATTACATTATATCTAACCAAACATAGCTTTAAAGTTTATTAAAATGAAAAAAAAGGATTAATTAGAATAAAAAACTCTTTCCATTTGGCAAAGGGTAATTAGAAATGGTGATTTGCTATTGCAACACATTACAAATGGTAAATGCAGAGTATCCACCCTAATAAATTAAGGGATTTACTTACCTAAACAGGGTCCATGACCCCACATATAGACCAAATTAATGAAAATAGAGTTCCTGTTGTAACAAGTGTATTTCTGACTATAAGAATAAAATGGAAATAATCTTTAAAAATTCATATT